TAGAGCAAATACATCACATTTTTTCAGACCAACTCCGTCTTCACATTTTTCTATCGAAATAATAATATTGTTGTGTGAATATAATATGTAATAAGGAGGGTGTTATCAAGGTAATTACGATAAAATAATAGGGAATAATGAATGTGAAGATTAAGATAGAGATAGTCAAAAATAATGATAATAAGGGAAAAAATTATATAAATGAAAATAAAGGAAGGGGGTAAGAGGTTAATAATATTCAGTCTAGGTATTCGGTGATCCAGTCGTAGGCCAAGATAAACAACGAGGCTGGATATACTTTTTATGGACACATAAATTTGGTCTTCTGGGGTTGATCCAGATGGCTTCAGCTATGCAAAGCAGTCGTAATCTAGCTCCTTGAGGTAGATATTTTGGAACTTGATATAAAACAGAGAAAGTCTCATCTATTTTGATATGATGTTCACTATCTACCAAGTGAGAAAGAATGGTGTTGTTAATCGATTGGGTAACTCCTTTTCTCAACCATGTTGGTACGTGTTCACGAACACGCAAGGATAAAGCCCTCTGAGTACGGCCTATGTAACTAGCTCCACAGGAGCAGTTGAATTGGTGTCCGATTTATTACGCCAATGAAGTGAACTGTCATGACTTTATGGCCCGGCTAGTTATCACGCAATCTATTCGCCAATCAAAATACGACTTATTCGCACTTATGCTGTACTAAACCAATGGCGTGCGACCGGTCTGATCAACCTAGCGTCCTACTGGTCCGTTGCTTACCTAACCTGTCCAGCTGAGTCCAGAATGCCAATAACAGCATACACTATGAGAATCATTTATTTCAGATATACTGGGTTTATATATCAAACAAACAGACTGCGATGCACCGTAAAACAGGAAATAATATTCGTACAAAATATTGCCAGAAAGGCTGTGAACGTGGGGGACAGTAATTAATAAACTGAGTATAGATCGTACAATAATAATCTATAGGTTAGAACGAAGCTTATAATAAGGGGTATATATATATAATCTAGCTACTAAATAGTTATACAATAAGAATATATAGATAATGGTAGTTCATTAATAGGTCTCCGAAGATACCCGTAATTTGATCTTCACTAGGATACAACATGACCGTTATTTCAAGTTCTACTATATCATACTTTGCCATTCATTAGTCTGTAGTGACTCATATTTATCACGAGAACACGACTGGTTTAATAAAAACAATTATTATTATAACCAACTGTACCAGTGTTTGTTTTAATGTGCTTTTGTTTAACTGTGCTAATTATAGCCATTTTGTGCTTCCATTACCTTCCATCATTGTTCCGCGGTTTTTGGTACTGTTCACACGTACTACTTTCTCCTGCTTCCACTTGTACCATTCCTTGGCACGATCTTGGTATTCGTTCAATACCTCGAGATCGCCAACCAAAAAAATCTGGTTACGTTCAACCTTCGCATTCTGATTTACTTGGCACGTGTTTCTTGGTAGCGGTGTTCATAATTGATCTCAACTCGACGCCAAGCTACAAGTCCTTTTGAGTTCCATATGACCTAGCAATGTTAACCAACTTAAATGTAAATGTGGTGTTTGTATGAACTAATGATTCTGTTGTACTTGATGATTTTCTTATTTCAAATTCCAAATACAATGCTTTCGATCGTGCTCACTTAGTTCTATTTGGCCTGAAGTACTTTATTTCTGGGATTCCCATTTCCTATAATAATTCAAATACTTCTAACCATTGTAGTAAAAATCCAATTTTTCTCAGCAATTCTGTTCAAATCTTGTCTCATGTTAATGAGATGCGATTTACTGGGGTTATACGCAGTGTTTTAAGGCCTTAGTAACTGTAGTGTTAGTTGTATCTACTGTCTTTTTCTCGTCCATTTAATGGGGGAATGTTACATAATCGCTATGTAATATTCATATTTTCATTTTTACAGCTTCTGATATTACCAGTGAAAGGCTGCTATTGTAGCGAACGAAAACACCAGTGGGGACAACCAAATGTATTTGACACAAAATTACAGGGCTCGTTGATAAAATCTAACAAACAAATATTAAATACGTAATTTGCAAAATGTCCATCAGTTGTCTCATGATGACTCAGACTTCATTGTTCTTGCGTTTTCATGCAAATTGCATTCTGTTCCCATTCTTTACTGTTCGATTATCTTGTTTCTCTGCTGCCAGACATTCTGTTGTCCACGAGAGACGTCATATACTACTCATGTCGATATAAGTAGCACACACCACACCATGAACATGGTGTAGAGCCAGTGAAATGCCACTGAGCCCTAGCCAGATCATCTGGGTCACTGGATTTCGAACAGATCATCGATCCCTGTCAAAGTCTAGCACAACCAACGCGCAGTTAATCGTACGCACTGGACTGGCATATGCGGTGGTGATCACACTTTCGCATGTACCTACTTTAAATAATATATTCCTGTAATAAAGTTCTTTGTGTTGTACGCTCTTCAAATCATCCACAGTACCTTGATACGGCCAAGGGGTAATCCACTTTGGGTGCTGACCGCAAGTTGTGACTTCGACGTTAGCTGTTGGCCACATTATTCCTGTCTAACTCGAACAGGTCGCCAATCACTCGACAGAGATCATCAATGATGATGATCTACAATGGCATTGCAGATCAGCTAAAAATACAAAGTGAAAAACGAGAACACTATAAAAGTTATGAATTGAAATAACATTTTTAATGAAACATACACTCTAATATGCAGTAATGACGGACTCAGTGAAGGGGAAAATATATAGACTTAGGGCAAATTTCTACTGTAACATAAGTAAGTGATGTATACATTCCAGTTAATCACATTGAGAGGTTTAAAATCACAAAATTTATTTTCCTTCATTGTAACTACTTTTTAATGACTTACTAGCTGATGAAAATTTCAAAAACGTCTAAATAATGTGCGGGGTGTAAGTAATAGAACATTTGTAATGCGAAGTGTTCTTACGTTTGTTGTGATCTATTATAATGTTGACAACACAAGTTTATGTGATGATTAGAAGTATTAGAATTATTATAGGAAATATAAATCCCAGAAATAAAGTACTTCAGGCCAAATAGAACTAAGTGAGCACGATCGAAAACATTGTATTTGGAATTTCAAATCAGACAGTCATCAAGTACAAAAGAATCATTAGCTTATACAAACAGCACAACCATCACAGCCTAACTTGAAATCTAAGTTTCTGTAGTCGATTGTGTGTCTTCCACTTAAGTTCATTATATGCCTGTCAGATTGTGCATTGCATACCAACTCTATGATCTAGAATATACTTATTAGTAACACAATATAATCCCAATTCAGCGTACTTTAAACCAAAGTTCATATTTGAATGTTGTTTGTTTTTTACTCCATTCGGGACTATCACTAATTATTGATATCATTACGAAGTTCTGACTGGCATCTCTGCAAACATGGATCTTAATAATCTTGGGAAGTTACCAATTGACAGATCACTGTGAGAAGCGGATATTTTGTTCAAGAAACAACTTAGTAGTCGGGCCATTGTTCTCCTCTTAGTGCCCATCAATGCTCGTGTTAAAGAGCCCTACATCAACCAAAGTTTTCATTCCTTTATACGTCCATTCTTTTGATAACATCCTTATCAAGGATCTAAACTTACAGCGTTCTCAGGCCGTGAAAAGTAGGAAAACATTTGTCTTTACACTTAAGCATAGTTAAAGACCTTATCATCTTGAAGCGTAGATTGATTTTACATGGTTTTAAAGTCAAGTCACTTAAGAGAGCGAAGAAACGAAACAACGATTTTGAAGGATGTAATACTTGCTTAGAATAGACTTAAAAGATATATTTTTACGAGTTTCGTGAGATGAAGTTTCGAGTGAGCTAACTACTACCGATTCACTGTTCTGATGGTTTAGATATGACTTCTTACTCGTTGGACTGATGTTCTTACCTGATACAGTTCAGAATGTTATAAATCAGACTGTTAAAGGTTCTAGTGGTACTGAATCTTATCACGATTAAATCGTAGTTCATATTGTAGAACTGTTATGTGGTCTTTGGAGTTACTTGAACTCCTTAGTGGCATAAATATTTCTGTAAAGCCATAGCAACAACTAAGTTGTCGTACCATCATCAAAAGTCATCCACGAGGCCGAACATCTGCCAAACTAGAAGATTAACATTGACCGTTGGATGTTTGATAAAAAGTAGTAAATATCAGCGCACATCTATGCGGTCGAATCATAGAGATTGTATGGATCTTCCCTTTAGGAGTAGTCACTGCAAATCCTTCCTCTTAATATTCAATTCTTTTTCTACCACCATACGGAATATGTATTTTTACAAGTACTCACTAACGATTACACTGACTACCACGACAGAAATAATCAGCAGACTTCGACGCAATATTAAATGGACTAAGTACTCAAATCATGGTAAGTACACAATAATGGATTAGATCTGTTAGTTTAGTTGCACAAATAAGTGCACTGGTACCGATATTATACATAAGTTCCACAAATCCCTTCACGTGCCTAGTTCAACCTAATTGTATCAACTGTCTAAACTATTTTATAGAGGCAGAAAGTTTAAACGTGATGTGAGGCGTCTAGTCCCACTTATTCAAGCACTAAGAATTCCCCAGAATTCAGTAAATTGATTGATAGTCTTTGATGTTACTACAGATGAAACATATATGTTTACAGTTTAATTTTCTCAGAGTCAGCATGGAAACAATGACACAAGGACATCAAGAAAACTTTGAAGTTCCTAGACCATGAAGCTTTTTTCGGGTCAGTTTGACCAGCTGAACACTACATCGTCACTATAGTAGCATCAACACTGTGGATAGGTGCACTCCTGTAACAGAATGGGAGAACTGTAACTGCTACTACAGAGCTACTATTATTCTCAACAGTTTCTTGGACATTATGTGTCTTCTTTGTCTTACGTTCCTGTTGTGCTTAAATGTTTGAACACTTTCTCTCAAGGTTTTCTACACTTTCGTTTGGGAGGCGCGTTGTCCAAATTACGAAAGATAACAGCAATGTCCAACAAGCGTCCTTCATTAGTCCCTCAGAAAGGACCTGGTTCTTTTAAAAAACCAAGGTAGTTTTTGTACAGTGATTTTGTGCAACGTTTAAGCCTAACAAATGTAGATATCGTGGTAGTTTCGAGATGAAAATATTTCAGCATGAGCATCGAGAGTACACGTGCGTGTAACCAAACTCATATGTGATCTACCTAACATCATTAAAATTTAAAGGTTATTTAGTGCTTAGTACCAGTCTTGTTGAAAGTAAGGTCTGCACGTTCATTGGAAAACCCTTGTGTGACTCTGGAAAAATGCATCTTGAGTCCAAAAATTTTTGTTACTACTATTATTAACTAGGATTAGGGTTGGGAGTTAAAAGTTAGGGTTAGGATTTATAGTTGATTTTACACCACGAACTGACAGTTGTGATGTCGAAATGCTATTTAACCTAACCAGTGGGTGAACTAGTCCCCAGAGTCCAAAGCTCGTTTTCGCCATCGTGCTTCGCCTACAAACTATTACCTCGCCTGTTTTTACTGTGCTAAATAATATGGCTTGATTTGGGTTCTCATCTCGTGACACGATTTGACCCTTTTTATCTTTAAGGCTCGTACGAGGCAGTCAGTAAAAGGGTGTTTCGAATTTCTTGCAATGCAGTTGAACCGACGCTTTTACAGTATTAGACCAAATCCTAAGTTTCTTCGACAGTGATTTTGGTTGGATAGTGTTCCATAAGTATTATGGTGATCAGTAGTGAAGGTGATGCACCAAATCCAGGTTTGGCAAGTAAATCAATACAGTTACTTAAGCTTACAGCAGGTGAATCAATCTAACCGACCAATGTGTCATTGTGTGATAAGTCACAGATTTGTTGGTTAATAGGCTTGCTTAGGTTATGATTAATTATATCAGGATGAATTATACAGACTAATATCAGTTTGACAGTAAGATTCAGTTCGCATTAACTGAAATGTTCATTTCTCTTCAACCAGAGGTAACCACGATGATACCCCAGAGCCCTCAAAGTTCGAGCAGGAACTAATGTTGTTGGATGACATCGAGACTGAAGATATAGCTTTGGTGGACGAAAGTTCTGCTTTGTCTCATCTAGACTTTCTAACGAATTCGCATTGGCCAAGACGTAGGTTGGAGAAGTTGGATCCAAATAAGGACAATATTATTTTCCAGCAGTTTGATGTGTCACATTATAAAGTTAGTTTTAAAAAAACATTTTGTTGTACTCCAAACATACCTTTATCGAGTTAAAGAGTTGAAATTATTGTAAATAGTTTGATTTATTAGGCGATTGTAATTTCTACTTTGTACGTTCATACCACCAGTCAATTAACACAGTACTCGTCAAATCACTAAATTACTTGAACAGAAGACAATTTCCATGCTGTTTGTATTGTTTTTCATATCATTTAAGCCTGATAGATTATTTCTTTATTGCCTTCATCAATTGGTGTTTTGAATAGCTTTAATTACTTTCTTCGATTCAGTTATTCAGTAGCTCTATGTGACTCGTTTGCGATCTTTAGTGTTGAGGATTTGCATCTGTATAATGTTGTCTTCATTTTTCATTATCTTGTAGGTGTTTTAGTGAAATACTTTGCTTAGTAACTGTCATTTCAGTGATATGTAGTATAAATTCAGCCTTTCTGAGTTTTATACTTGTTGACAGTCATTTACTGTTATGACCTTGATTTTCTGCCCATTACTTTGTATGTACTACAAAGAGTTCGTCGCAAACTAGGTTTAGGGATTGATATGCTAGGTCACGTAGTAGCTACGAGACTCGTAACGCATGAGTTTCATTTATGACTGAAAGGCCTTGAGGTTATAGAGAATAGTTATCGTACAACTGATTAGTTGGCAAGCGGCAAGAAAAGACGATTTAGCAGGAACTATTGGGATGAGTAATAACACAACTCAGTAATTTGATGCGAATTCAGGGTATTCAACAATAAGTCACAATCCCACGTAACAAACTCGGAGTCACTTTGATGCATTGAATAGATTTGAATTCCAACTGTCGAGTTGTAAGCAAGAAATTCAAGTTATCTATTTCTTTATTGACATCCATGTCTTCTCACTAACTCTTGTACAAACAGTGCGATTCAGAAATTACCCATCACACATGTTTTATTCTGATTTATCATTATAATCTGAACAGGTCTGTAATTTAGAGGCTAGACCACTTTGGGTTGGAAATCTTTTTTCTACATCTGCGTTACTTCCTTTCGCCTTATAAAAATTTATCTTACCATAGTGAATTAAAAATAAATGTTCCAGGTCTAGACGGTTGTGTTCATTCCTGAGAATATGTAACGACATTAATCTGTAGTCAAACTTAAAATGTGCATCTCAATGTTTTACATGTTAAAATATACAGTCCGATAACTTGATATGTATTTACTTCCCTAGTCCTGGGTTTCTGTTTCATCCATTGAAGGCTATACGTTATATTTTATATACAGCTTGTGTATCTGCTCAGTGCATGAAAGTTAATAAGGCTGATGGCTCATGTGGATAGTGTTGTTATTTTCTTTCGGCACACACGCCGAACTACAATATGTTTTCGGTGTAAAATGATGTGATTCAGAAATCCTGGCACTTGTGAAACGTTAATCCGATAATACGATAGAGTAGTGGACTAGGATGCTTGCCATTGATCATTCATTCTAATTCACACTGTTACCGCTATTCTCCAGGTACCTCGAGTTAGGAGCCGAATTTTAATTGGGGCTTGGTTACTTTTCACTTATTTAATTTTCAGTTTCTATTTCACCTACTTATAGTGCCCTACCTCATTTTTTCTACATATATATTGTATTACATAAAAATACACTGTTCTTCATTGTGTTTACGAAGTTGATTCGCTTAATGTAATTTGACAAGAATTCTAACAATAAGCAGCGTACAGTTTACCGTAGAACCTTACCTGGACAGTCAAAATTACCCATAGAATTTTCAAAAATTCTTTTTCATCAAGATATATTACTGTAATAAAAACGATCTGAATTATGATGTCTCATTCTACCTTTGTCAAGTATTCACCATTAGACAAATAGTCCTAGAGTAGGACATAATTTTCCAAGTCATATGCTGTTTTCATACATGCTACACTGTGTCTGGAACTTACGAAATGTTATGTATTTATGTATAGTATGTATTTATGTATAGTCCCGACCGTTGTTGCTACCTTGACGTGGTGGTCGGGCTTGCCTATCGTGATGAAGCAACCGAGCTATACTGGCTGGAACAACCGTTCCTCAAGGTCCTACCATGTCAGACAGGTCGGTTGAAGAGCGGTAAGACTAAAAGCAACAGACCCAAGGTCCGAAGGCGAAGTCGTACTGCTGACTGTACAGAGGTGTGACAGCAGTAAGGTGTTTCCTTCAGACAACCAGCATGACAGCGATGCTGCCTTCCCACAAGGAGAGGTGGGGTTAGAAAAGGTCGACCCTAAAAATGCACACCTCGCCTTATCCAACGGATATCCATCTCCGACGGTAAGGTCCCAACAAGTACGGATCTAACATGTGGAACTACTTCCACGAAAAGGCCGTGCGCGACCGACCTCAAGCAGTTGTCCCTTGGGCACTGCGGCTACGCTCCTAGGTCACTAAGACCACCTCTAATCCAATTTCCTTTTCAGGCACCTCCAGAAGAACCCTTCCACGGTGTGGGCAACCGGGAAGTGATAACCGCCCTCATACCTCTAACAGCACCCAAGACCACTGTATTCATAATCAACCTCCCTCTTTAATTCCTATTATTCCTCCTACATCGACTTTCAACCCTAAACTTCCTCCTTCGGCTTCCTCCTCAAGTGTCACCATAGCCAACGATTCTAGTGCTCAAAACTCTGTCCCAGGTCTACTGAAACCTCGCTCCAAACTACACATTGGAGCTTTCAACGTACGCACTCTATGTCAAATCGGTCAGCAGGCTTCCTTGGCTAAAACCCTAGAGTCTCTTTCCATTGATGTATGCTGTGTCTCTGAAACACGCATACAGGATCCCAGTGTGGTCATTCACTTGACCTCACCTCGGCAGAACGGAGAGCCAACGAGATACACCCTCCGTGTATCTGGTGACCCGATGGCCAGTTCTCGTGGACTGGCAGGTGTAGGCATAGCACTAAGCATGAGGGCCGAACAAGCACTGCTAGAGTGGATCCCCGTCAACAGTCGTCTATGTGCTGTTCGGCTGAACGGCTACGTAAGAACTCGGAAGGATAGGGACACACGTCGTTGCCTTTTTGTCGTTTCTGTCTACGCTCCCACTGACTGCAGCTCAGATGAAGTGAAAGATGAATTTTACAGAAAGCTTTCTGAACTTCTTCAGAAAGCTAAACGCTCAGACATAGTACTCGTAGCAGGTGATTTTAATGCTCAGATAGGTAGCTTAAACCAAACAGAAAGGCATTTAGGTGGATATTTTAGTATTCCGACACAGCGAACAGATAATGGTGATCGTCTGCTGCAGCTATGCTCAGACAATCGTTTATTTTTAGCAAACACAAATTTTAAGCATAAGGAGAGACATCGTCTAACATGGCGACCCCCTACACCAAACCAACGATGGACTCAAATAGACCATATTGCCATCAGTCATCGTTGGAGAGGGTCGGTAGAAGATTGTCGCTCATTCTGGAGTACCTGCTTGGACTCCGACCATGCCCTAATACGGGCACGCGTCTGCTTGCGCCTCACTGGACGCAAAAAAGCCACATTAAAAAGACCCGTTAGAACTGAGTTGAGTAACGAGAAAACCAAAAGTAGGTTCCAGGAACAACTGAGGTCACACTTAGGTAGTTGTGAAGACGAGGCTGACCCAGATGTTGCTTGGAAGGGCATACAATCAGCTGTGGAAACAGCAGTGACATCTATTAGTGACTTAAACCACAGAGTTGTAAGGAACCAGTGGATTTCTTCAAGGTCTGTCACACTGATGGATTCTCGCAAACTCGTCCCATCAGGTTCTGAACGTGATGAAGAGCGAAAACAAATCAGATCTAGGTTAAGAAAAAGTCTAAGGAACGACCGTGAGCAGTGGTGGGTAACGAAAGCAAAAGAGATGGAAAAGGCGGCGACTATAGGGAACACAAGACAGCTTTACAGACTAATAAAAGAAACTGGAATTAATAAGTCAAGTGTAAGTGAGATTATTTCGGAAAAAGATGATACTCTCATCTGCTCCCAGTCCAGACGTTTAGAACGATGGGCGGAACATTTTAGAGAACAGTTCAGCTGGCCTTCAGCTACTCTACAACTACCCTTTATTCCCAGACAATGTGAATGGAACATTGAAGTAGGTCCCCCAACTCTTGCTGAAGTTCAAAAGGCTATAGTTAATCTGAAACGAGGAAGGGCAGCTGGTCCAGATGGATTGGCTCCAGAGGTCTTTAAGGATGGTGGTCCAATTTTAGCGATTAGGTTGACTAATATTTTAGCTAAGATCTGGGAATTAGACTTTATCCCATCTGACTGGTCGCAATCACACATCGTCCCAATATATAAGAAAGGGTCAAAATCATCCTGTGACAACCACAGAGGGATTAGTTTAACAAACATAGTATCTAAAATACTGGCCTCGATAATTATCAGACGCCTAACTAAGACTCGTGAACTACAAACTCGAGAGAACCAAGCTGGCTTTAGACCTGGTCGTGGCTGCATCGACCACATATTCACCATTCGTCAGGTTCTAGAACACAGGCATACCTATCGGCGTCCGACAATGGTGGTCTTTCTTGACTTAAAAGCAGCGTTTGACTCTGTAGACCGCGAGACTCTGTGGCAGTGTCTGTCATTGAAAGGCGTACCTCAGAAGTACATAAACCTTGTGAAGGCTCTTTACTCGAACACCACTAGTCGAGTCAGGGCTTATGGCGAACTGTCATCTACTTTTGCAATTTCAAGTGGTGTCCGTCAAGGCTGTCCACTTTCTCCATTCTTGTTTAACTTCACCATAGACCTATTGATGGAAATAACACTCTCGTCGACTGAATTCTCGGGTATTGATCTCCTTCCAGGAGGTCCACTTATCGACTTAGAATACGCAGATGATATAGTCCTGTTTGGTGAAGACGCTGACAAAATGCAGAGTCTTCTGGTAGCACTAAGCAACAATGCCAGAATGTTTGGGATGCTCTTCTCTCCCTCTAAATGCAAGTTGTTGCTTCAGGACTGGTGTGCGTCAACACCTGAACTAAGGATAGGGAGTGAAGTAGTCGAACGCGTCGACAACTTCACTTATCTTGGAAGTCTGATCAGCCCTAATGGGTTGGTGTCTGACGAAATCTCAGCACGGATTCGAAAAGCTCGTTTGGCTTTTGCCAACTTACGTCACCTTTGGCGGAGGCGAGATATCCGTCTATCAATAAAAGGACGAGTATACTGCGCGGCAGTCCGTTCTGTCTTACTTTACGGCAGCGAAACATGGCCTTTAATAGTAGAAGACACCCGTAAGCTACAAGTATTTGACCACAGATGCCTTAGAAATATTGCTGGCATCTGCTGGGATCACCGGGTAAGTAATAGTGAGGTTAGACGTAGGTTATTAGGGAATGATGGTAAATCAGTTGATGAGGTTATGAATCTTCATCGACTGAGATGGTTGGGCCACGTATTACGTATGCCTGAACACCGATTACCACGACGTGCAATGCTAACCGGTGTAGGGGTTGGTTGGAAGAAAGTTAGGGGCGGCCAAACCAAAACGTGGCATCAGTGCTTGAAGTCACTAACTTCTAGTCTGAGCCATGTTGGTAGATGCAGACTACTTGGTTGGGGTCCGCGTGACTATCGTAACCAATGGTTGGAGACTCTTGGTGACATGGCTCAGAATCGATCACAATGGCGTCGGTGTATACACTCCCTGTCTTCCCTTAAACTAAGAGATTAAATCACTTCATATCTTTCTTTCTACGAACTAATTCTTCCTTCCTATACTATATCCTTATTGCAACCTTTGACCTAACCACTCCTATGAATCCGGTGTTCATCTTGTTGTGCTAATGAGGTATGGCAACCTGGACCGATGCACATATGTGCCTGGTCCTACGTTGTAGCTGACTGACTGATTTATGTATAGTTGACGAGTTATTCAGTCGACTTAACAAGCAATATTATTACTTAGTTGCTAAGAAACAGGTGAGATATATTTCCTTAATAAAAGGTTTTGAAGTTCACATAGATTTTGAATGATGCTTTTGTTTTCAAACAATTAGTTTAAAATGTATTGTTGATTGATCTATTTTCTTTAAGCGTACTTATATCGTAATTTTAAATTGACTGGAGCGGTTAATACATATGTTACTCATCCCTGACCATCCATATGGAATGTCGTTTGACAATGGAAATATTCATTGTTCTATGATAATCTGTTGTGTTCATGAATGAAGTCTTTTCTTTCATGTTAAACTCGTTTTGTATTGCATGTTACTAATACGGATTTGCGTAGTTTTCTTTTGTGGTCAGAAAACTATTTCACAAGGTTGTAATGATTTATCTTGTTTTCCAGGGTGAACATCTAACTGGTATGCCTGGTGCTACTCAAGGTCCTGTACCAGTTATACGTTTGTTCGGTATAACTGAAAAGGGTCATAGTGTATGTGCGCATGTGCATGGTTTTCTACCATATTTCTATGTACCAGCACCGAAAGATTTTTCAACGGATCATTTGAATGCTTTTCGTGAAGCCTTAAATTCTATGTTATTAAAAGAGAAGTCAAAAGAGTTTGAAGGATTGCAACACCTCGTACTTAGAGTTACATGTGAAGAGAAACGAAGTAAGTCATTTTTATTGATATTTGAAATGCTATTCCTCTATTTTCCATCCTACTGCGTTTTCTTTTTGAACGTTACAACAGTATTTGATACTTGCTTTTTTGATATTCCTAAGCTTTTTACTTAGTAATAAAATTGACTGAATGTTCTGATTTTCTTGGACGTTATTAGCTAAGAACGTTTTTCTTTTAAATCGTGATCATATTAAGTGGTTTAGGCAGTCAATTATACTCAACGTTAACCTTGACACATGTCCATCGGTTCAAGTTGCGATACCAGATTATCACGGCAAGGTAAAATCATTTCAACACTAATCACAGAGTAGTGGGATTAGTAACATTATCAGTAGTAGTACCAGAAATGTAGTGAGCGGAAACTCAGGTGGGGAAAACTAATTTATTGTTTAATGCAGAATTACAGTGTCTTGGTCAAATATGGAAACCATACATTAAATACATTATTTCCACATTTTTTCGCGTTGTCCCTTACATACTTTATTATTCCTCTAATTCTGTTGTTATTTTGGTTGCTCTCCAATTTTCTTTATGTTCTCTGCATCCCAATCTTCCGTTAACGGGCATTCCACTTCCTAATGTTCTTACATACCACTTATGTCGTTCAGCATAAGTAGCATACACCGCAGTAGTAGGAAAGATTTAGTACAGCAGGATTCGAGTTATTAAGGAAGGGTGAATGAACCTACCCCATTGAGAACGATCCTAAGAAATGTCACGCAAAGCCTTTAATAATTGGTACGATAATCACTCAAATCCCAACCAGTTAGGTTACACCTATTAACATGGCTCAGTTCAGTTATCAATTACTTCAATTACTGATACCATATATTGATTTGATACTCTTAACTTTCTTTCAACCAACTCCCACACCAGATAAGATCGCGTGTCGTGGATATAGGCGGTAGTTGGATCTACTCAATACACTTGCCAAAAAGCTCATTTAATAAAGATCACTACCTCATGAATCGATTTGTCGTACGTATGTAGTACTTTATACGTGACCTCAGAATTGCTCACTGGTTTGTCTGAAAGGATATGAGTGATGCTTGAAAGAGAATTGTGATCGAATACTCTTAGTCTATGAAAATCCTCGATTGTAGGTGGTCATGTTTGACAGTAATGAAATAGAACGAGTTAAACTACTATGCTATGATTTGGTCCTTTAGTTGCTTACAATTAAATGTGTTGCAACCATCTCACAAATAAAATATTTTAAAATGATTCATTCCAGATACAGACCATCATGCGGTCTCTGTTTACCAATAAACCATGTTGGATAAAGTGACAATATTTGACTCTGGGTAAGGGGACATATTCGCTGTGTTTAGTCTTTACTCCTACAATTGATACTAACAACTATTATTATGATTCCAACTTATTTGTCATGCATTCCATCAATTTTGATTTTGCTGTATCGATTTAGTGTTGCGACTTTGATAAATACCCATGTATACCAGATTTTATAGCTGACCGACTGATTTATATTGTTAGTTGATGATAGATATAGAATGGCATAAAACTCGACATCTTTAGTTAATAGTATTTATTAAACATATTTATGAAGTATGAGAAGTCTTGTTTTCAAATGCCCTGAAGGCCATTTCTTTTTCTTTGTGATACTCTTCAATTTTGTACGGTTATTGTGACAGAACATAGTTTTAAGTGGTTGACAGTAGTCGACAAGAACCCCTAGATCAAGACCTCATTACGTGAGGGTTCAGATCCAACAAGAAGTCATAAGTTTTCTCAATACTGCAGGTATGCCTTACTAACAAGTACCAGCTAGCACATAACCTGGACCCCCCCGACTACATCGTACAATGCAATACACACAATATCGACTAACTTAGAGTAGTAGTTACACCCTAGCTTAATTCATGGAATTCGATCAGTACCAAGGATAAACGTGGTACTAATTCACTTCTCAGTGGTCAAGCAATAGTGAGCTACCATAGTTTTGTCATAACATATGTTAGTTTAAGCGCTCAATAACACAAATAGTGATTTCCTAATAATACGAGTTGCTTCAAACCAATATTTGTTATAACTTCCATAGATGTATATGGTTTTCATGGAAATCGTAGTCTACCATTTCTTCGTATTACTTTGGCATTGCCACGTTTAATTGCACCAGCTAAACGTATATTAGACAATGGTTTATCATTTGCTGATTATTCATTACAGGTTAGTTTATAGTTTAAATGGTCTCTTTTTTTGTCAGTGTAATTTATTTACATGATTATCTGCTTTGTATAATGCCCAATTAGTATCATATCTGTCTCCCCAATCCCCTTATTAAGTGAGATAAGGTTCGAAACTTTTTATTCGGAATTCAAATATCAAGTATAACCAGCAGTCAAGTTATCTTTCTATCAGGCTCAGAACGTTCAAACTAATAGGAAGGGGTTATTTTTGGCCCCATAGAGTAAAAATAAGTGTTAACGAAAAAAAAGTTCAGTTTTTCTTGTAGATTGTTTATACCAGGAAAATTAACACCATACTTAAATCATATCCTTAAATTTCTAATCCTGAAGTATTTCTTAACAAGCTGGCTCTATATCAGCGAGACTCTAATTTGTGGACGAGCCAATCAGAGGCGTTTTAAAGATTTCAAGGTTACGGCCACAACTTCAGTGCTTAATGCTAACGTACTATCGGTTCACAGGGAATTTTGTACAAAACTTGATAATTGAGCGGCTATAACAAATAAAACGGCAGGACTATAATTTGTGGACGAATCAACCAGGTATAAGATAGTAGATCTCGGATTTTAACGCGAAAGCCTTTCATCCATTTGGCTAAATAAATTTCTTGCATTATAGCTGATGTCAGTTCGTGATGAAAACCCCATATATAATTTCTAACTAAGGCAAATTACGACAATTATTGCGAACTGGATAATAAAAGCACGAGTAACATTGGCTGCAGCCAGGTACTACAATATATACGGATGTTTGGAGAGCGTACAAACTCCTACATAGTCTTGGTTATGTGCATCATTTCGTTATCCACAGGTAGCATTTTGTGCACTCAACAACTGGAGTGCACATAAACAATGAAGCTATGTGTGTGGTCATGGCTGAAAGAGTATTCGAGACTTTACCATGGCTCGAGAGGCCGACTATACTGTAGCCGTATTGATGATTTCCTCTGCTGCATGCATTACGATTTTAGAACCTCTGAACCTCTTTCTAACCCTGACAAGTTTTTGAACCACTTATAATAAGTGTATCCACTTTATTTCCTTGGTTTTATATAACATATTTTTACTATATACTGACTGTTTGCTGATTGGCTAATATTTCTCAAGGTTACTTAAGATTCGTTCAAAGGTCGTCCATAAATTAGGGTCTCGCCAAGAATTTTTTTGCATTAAAGCTGATATCAATTCATGATTGAAACCATAACCCTTAATCCTAATTCTAACCAAGAATAGTTTGGTTATTCCTTAAAAAATTATTTACGTCCTTTTAAGAGTTCCAGCATATGGACACTATATATTCATTAGAACGAGTTTATGTGTCATTGTTCTTTCGATTTCAAGTTAGATCAACTTGTAGACCACTTTAATCGATTCATTATTTATGCAAAATCTGTTTACACTTTGTAATTTTACTATATTCTTTACCATAAACTATTTCACTTAGCTGTTTTCTAGTCGACTAGTAGCTAACTAGAAATTCGTCATGGTTTATTTAATCTCATCCCCGTGTTTATTCCGGTTCTGATTACCATTGTGAGATGCTTAACTGAGTTTAAAGAAAATCTCTTTTTGAAATTCATTTCATATCTTTCCGCCGGTAGAAGCGATTGCTTAATAATTACAGCACTGTTTTCAGTAGCTTGGTCACACGTTCAAACTTGCATCTCATCTACTTCATTTAGAGCATAACCAGGCAGTTTTACAAGCCCTCAATATGTCCAAAAGCTTATACCGTGGATTTATACATGATAAATTAGTTATGTTAATCAATATTAATCAATTGATATCTACAACCATACCAGGTTTTTGTGGTAATCAATTACCCGTCATCTATACTCTCGCCTAATAATGAGCTGGTTTGTGGACACTGAAGTAGATCTGTGCAAAGTTATAAACTTAATTTATTTCCCAGTATATATAACATATTAGTGTGTAACCTGTTCTGCTGTACGTATCTTGGTGATGTCTTGTATGGGGTAATCCATGTTGCAATAGATCAAATTATTTTAATACCATGTTAAAGAATCATATGTAGAGTATATAAGACATTTAACACCATGATCTTTTATTGGTTTGATGGTGTAGTAAAGGCCATAACAGCTCACCTACATTTGAGTTTGTATATGTTTCGTTTTGTTAAGCCCTTCAATTAACTTATTTAATAGGCAATGGTCGTTAGGTCAGTAAGAATTCGTCTATAACTTTGTAGTAGTAGTATTATTATCATGTTTGTATGAGCATGTATTTCTGACCACGTGTTACAACCCACATGCATACTTCTCTTACTAGTTGATATGTTAGTTACTTAGATCTCTCAATGACTTATTCTCTTTCATGTATATATGTGATTTTTAGATCATAATAATTCATTCGTTCGCTTGTATTTATTCGCATTCGCATTTATATTCATATTCCTTTTGTATGTTTGTATTTTTTTGATATGCTGTGTCCAATAATAAACTGTAGTCAACACTTTGTATTGTCAACTGAGACTTATACATTGTTGCGAGTTATGAAGTAATATTTATCAGGATGAATGGTTTACAAGTTATTAGGAATTATTTCAAAGGTTTTCGGCTATAAGATATTTCAAATTCCAAACATTTGTGTACTTTTTCACCAGTTGATTCAAAATTAAGGTGTTAAGAATTACGCAGAAAAGTTTAGGATCAAACTATGGTAGAAATCCATCAACCGAATAATTAACTGATCTTCAATAATTTGTAGATGTGTCTAACTTTTCATGTTAATTATTAACCAAGATCAAATCAATCAGTCCTAATCAACATCCAGTTTGATACAAATGTGCGTTAATTCCTCAAGTGAGATGACTTAATATTAGTGTTACTAGTATCGACAATGATTACCCATTAAAGAATACTATTTGAATTGAAGGACTAAATTCTCTGAATAAAAAATACGAGACCATCTTGAAGTCCAAGTCTTGCGTGAAGATAACAAGCGAATACATTTATTCCGTTATGACTGATCCAGAACCATGCCACCCATAGTTATTGCTCAGACCATAAGTAGACAGTCTGCATCCACCTACATAGCACAATTCCAATGTTCAGTGACTTTATAGACTGATGTAATGTCTTCGTTTGGATAGCTTTATGTTACTCCCAACCTACTCTTAAACTGATGAGCATAGTACATCTAGGTAGGTGGGAGCTATGCTTATGTAATACATGCTTCAACCGAAGATTATTTTAGGTGTCATCAGCTAGTTTATCGTCGTTACGTAATACCATACATTTGACGTCAACACTATCCACTCTATCGCTCTGTGATTCTCGAGCAGCGCTTTGAAGACACTTATTTTTGAGAACTTGTGGGCTACACATGTCTTCTATTTTCATAGACTATGTTTCACAGCCGTAGAGCAATACAGAGCAGCAGTATTGATTCATATGTTGAACACATCTGTTTTATAAATGTTAGTAATAATGTGAAACTGCTCAAACCTCGAAATATGAGGAATAGGGTTCAAATTTGTTACCTAGCATTTTGAAGTCGAGTGGTTCAACCACTAAGCCTTCACTCCAAAGTAGCTCGTTCAAGAAACCCAATAATATGATTGGGAAGGAAATCAGTCTCACCTTCAATCAATAGTACTTTCTGTTAATTTCTTACTGGAGAGCATAACTTATTTAGCAAATATAGGTTTTTTTGTGTGGGTGACTTTGGACCAAACTGTTTACTTGGGCGTTAGTACTATTTTCCCATTTATTTTGTATGTCACTGGCGCATATAAGAGTGTAGTCTTCATTCATTCATTCATTCTAGTCATCTAGAGCTATCTACATTTACCTTCCATGAACACACTGCTGTAGAGCATTTCGACTTGCCGGATGGGAAAATAAAAAAAAGTGGGAGTTAGGGTTTGGAATGAGATCTTCCGCAAAAATCATGCTCTTATATCCACTAGGGTTAGGGTTAGGCAGATGTGCTACGGATTCACAGACATGTACCTACTCTCACCAACTACCTGATTGTTCAAACTGAATTGAGAGGAGCGGGATTTGAGCTTGCCACAAGCCTATCACTTAACAATTTGGTGATCTAACCAACTAAGTTGTCCTTCCATTTACTGAAGTGTGTTAAAACTCAGATGATTGCTTACCAGTTTATTTATCATTAACAATAGTATACTAAAAAGATTTAATTTATGGAACATATATTTCCCTTCTGCTTTCTTTTTTCCCACTGAATAAATACTAGTCATATCCTGCTTTTGAAGCGAATATTGATTTTGAAATACGTTTTATGACTGATACACAAATGACTGGATGTAGCTGGGTTGAAGCACCAGCACAGAAGTATCACTTGAGAGATTCTACAAAGAAATCAGATGATGTGAAAAAATCCATAAATCAAAAATCAAATCATTCTGTTAATTCTTCAACGACCTCTACTACAAATGGTTATAGCAGTGTTACAAAAAATGGTGTTAATGATCACTCGACATTGTTAACTAGTCAAACAAGATGTCAAATTGAGTTTGATATAGCATGGGATGCTTTGATTGTTCACTCACCTGAAGGTCAATGGAGTAATATTGCACCATTACGTGTACTGAGTTTTGATATTGAATGTGCCAGTCGTAAAGGTTTGTTGAGTTTTTTTTATTACTGTTAACTGATTAACTGTATATGTAAACAGCCGTATAAGATAGTATGTAATAGTGTTTGTGGAAATAGAGATTAGAAGTCGAAGATACGAGCCGAAAAAAATAGGTCAGTTTTATAGAAAAAAATTACAGAGAATTTAGAGACTTAAGATTTAACGAAAGACAAAGGGTAAATGCACCTGGGCCATTGCGAATGATTCTGAGGCATGCCACCCAAAGTCTTTAATAATTGGTACGATAATCACTCAAATCCCAGCCAGTTAGGTTACACCTATTAACATGGCTCAGTTAAGCTATAAATGACTTCAATTACTGATACCATATGTTGATTTGATACTCCTAACTTTCTTTCAACCAACTCCCACACTAGATAAGATCGCGTGTCGTGGATATAGGCGGTAGTTGGATCTACTCAATACACTTGCCAAAAAGCTCATTTAATAAAGATCACTACCTCATGAATCGATTTGTCATACGTACGTAGTACTTTATACCTGACTTTAGAATTGCTCACTGGTTTGTCCGAAAAGATACGAGCGATGCTTGAAAGAGAGTTATGATCGAATACTCTTAGTCTATGAAAATCCTCGATTGTAGGTGGTCATGTTTGACAGTAATGAAATAGAACGAGTTGAACTACTATGGTATTATTTGGTTGCTTTAGTTGTCAGACAATATCATTATATGATACCTGTTGCCACGAAATTATTCATTTATTTACATAAAACTTCATTTTCAATTCACTAGGTGTATTCCCTGTACCCGATAAAGATCCAGTTATACAGATTGCTAATATGGTTACTAACTATGGGGAAACAACACCGTTTATACGTAATGTATTCACATTGAATTCATGTGCACCAATTGTTGGTTCACAAGTTATTTGCCATAAAACGGAAGAAGAACTGTTAGCTGTAAGTATAAAGCTGTGTTGTACATATATATATATATATATATATATATATATATATATATATGCTTTTAGTCTTTATTACTGTATCTATACATGTGATTTCTATCGCTAATTAAAACTAATCGGAGAATCACTGAAAAATAGAGAAAGACTCTTCCGGAATGTTTCTTCACCCATCTACCTATGCGAAAGGAGATCTAATTGCGGAACTAGATATCTCATGGTTGACAGTTTATTTGATATGGAAATTACATCAAAATTCTACAAAGTGCCTCACAAAATCAACCCAGTAATTATATATAACCAAACAATTGATTTTAATGGCTTCATCATGAGTCTCTATGTATATCTATCCACCGACTCCCTCGACGGGTAAGGATGGCTGGTGTAGGAGCACGTTGGAAGAAAGCTAGGGGGCAGCCAAACCAAGACAAGGTGTCAGTCCATGAATACTCTGACTATCCAACTAAAGTATGTAAACAGATGCAGACTACCTGGTTGGTGTTCGCGTTATGATTGTAGTCAATGCTTAAAGACTTTAGATGGCATGGCTCAAGATCGTTCACGGTGGTGCGGATGCATTCACACATCGTCTCCCAAATTTTGAACTTCTGAACTTCTTATCATTTTTTTTATTTACATAATTTGTAATTTTTGAGATCATCTCTTTGGTTCCTAACCTTTTCTATTACCATGAATACTATTACTACCTCCACTACTCTGAAATTTACCCTTACACTGTACTAATCGCGTATGGCAACTTAAACTAATGTACATATGTCCCATATTTTACATTGCATCCGACTAACTGACTAAATAACAGATGTTTGCGAATCCCTAATTGTTGTACATTGGTGCCTAAACATATAGGTCATTGGTAATGTCTCTGAATGTGAAGTTGAGCGACATGTGATCAAATCCTTCAGGTAGCATCAGTCCCCTCAAAATTACAGGTGTATATCTAGTCAACGAATACCAGATAGAACGAAACCAAAGTCCAGTGTTTCCTGTCGATTATCTCCAACCATCAACTCACAGCTTAACATAGTACACGCCATGTCGAATCACGTAGACTAGTTGCCATATTGCAACTTGATCAGCACTCAAAAGTACTTGACATGCATGACATCTGTCACTACTCAATGATTGATCAATTATAGATATATGTATGTGTAGTTGTTACTTTCTATTTTTTTGTTATATTGCTAGAATTGGTCAGTGTTTGTGCGTGAAGTTGATCCAGATATAATCACTGGTTATAATATACAAAATTTCGATCTACCTTATCTTATTAATCGTGCTAACACCTTAAAAGTTGATGGTTTTGAATTTCTTGGTCGTATACGTGGCGCACGTTCTACAATACGGGAAGCTATGACTCAGTCAAAACAAATGGGTCGTAGAGAGAATAAATTTGTAAATATTGATGGACGTGTACAGTTTGATTTATTACAGGTTAGTTTGGTTTTCTATTGACCTTTATACGTTATGCTGTCTTAGATCGACCATTGTCTTACCTGTGTGTAGTTTCTAATCAACATATTTCTTACAACTTTACTTCATATTTTTATTTCCTACAGTGGGTTTTTTCTATGATCCATTTACTATGTCCACATTGTTTGCGAAGACGATTATGGTATACTACCCAGCTGCCCAAAGCGAATTAGTTGGGGTAGGGTTCGAACCCGAATTTTACCTGGTGGTTTAATATCGAATGTAGTTACTTCTCGTGAACACCGTCTTGCATATATATGTATGCATCATGAAAAACAAAAGACTTCGTAGTATTGATAGCAGCAATGTTGTATTATTTCATTTGTCAACTCGGTTATTTTATGTTTATGACGGACGGGGTTTCCAGAATGAATTGATATCACATTTTTTATAGAAATATCTAAAAAGAATAATTCTGCATACAGTAGACAGGGATGATGTTCAAAATAACAATGAAAGCTTCACATTTAAACCATCCAATTTAAAGAACACACCGTTATCGAGATTTTTATACTTCCGTCAAGTTTCCTTGTCAAGTACTTGCTTGGAATAATAGCTATGTTTGACTTAATGCATCAATCAGTCACTCAATCCTCTACAACGTAGGATATAAGTATTCCGCCCATCGTTCTAAACGTTTAGGCTGAGATCAGATAAGAGTGGCGTTTTTTCCTGAGATTGTTTCACTCACAACTGACTTCATAATTCCAGTTTCTTTTATTAATCTGAAAAGCTATCTTGTATTACCTACAGTCGCTGCCTTTTTCATCTCTTTTGCTTTCGTTGTCCACCACTGCTCACTATTCTTCCATGGACTTTTGGTTAACCTAGATCTGATTTGTTTTCACTCTTCATTGTGTTCTGAGCCTAGTAGGATAGGTTTATGAGAGTCTATTAGTGCAATGGATGTAGTAGAAATCCACTGGTTTTTCGTGACCCTTTGGTTCAAATCACTAATAAATGCCGCTGCTGCTTCCACAGCTTTTCGTATATATTTCCAAGCAACATCTGGGTCAGCCTCGTTTTCAGAACTGCCTCAATTCTTGGAATATACTTTTAGCTTTCTCGTCAATGAGTTCAAATCTAATAGGCCTTTTTAATGTGACTTTTCGGCGTCCAGTGTGGCGCAAGCAAATATGTGCTCGTATTAGAGCATGATCCGAGTCTAAACATGTTCTCCAGAACGAGCGACAGTCTTCTATCGAGAAGGGAGTCGCAATGTTAGACGGTATCTCTCCTTATGCTTAAAATTATTGTTAGCCAAAAATAAACGATTGTCTGAGCACAGTTGCAGCAGACGGTTACCGTTATCTGTTCGCTGAGCCGCAATACCAAAATACCCATCTAAATATCTTTCTGTTTGGTTTATGCTACCTACTTGGGCATTAAAGTCACCTGCTATGAGTAATATGTCTGAGTGTTCAGCTCTTTGAAAGAGTTCGGAAAGCTTTCTGCAAAAGTCATCTTTCACTTCATCCGGGCTGCAGTCAGTGGGAGTGTAGGCAGAGACGATGAAAAGATAACGACATGTGTCTCTATTCTTCCGAGTTCTTACGGAGCCGTTTAGGCGAACCAGCACATAGGCGACTGTTAACAGGCATCCATCCTAAAAGTGCTTGTTCTGCCTTCATACTCAATGCTATGCCTACATCCTCCAGTCCACGAGAATTCGCCGTCGGGTCCTCAGATAAAAGGCGGGTGTATCTCGTCGGCTCTCCGTTTTGGCTAGGTGAGGTCATATGAATAACCACACTATGATCCTGTATGCGTGTTTCGGAAACATTATAAACCAGTGGTACGAAATTCTAGGGTTTTAGTCAAGGAGACCTGCTGGGCGATTTGGCATAGAGTACGTACGTTGAAGGCTCCAATGTGTTGTTTGAAGAGAGGTTTCAGTAGACCTGGGACAGTATTTCGCGCACTAGAATCATTGATCATGGTGACACTTTAGGAGGAAGCATAGAGCTGATGGTTGAGGCAGGGAATAATAGGAATTGAAGAGGGAAATCGATTATGAATACGGTGGTCTTGAGTGCTGTTAGAGGTATGAGGGCGGTTATCACTTCCCGACTGCCCACACCGTGGAAGGGTTCTTCTAGAGGTACTTGAAGAGAAAACTAGGTTAGAGTTGGTCTTAGTGATCTGAGAGCGTGACCTCAGTGCCCAATAGACAACTGCTTGAGGTGTGTCACACACAACCTTTTTGTGAGTAGTTTCCGTGTTAGCTCCGTACTTGTTGGGACCTTACCGTCGGAGATGGATATCCGTTGGATAAGGCGAGGTGTGCATTTTTATGGTCGACCTTTTCTAACCCTATCTCTGTTATGCTGGTTGTCTGAAGGGGACACCGTACTGCCGTTACACAGTCTACAGTACGACTTCACCCACGGACCTTGAGTTCGCCACTTTTATTCTTACCGCCCTTCAACTGACCTGCCTGTCTAACATGGTAGGATCTCGAGGAACGATTGTTTCAGCCAGTAAGACCTGATTGGTTCATTACGATAGATAAACCTGGCCACCACGTCAAGGTAGCAGTATGTGTCACTCTGATACACATCCAGTGTTATTTATTAATATGTAAATACTAAAATATATTTGGTCAAATAATTTATGATAAAACGTATCAGTCTTTTCGTTGTAAAAACGGTGGTCGCTACCAAAATCCTAATGTTTTCACTTTCTTACCGATTCATTATTTATTAAATTTCACCCGAACTGGACTTTGGCATATTACAATATTCCTTGTCTGTATCAATTTTGAAAATAGCTTAATTCATGGACTGACCGTAACTGAAAGAATCATGAAAAACTAGGATACTCTGAACATCTATTTCATCTTAGTTCATTATGAACTTAATAACCTTGCTAGCGTATAGGATCTTAGACATGTAAGACCTTGAGGTAAATATATCACTTTTAAATAACTACTCTAACAGCATCCAATCGTTTACATTTCTAACTTCAGTCAATTCATTGAATTTAAACTTTTTGTTCGAATGATTTTTAATATTATTACATCATTTATAGAATTGTGCTTCTTGTCAGTTATTTTATTTTATTTAAACTTCATTTCAGATATTATTTCGTGATTATAAACTTCGAAGTTATACATTGAATGCAGTGAGTTATCATTTTCTTGAAGAGCAAAAGGAAGATGTACATCATAATGTCATTACTGACTTACAAAATGGTGATGCTCAAACACGAAGACGTTTAGCTGTTTATTGTTTAAAAGATGCTTATTTACCATTACGTTTATTAGATAAATTAATGTGTATTGTAAATAATATTGAAATGGCTCGGGTTACTGGTGTACCATTAACATACCTACTTACACGGGGTCAACAAGTCAAGGTTGGTATATGTGTATACCTTTTTTTGTGCAAATACATTTTTTAACAGTTGAATCCATGAGTCGATCTAAGCTAGACCATCATTGAAAACCTGGGACACTAGACGGCCGTTTCGTCTTAGAATGGGGTGTGTACTGTTGAGGAGTCCTATACTAGGACGGGACAGCTATCCAATGCTTCTAGGTTTTCGATGATGGTCTAGCTCAGATAGCCTCGCGGGTCCGACTTCGAAAATACATTTTGTCTGAACCTTTGACTACTAGTATTTAGTAAGTAGCATAATTATATATTGAAAGATTTCGTGATTCTTAATGTATTTTATGTTTCTTCAATAGGTTATGTCTCAGTTATTGCGTAAAGCCCATGAACATGGTTATTTATTGCCAACATATCAGTCGCAACAGGGTGATGAATTCGTCGGTGCAACAGTACTGGAACCACGTAAAGGTTTTTATAATGAACCGATAGCTACATTAGATTTTGCTAGCCTATATCCAAGTATAATGATGGCTCATAATCTATGTTATACAACTTTGTTACAAGTGAATACAACACCACATGGTTCAACGGGCGGTGGTATTCAAGCACTTGTTCAACGTTATAATTTAACTGATGAAGATTACATTAAAACACCGACTGGAGCGTATTTTGTTAAATCACATATCTGTCATGGTATTTTACCGGAAATTTTACAACAGCTTTTAAGTGCCAGAAAAAAGTAAGTGTGTAATCTCGTTAAAAGTGAAAGCCCGCTAAGGGTGCCCTTTTTAACGGAAACTTCTATGAGATAATCTTATTTTAACTAGTTACCTGTTTCTATATAGATTTCTTAAAGTTCTCGTTACAAAATCAAACTTGCACACTCTTCTTATCAAGGGCAGAACTGTCACTTTGCTATTAATGATGTAAACCATAGGAATCTCACTGAATGACTTGATTGTATCGCGCTTAACGTAAGATGTATGCGAAACTAATAGTTGTTTCTATTCCTCTACCAACATCTTAATCAGTAAATAGCGTGTTTGAAAGTTTTATCCTTGAAAAGTTCACGAATAATTTAACAGATCCAGAAAATATTATTATATGTAAAGCAGCAAGGTAAATTTTGTTAAACCTAAAATTTCTAATCAATATCACGTATGATATTCTCAGTCGGGTCGGCTACCTTTTTCACGGATATACACACTGACCAATGAACAATAATCGAGGCCTTTGTGATTTATTGGTCCACGCGGCTCTCCCAACTTAGGTGCCATTCATAAACCGCATAAAAAGAACAAATTAGTTCTCTGTTATACCCAGATCGATCATGTTATAAAACTCATACAATAATTTACTGAAAATTCTTGATTACTCAGCACGACAAATTAGAAACCATACTTTGAGCACAATTACATCATAAATGGTAGTGTTCGTTGCTAACAGCGCATAATTAATTAGCAATAATTATGCAGTAGTAAAAGGTATAATATCAGTGAATAGGTTCACTGTACGCTTACAATAAGAATATAGCAATGCAATAAAGATATAAAATATAATGGTATTAATCATCTGAAAAATAGCCTTGTGAGTTTCAACCTGCTAAACATTCGTCCAACTAAAATATATTTCACTCATCAATCTTTTCCTATGTTTCCTTTGATTTGGAATCTGTGGTTGTCAAGAATTTCTTCATTTAATAAAAGTCTAGTCAAATACCAAATTGTAGTCAACATACTTCACTTTTAAATGGGACTTTATTTAAATACTTTCTTATAATAATGTAATTGATTCATTTAACTTAAGCCATGTTCGCTTGTAAAAGCATGAATATTTTCGCATAAAGCAATTAAAAGTACTTTTGAAGTGTACTCCATGATTTAGTTCTGAAACATATCTTATGAGACCATGTGTTTCCTGAGCATTCCATTGTTTGTTGTATGTCTATTTCTCTCAGTTTAAATTTCTGTGGGAGAAATTCATTGTCAGTAACCAAGTTACAGCCTGACTGGAGCTTCTATCGTGACATGGCGGCTGGTTTTTTCTTTAATGATCTAGCTGTATTAGTTAGCACACTTGCTTTTTTAGTCCCTATCGTATATAAAAGTCAATCACTTACAGATGAATCTCTAAACTAGTCCTTAGGCTGTTGAAGACATAGTCTTGGAGTGAACAAAGTCAAAATAAGTAAGCTTTTTGACTTGGAAAAGTCTATGCTTATGAAGTGCAAATTAATACCGTTAATATAAAACCAGAACTCAATGTAGTCTATTAAAAGAAAAAAACAGCTAGAGGATACAAAAAGGGAGTGAACAAAGTTTAACATTCTATACAAATATTTGAATGTACGAATATGTGAACGAATAGTCTGATACAATTGTCGCTTAATAAAGAAATTCTTTGTATGAAATCACATTTGTTATCCTACGAAGCATATCCATAGCGAAGTTAAAATAAATCAGTGTAGTGGGGCACGTTTATCAATCACACTTTGCACTATACGTTACCGACTAATTGGAGAACATTAAGAATATAAAAAAAGCAAACTAAGGTACTTGGGTGAAATCTTCTAAGTGCTGATTGTACTGAGGTTTAACAGCAGTTAGGCATTTTCCTACAACAATCAGTATTTCCAGCCATCCACTCTCCTCACAACTAAACGAGCAGGTAAGAAAAGTTAGACCTAGGATTTGCACACTATCATACCACACGGATTTCGGTTGCTGGTGATACAGCTTCCAAAGTACGAAGCTAGCATATCAAAAACCACTCACAAGAAGGTCATGCTGTGACCTGGTCTCAATTACCTGTCTTCTGAGGTCTGCTGTCACGTTCCCAGGTTGCTAACACGACTAATAATCCAGTTTCTGTTTCAAGTCCCTCAAGACAAAGTGTTCCTACATGGTGTGGGTCACCGCCTACTTACCTCTCAGCAGAAACCTATGGTTCGAATTCTCATTTATACTCTTCACTATACTGGGGTGTGATAGTAGTAGGGTTTTCCGTCGGAAAACCACTATATGCAGTAAAACTGCCTTCTCATTGTAGAGGGGGAGAGCTTTGGAATCGGCTTACACGTTTGACAGTACCTAACACCATCCTGTTCACGATCGAATACACTTCGATTAAAAAAAAAACATTTATTACACATTATTACAGGCAACTAGAAAAGCGTTTAAACTAAGTTCTTTGACATATGTTTCACGAATTCATTATATACTGTTTTTCACTAATAAAGTCCTTCTCTATTCTAAAAAATCATTTGCCTTTTTAGTTGTCGAATTTCACTTTACTACTGATCACATTTAATATTTCATACAATATGTTGATTAGTTTCGAAATTATTCTGTTTAATGAATTTGAAAAAGACTCTAAGAAGGTAGGACCAATGATCGGGCCATCAGAATTCGGATGGTAGTGTTGAGTAACGTGTTATATAGAAACTCCAAAAGGGTTACCCTTAAGATTAGAATATATCAGTAGGACTTCTAAGTTAAGGCTTGTATGGGAGTTGAAGAATGCTTTGTAGCTACAAACAAATATTGATTTGTTTAAAAACATAAACATTGGTACCAAAAAGCGCCAGAATAAATATACGCCACACTTATCATTGAATTCGTGTGAGGTCTGGGATACTTCTCGGTGGTCTCTATCCAATCTTTTGGCCCAATAGAAAAATATTAGTAGACGCAGTCCCACGTTGGCCGGTGACCAAGGATAGATTCATACGCCATTTGTTGCCTCAGAACCCTGAAGCCTAAGTGTTCCACTGATTTAAAACTTGAGTTTTCCAACTCTCCTAGATGTATCCTCTACTCCTACCAAGTCGGTTTAAGCACGGGACACTCGACTTTCATCCTCTTGGTTTCATAAAGCAACATCCCCTCCATAATAAGGTAGTGAACAGGACTATCATAGGATTGGTTGTATACGCCTGGTCATATGAGAGTAAATGAATAATTACTTATGCAGTCAGTTTTGAATCTCATTAGTTTGTTAAGGTATTGTTTTACTTTCTTTATCATTTTCTCTTCCCCATTTATAGAGCTAAAGCTGAACTTGCTAAAGAAACTGATCCATTACGTAAACGTGTTTTAGATGGACGTCAATTAGCATTAAAAATTAGCGCTAATTCTGTTTATGGGTTTACTGGCGCACAAGTTGGTAAATTGCCTTGTTTAGAAATATCCGCTTCTGTTACATCATTTGGACGTTTAATGATTGAACAAACAAAATTACATGTTGAAAGTAAATTCAATATTGCTAATGGTTATAAACATGATGCTGTGGTAAGTGGCATAATATTTAAATATGTTTAAAGGGGGGAAACTAAATGAAATTTTTTGAGGACTAGGATACTGCTCGCTTCCCCAAAACTGAAGCAGGTGGTTTTCTTAAGAGGGGGTTACTCCCTGAGGCTTTGACTTAGAGACTAGTCAACAAACCAATGAGGCAACGTAAGATGATGGTGTCCCATGGTAGCTGATGACCAAGAATAGGTTCGGACGCCGTCTGTTTCCTCAGGATACTGAAGCCCATATGTACCATTAATTGTGAGTAAGAGTTTTCCAACTCACCTAGATGATTGCTTCGTACCTACCAGCACAGTCTAAGCGACGTACACTCGCTTTTCGTCCTCTTAGTTTCTTAATCGACAACCCCTCCATGATGAGACAGTAAATAGGGCTTCCCTAGGATTGGTTATATACGCATGGTCATGTCATAGCATTTCGAGAGGGAGAGGCGGGTTTTCAAACAGGTCTTTAGGTTTGAATTTCTCTTCGAATAATAAAAATCGACTGAATGTTCATTTTGTAACCGTTTATATATTTTTTCTCTGTTTATTTCATAGGTTATTTATGGTGATACAGATTCAGTGATGTGTAAATTTGGTGTATCCACAGTAACGGAAGCTATGGAATTAGGTCGTAAAGCTGCCGAAATTATATCTGAAGAATTTCCTAAACCAATTCGATTAGAATTTGAAAAGGTATATTCTTGAATATATTTTCTATAAATAGATAAATATTCAACTGATATCATGGAACATAATATATTGAGCCAGTCAGAAGTTTCCAAATGGATGGTCTTTTTATTCAAGTAGCTTGATTGACTTATATATAGGGAGTTTACTTATCAGTATCAACTCTGAAACACCGGTTATTACAACAGTAGACATTGGTGATAATTTGTTAACATGAATTATGAACTATACATGTAACGCTTATTGCTCTCATCTTTCAATTACACTTAATTTAATGGATTGGACGGTTTAATTTTAGTTAATCTCATTTGATGAATGGGTAGGATATGCGGTATGACATGCGGTGCCCAAAATTTGATACTGATACACAAGCTTCGTTGTACACTAGTCAAAGCAACTACTTGAGCGAAAAAACAAAGTGAGAAATTTTACTAAATAAACCGAATCGATGTGTAGACTCACGAATAAAATAACCGGCCTGTATTAGTGTATAGATACTACGAATAACTCATCCAAACTTTGTTGTGATTAGTAGAGTAACTACTCCAATCCGGTTAACCGTCCCGGTGCTGCCTTATTCTGCCACAGTGATTATTCAAGCGTCAACGACGAATCTAATTCGACGTGTGCCCTCCAGATAATGATAAATTCATACGACCAAACGAGGGTCAATGGCTTCAATATGCACCTTCATTTACATGTCCATTAGAAATTAACCCATCGGATTATTATTTTATTTTATTTATTTTAACACATAGATATTGGTACAAGGAGGCACCAAATACATATGCACCACACAAATCTCATTTGATATGTGTGAGGGCTACGATACTGCCACGAGTGCTCAAACCGAAGCAGGTGGTTTTCTTAAGGAGTCACTCCCCGAGCCTTCGACCTGGAGATCTAATCCACAAGGCAGTGGAGCATCGTAAGGAGATGCAGTCCCATGGGAGCCGGTGACCAACAATTGGTTCATACGCCATTTGTTCCCGCAGGATACTGGAGCCCATGTGCACCATTGGTTTGGAATCCGGTTAAAGCGCCGGACATTCGCTTTTCGTCCTCTCATTTTCGTAAACAACACCTGTGGTGCGAGAAAGCAGTGAGTAGAACTTCCCCGGCAGAGGCTATATACGCGTGGCCATGTGAGAGCATTTCGAGAGGGAGAGCGGACTCCACTCTCGGCCATACCAGGGCATTTGGGGGCTCAGTGGTCTAGAGATTAGGCGTTCGTGCACGAGACCGTTATGTCCTGGGTTCGAGTCCCGTGAAGCGGGATCATGGATACGCACTGCCACTGATGATTCCCGTACTAGTATGAAACCATCGGTAGTGTATATATTATCTCTTAGAAATGAAATCTATTTCTTGGTCAATAATATTCATCAAGTTACTTGATTTCTAGTCGGATTAATGTATCGTGATGTGATTCATACAGGGGTAATCTTCATTTTAGTTGGCACTAATTACTTGTTTTGTTCCAGACAGAGATATATAGATCACTTTAACAGTAGTCACAAAAGTACGAGTTTAAATGTTTCTGCTTACATTAGATTTTGACACTTATGCTACCGCTATCGAAAATACCATGGCACATATTGAAATTATGTTTCTTGTGGAGCCTGATCTCAAAGATATAAAAATGCGCCAGATAATCTAGGTGTTGCTTGATAACTTGTCTGCATCAATGCCTGACCTACTGACAAGGAGTGAAGTAGTTGTGTGCGTCGACCACTACTTATCCTAAGAGTCTCTTCAGTCCTGATGGTCTGGTGTTCAACAAAATCTCGGGATGGATACAGAAAGCTTGATTAGTTTTACCGAACTTGCATCACTTGTAGCGTAGTCAAGATGTCCATCTGCTAACCGAAGAGTGAGCATACTTCGTAGAAGTCTGGTTTGTATTACGCTGTTTATGAAACAATATGCATAGGCTTCACTCTTTCTATCATCCTTATCTTTAAAGCATTGTTTAATGATCGTGAAACAGCCGAATAAGTGCATAGGTTATTTGGTAAAGATGGCAAATCAGCTGACCAGGTTGTACACCCTCATCGACCGAGGCAGTTGGGATAAGTGGTTCGTATACCCAACCATCTCCCACTTTATTAGCGATTGTAGCTGTTGTTAGAGTACGTCTGAATAAATGTAGGGGAGCCAAATCAAGGCTATGCATTCTCTCACGAAGTCACTCACTATTTGTGTAAACCACGTCAGTACGTGCATACTACTCCGCTGGAGTCTGCTTGATAACCACGATCAATGGTTGGAGACGTTTGGTGACACATCAGTCAGAATCGGTCGCAGTAGCGTACGTAAACTCATTCACGCTCTATCTTGCTACACATCTAATATGACTGCTAGTGATGCCACAATTATTTCGATTCCTTTGGTATTTATCTTTTCAAATTCAGGTCTTCGTTCACTTGTGGTATCGCAACTCGGGCTAACACATATCTGTGCTAGTCTGTATGTTCTTTGCTAAATGTGACTGACTTAGATATTATTTTTATCATGAGTATTAGAAGCTGCTTTATTTTCCCCTTCAGAATTTGAGCTTCACTATTACTTTCATGCATCTTATTTTGCCGAATGATCCCACCTTTTCAAGCATTTCAACTGTATCTGTGACATCATTTTATTTGTCAGGCATCTCGTTAATTTCATTTCACTATACTGATGTGTGACGATTACGCGCCATTCATATTTTTTCAAGTTCTATGTTATGTATAACTAATCTGATTTGATGTTTATAAGCCTTCACATCGTCGTTAGTTCATTTCAATGCGTTTATCTCTTCATGATAGAAATAATCTTTCCTATATTTATATCATTAATTGATTTCAGGTGTATTGTCCATATTTATTAATCAATAAAAAACGTTATGCTGGTTTGTATTTTACAAAACCAGATCGACACGATAAAATGGATTGTAAAGGTATTGAAACTGTACGTCGTGATAATAGTCCATTGGTGGCTAATTTAATCAATGCATGTTTAGAGCGTATATTGATTGATCGGTAAGAAGATTAAAGTTTTCTGTACCTGTATGTACATATATATATATATATATCTTTTTGTGGAGATTTTGTGTAATGCGAATGGATTTTAATCACTTGCTGGAATAATGCTCTGTTTTCTACCCTACATGATGGGATCTTAATTCACCTTAGACGATTGTCTGCACTAGATACCCTCCCAATGTCTTCTCTACAGGATTTCAACACACTTCAGATCAAGAACACGTGACTAGCCTGAATAGAATGTCAGTATATTGCTATGCTAACAACAGACAACAATCACAACAATAATAAGGGTAGTAAAATATATAACTCATTTAATACCTGTCAGACTCTCTACTAATCTGATTGAACAAACAATCAAGCATTATTTTCGTCGTTCATACATCACTTACTAATATCAAATGCAAAACGGCTTTCTACCATTTTGTCGCACGACATAATCCTTTTACACTTACTTTGATTTGGGTAGCCACTTCTAACTTCTACAAACTATTTGGTAAAAAGCTGAATACAGAAAACCTGTACTTGACCAAGGTGTATTAGACTACTAAGTTCTGGTTTATTTGTGGTCGTGATTGAGGAAGTTTTTCGAGTTCAAAATCAAATGAACACCTCTGTTTTTGTACAGACTTCTCCTACATGCTACTATCGTCATATTTTAAATAAACTTAATGGGATTTTGTGTCACATTGGCAGTAATTCATAAGTTGGAAATGCTAGTTTCTAGGAAAAAAAGTATCACGTAAACAAACAAGTTATCACTTCACCACCTGAAATTTTATTAGCAATAATCTTTTAACTTTTGTTGTTCGAATATCTCAGGAGTTTTCATTAGGAACCTTCTATTCATCTTTGATAGACAATCGAAAACCATACACAACTTGTCACAGACAGCCAAAAAAGCATTGCATAATTGCAGCATTAAAACTGAGAATTCAAAAAGCTACCGATCTACACTGAGGATAAATGTCGAAATAGGTGTGATATCACGAACTGACTCTACTTAGATAATAATTAAAATTTGGGAAGCGCTGGATTGCTCTTTCATCCTGTGTATGAGACGTTTTCAAGACTGCGCATCCTCGAGCGCATCAGGGATCGAACTCAGATCGTGAGTTCTCAATGGTTTGTCTATGGTCAGTCCATAATGTGGAACCACGAAATTCAATAATATTATTTTAACAGCAAAAATATTAATGTATTTGTTCCTCCAGTACAGAATACGGTAGATAATGCCATATAATTTATACACCAACACTAGACTGGATAATTTAACTGGGGTCACCAGATCGAAATACTAAATACGAAAAGATCAGACCACTAGATTAATTCACGTTATGCACAAATACACATTCCCGACTAACATTTAAACATCATATTATAAAGACAGGAGTGTCTAATCTTTCGATGGACAATCGGTTCGCACACAATCAACCCAGAATAGAAATTTTACGTGAATTATTTACCGTGTAAAACTAGTGATTGATATTATAGATCATGGAATAGGCGTCTATCTGTCTGTCTTCATTCATTAACCGATTACAGCCTATTGTAACATCAGATCTCTACATTCATCTTAACTGTTAAGTAGCCAAATTCTATCACAATTGATTGATCACTGGGTGGTGATCAATGTCATGCGTGTCTAGTCCTTATTATTTGTGCAGATCGAATGCTATCGATCATGTTGGAATGTGGTCACCAGGTTAGTCGCGGTTCGGATAGCTCAGTGGTAACGTCTCTGACTGTGAAGCTGGGTGACACGAGATCGTATTCGCCAGGGAGCACCAGTTCCCTCAAGATTACAGGTACACCTTGCTGACGAGTCCCAAGTAGCACGAAACCCGGGTTCAGGGTTTCCTGTTGACTACCTCCAACCACCATCTAAAAAGCCAAATTCTATGTTAAATTTTGTAATATCCATCCTATTGTTGTCATATAAATACGGGGAATAAATAACATAACTATTTTAGTTTGTCTAGTCTCTGTCAATATGGAGAATAGTTCTGACTTATCCACTACTGTAGATTTTTAGCTTACAATAGACACCTACATAAGAGAGTTGAATGATGCGAAAGACAAAACAGCTGTCCACTTCACTTCTTTGAACTAAAGTCAATTCGTGTTACAAACCTTTCTTCGGACTGGACAGTCTCTCTGCAGACTTTTCATGTTTTAATATTCAATAGTTTTCCATACATTTTTGTTGGTTTGTAATTTTTCTCTTTTTTTCAGTGATCCAAACGCAGCGATTAGTTATGCTCAATCAGTGATCTCAGATTTATTATGCAATCGTATTGACATTTCACAATTAGTTATTAGTAAAGAATTAACAAAAACCGATGAAGAATACTCTGGTAAACAAGCTCATGTAGAATTAGCTGCAAAAATGCGTAAACGTGATCCAGGCTCAGCGCCAAATTTAGGCGATCGTGTACCTTATGTAATTACTGCTGTAGGTGGGAAAAATACAGCAGCTTATGCAAAAGCTGAAGATCCTCTTTATGTATTAGAGCATAATATACCGATTGATACAAAGTATTATTTGGAAAATCAATTAGCTAACCCTTTACTACGTATATTTGAACCAATTTTAGGTGAAGTGAAAGCAAAATCTGTACTGTTAAGTAAGTTGTTGTATATTGTTCTTTTTAAAAAATTGTGTCTGTTCATTACTTCTTACACTTGTTACTTACCCTTCGTGGAGCATAGATCACTGACCAAGAAATTTCTTTAGAACTCTCCTTTCCAATTCTTGTCAAGTTCTACTCATCCTCTTGGTGTGTTTCGGACACCGTGCTTTTGGTCTGCCTTTCTTTTGTCTTGAGATTTCCAAATTAGAATTTGCATCGTGATTCAGTTAGCTGGTTTTCGTAATGTTTTATCTATCCATCTACAGTATCTGTGCAAATTACTGCAAATTTGGAAAACTCACAGCCTTCTTTACAAATCATGCAGTAATCGATATCAGGAAGGTTTATATGTAGTTTTGTTAGTTTTACTTGATAGGTGGTGGATGTATAGAGTTATCTTACGTATGGTGAACGAAGACTTTGTGCAGATGACCAATTTATTGTATAGTGCGAAATTACAAAGTGTCTTCGTAAATTACGGAAGCCATATATTAAATACTTCATTTGCACATCTTCAGATCTGCCTATTTTTAAGTTTTGTTTGATCCATAAATCGTTGTTGTATGTCGTATCATTCCAGATTTATCACTGATTGATTACTCTTCTATTACTCCAGTTTTGTATCACTTATGATTGAGTTGTGTGCATGCTGCAATTCCCTGATTATGTCGCCGCGTGGTCAGATATATCAAGTATGTCATTGAGTGAGTTTTGAGTCATCGTTGAATTGAACACAAATGAGCTGCTTTCTATCTTCGTCCTCTGATTAGCCACGGGGTCTCCAGTAGCTTGAGGAGAAAGTGTTATGTTCTTGGTTCATATGTCATTTGGTAAATATGTCACTGGTTCTAATGGCACTATAAGTGAACTAGTCAATAATCACACTAGAGAGTGAGAGAGAGAGAGAAAATGATTATATAACGGCTTTCTTGTCATTCTAGCCCGATTACGCGGGACTCAATATGTTACTAGCTAACGTCTAGTTTTTTTCATTGTAATAATATCACATTTATTTCTTTTTTTACAAAACTTCCTATTTTTTCTTTGTGCTGCATAGATGGCGAACATACACGTGTAAAAGCTGTGGTACACTCTACTGTTGGACAATTATCAGCTTTTACAAAAGTACGTGCATCATGTATTGGATGTAGAACATTATTACCTGCTGATAAAACAGGTGAGAGGGAGGTTATGTTGAACACGTGAAGGTTTTTTGTGTATCATTTTCTATTATTCCATTGTTTTCCTTTCTAACATCATTGAGCTTGACAACTAAACAAGTATTCACATTCAATCGAAAGGTAACATATTTACTAAAAAAAGTCCATTATTGTTTAGATAGATAGTTGGTAGTAAGTCAGTTCAAGGTGATGGAGGAATATGTTCGTGAACAAGATGACCTCAGGTGCTGTTAAAGGTATGGGGACGGTTGCCACTTCCCGGCTGCCCATATCATGGGAGGGTGTTACCTCTTAATTGTGGTCTTAGTGACCTAGGAACGTGACCGGAGAGCCGATGTGACAGCTACTTGACTTTGGTCACACACGGCCTTTTTATCGAATGTTTTCGATGTGCTAGCTCTGCTATCCAAAAGGTCTTACCGCCAGAGACGAAAATCCGTGGAGTAAGGTGAGATGTGGCAATTATATTATCAACCTTTCCTTATCCCTTCCTTCCGTTATGAGAAGGCAACATCGTTCCGGATGCTTGTTGTCTAAGGAAATTACCTTACTGCTGTCACACTTCAGTACAGTCAGCAGTACTACTTCGCCCTCGGAACTTAAGTTGCTGCTTGTAGTCTTATGGTTCTCCAACTCAGCTATCTGGTATAGTAAGACCTACAAAAACATGTGTTCCAGCCACTATATTTCAGTCGAGCTATCATGATAGGCAAGCCTGACCAACCACATCAAGGTAGCAGTTAAGATCTGAGGTTGATGGTTAGAGGTAACCAACATGAAACTCCGGACTTGAACTTCATGCTAGTTAATTGTTTTGTCAGCATAAGATTGCTCACGAAGATACTAACCCAAATCAGCTGATATCTTTCATTATAGTAGTAGCTTGCAGCTAATTACCATCAAACTATCCCAACATTAACTATAACTCTGTAAAAACATGAAGGTAACAGCTGCGATTTGGGAAAAAGTGGAGAAAGGAAAGGGAGAATCCAGTCCTAATCAACTCAAAAATTGTTTTTATTATCCATATTTTTCCTCTTTTACTTCTTCGTCAAATCTAGACGCAGCTTTATGTAAATATTGTGAATCACGTGCATCAGAAATTTATCAAAAAGAAATTGTACAGTTAAATTTATTAGAGAAAAAATTCACTTCTTTATGGACAGAATGTCAACGTTGTCAACAAAGTATACATGAAGAAGTTATATGTACCAGGTAGATTTATTATTATTATGATTACTTTGAATTACATTCATTGAGTGATATAAACTAGGAATTCAACGATTTCGACAAACTGCTTAGACTAATGATAATGTGCTCACTAATGATTGATAAACAGAGTTGTCGTGCGAAACTGTTGAATGATGGATGGTCTTACAATATCGCGAATTGACTGAGGTTACACATTCAAACTTAGTGATCTGGAGATTCTATGTCTTATTCCTACTGAAATCAGTAATGCATAGTTTTCTAAAAACCTACATTTGACGAAACGGTTATAAAGGGCTTCCTAGTTTTTAATGGTCATCTAACTGCAGTCAGTGAGTGGTGTGAGTTCCAAATATTGATGTCAGTTTAGTCTTGAATATGTCTGATTTCGTGATCAATCCGAGTGGAAGAAGCTACTGCACACAGTTTAACATTTTTATTCTTTCCCTTGTATCTATTGAACGGCTTCTGTTAGCTTATTGTTTCGTTGATCCAACGCTTCATCATCATTTGCATTCGTACATTGGCTGCATAGAATTCGATATACCTCTCAAAAATTGGGTTCTAGATGTAGATTCTATCTTATCTTAAACTTGCAAGCTGCACTTATCTTAGTGTTTCCTTGTTACGATTGATAGGAAAACCATTAGCTGTACATGCCGTCATCTATTATCTGGTATTCACTACCAATCTATATTCAAGTAACTTAGTCGTTTTGTACTTATCTATTTCTGCGTCCATTCAAATATATCGTTCTTCATTACACTTCTCTTTTTCCTTGTCTTCACTGTACCGTATATCGAAAACTGCTGACTGGAGTGTCATCGACATCTAAAACACCACATTCATAACTTTCATTTCAGTGATTTGCATTTCCCGTGAATTCAAATTTCGTTAAAAGAAATTCCGATGGGCTAACTATGATATCTTTCAGTTTGATGTTTTCTTTCTTCTGTTATGTAATGCACTTATCAAACGTGGGTTTGATTTAATTCATACGTCAGTTATATATGAAGAGTAGAGCTAATAACCGAACTGATTAACTACTTAAATTAATATAGGCAACCAAGCTATATTCATTCTGCTGATGGGAAATCGAATGGTTCAACTGACATTACGAACCCAACCGTCCCATGAAAGTTTCATTTATACTCAGTTTAAATCTTCTTCCCCTTAACATAATAAGTTTATTTCATTTATCCCATGTTACATATCCCTCCCACTATATGTAAAACTAGTTGTGGCGAACACTACTCACAAGATTGTTAATAATGTGATATTATAGAGGAACGTCAAATGGAAGTTACTACAATTGACTGCCGAAGAAAAGAATTCCAGGAGGTCAAAAAGCACAGTATGTACAGAATACTTTGAAGACCAAAAGAGAAGCGAGAGAACGCAACCTAGAGTCAAATTGTCTTATTGTCATCTATTACTGACGATAGTTTCAGACTCAACAGTTGTTTAGCTGCCCAGGCCATTTACGCTACAGTCCAAAAGTTGTAGCTAATGAATGCGGTACTCCAAGGCATCAATCGTCGATTCACATCTTGTGTATTGTTCAATGCAAGTTAATTCTCAACTGTTTTCTCTTGTTTCTCTTCTAGTCTTCATGATATTCTGTATATAGCGTGCTTCTTAAACATCCTGAGTGTTTTCTCTTCGACAACTTCTACTTGACGCTTCTCTACTATACTACTTTTACAAGCAGTCTTATAAGTAGTAGCATTCATTCACCACAGAGTAGTAGTAATACACATATTAAATTCAATTATTTTTTCTAACATTTATATTTCAGTCGAGATTGTCCAATTTTTTATATGCGAATGAAATCACGTAAAGATGTCGATGAAGCATATAAAACAATTCAACGTTTCGGTAATCCTAATTGGTAAATCAATAAGAAAAAAGGAGTCACATTCATTGAATTAGTCTAATCCATTGTAAAAAGAACAAACAACAAGAATATCCTTTAAGATCATTTTATCCGTAACGTCATTCTCTCTCAGGTTTTGTTTAGTTCTCTCTTTATTCCAGAGTTCAAATTTTTTTTTTTATTATATTTTCTGTTATAAAGATTTTTTTTGGTATTTTGAAAAGTGCATTTCCAAATTATTGTACTTCACATTTTCATTGTTTAACATATTTTTTCTTTATTGTAGTGCAATTTGTTTTGTTAGGAATTAAAAAAAGAACCCAGGCGATTGAACACCTTCAAAGTTGGAACAATTAGGCGGGCGAAACTTTATCAGTTGAGATGGCTGGGACACGTGTTACGTATGCCCAACAACCGACTACCTCGACGTGCTATGTTCAGTGGTATAGGAGTAGGTTGCAAGAAAGCTAGGGGTGGCCAGACCAAAACATGGCACAAATCCATGAAGTCACTAGACAAGTGAACTGAGCCGTGTTAGTAGGTGTGTAAATCACAATTCTAATTTCTCACACTAATTTATTACCTTCATTTGATCCTAGTTATCAGCTGGACAGTCTCAAGGTCAGTCTACGTCGTCCATAAATTATAGTCCCACCCAAGTAGGCTATTCAACTTCATGTTTTTGAATAGTTACTAGAGAGAATGAATAATAATGGGATAACAGAACTTTTCATTGTTTATGGTAAATATGTAAGATTCTGATTGGAAAATAAACGAAATATAATCTATATGAAGATCAAAGTGAACTAATCTAGTGGTGGACGTTTAATGCTGGTATTGGTGGATTCATTTATTGATCACAGCACAAATTTGTACGTTTAAAGATAGGGATGTAATTATATCGATGCCCTCCTAAAATGTCACCCTCATAAGAGCATGTATTGAAAGGATGTGCATCAATCAACCATGTTCGGACTTCAGAAAACACCAAAAAGGCGACTTAACAGTGTAATTTAGGTCTAAATATTGCTTACGTTTGTAAATATTTTTTAGCACTCTTTAATATGCGTATTCATACTGCGCCGTGTTGGTTATGCAGTTGAGTATCGATCTATTCCCATAATCTACAACTAGTATCCTGGATCTAAGCAACAAACTTTCCAATTTTCTATTTATTTAGACTGAAATCCTTTTATAAAGCACGTTTGGATGAGTGGGTCCAATAAGTTATCTAAAGCCTCTCTGCCTCGTTGCTCGTTCTAATCACTCACTACCGAAAAATCAGCGTCTTTGCTGTCTCCTAAGTACTTTTATCCCATTATGACGAGTCAAAGAACATGTATTTTGGGACCGAGCTCGTAACATTTTGTAGTCCTAAATGCTTCACTTCAAAATAAACATTATTTTACATCAGAGATCTTGAGTGCTGTTAGAGGTATGAGGGCGGTTATCACTTCCCGGTTGCCCACACCGTGGAAGGGTTCTTCTGGAGGTAGCTGAAAAGGAAATCGGATTAGAAGTGGTCTTAGTGACCTGGGAGCGTGACCGCAGTGCCCAATGGACAACTGCTTGAGGTCGGTCACACACGACCTTTTTATGGACAATTTTTGTGTTAGCTCCGTACTTATTGAGACCTTACCGCCGGAGACTGATATCCGTGGGATAAGGCGAGGTGTGCATTTTTAGGGTCGACCGTTTCTAACCCCACCTCTCCTTGTGGGAAGGCAGCATCGCTGTCATGCTGGTTGTCTGAAGGAAACACCTTACTGCTGTCACACCTCTGTACAGTCAGCAGTACGACTTCGCCTTCGGACCTTGGGTTTGTTGCTTTTAGTCTTACCGCTCATCAACCGACCTTTCTGACGTGGTAGGACCTTGAGGAACAGTTGTTCCAGTCAGTATAGCTCGGTTGCTTCATCACGATAGGCAAGCCCGACCACCACGTCAAGGTAGCAACAACGGTCGGGATTATTTTACATACAATCACACGACTGTCCTCAGTACCCAAATCAACCAATTTAAAATGAATTCCTAATTATGATGCTTGTTCTTGTTTGAGTTCTTTTTTGGATGTGAACCACTTTAAAAGGAGTAAAAAGACTTATGTACCATAAATATTATCGAATGGTTTTCAGAAAACTTTCCACGAATTTACTGCATAAACTCAAGGAACCTTGTCGTTGATATAACAGCTCGTTTCCACGTAATACTACTATATTTAAGCATATTGGCCCTCTGACTGCTTCAGAAACATTTGTTCTTTTGTGATTCATCACAGCATTAATTAGAGATACTACTCGACATACATTAGTTGCAATAATATCTGATCAGAATTCGACTCATTCAGGGCATGTTTATAACGATGATGAGAGATTTCACTGGAAATATATGCATTGTGAGGACGAACATACCAGCTGAGAGTGAGTCATTCGTACTTGTTTGTTTATACACATAAACATTGGTTCGAGGAGGCACCAAATACATATGCGCCACACTTTATCATTCCATTTGTTTGAGGGCTGATGTACTGACCGAACCCCCAAATGAAAGCAGGTGGTTTTCTCAGGAAGCCCTTCTCCGAATCTTTGACCTACAGTTCTAATCTACAAGGCAGTGGAGCGACGTTAGGAGATGCAGTCCCCATGATAGCTGGTGACCAACAATAGGTTCATACACCATTTTTTCCCGCAGGATTCTGGAGCCAATGTGCACCATTGGTTTGGAATCAAGGTCTCTCAACTCCCCTAGATGAATCTTCCATCAACCTGGTCAAATAGCCTATGTATACCATTGGTTTTGTGTTGTGGTTTTTCCAACTGTCCTAGGTGTATTTGTGTCTGCCAACACGGTTAAGGCTCCGGATCATTCGAACAGTTCACATCTGATGAAATGGCATCAGGATTTGATACATTTAACATACTTTCTTCATACCAATTAAAGATTTCACTATAAATACTTGAATCATTAGGTGAACCTATGTCTTCTGGTAAATAATGTTGGAAATTTAGTTAGGGCTTTATTCATCTGAAATTATTTTCTCACAACAATTTAGATCAGTTGGTATCAGACATTAACATTATAACGACCAAATTTTTTCCACAATGTCGATAATTCCAATTTGAGTTTGTACAGTATGTCCATTTTTTCTAATTATTGTCTAATCACAATACATAGTATAGTGACTAGGTCTGTTAGAAAACTGATTTGTCGCCAAAATTATATGATGGGGAGGACAAATATACTTTCTGTTTCTATGGTGTTCTACACTAGCAGCACAATAACAGAATTAATGATTGAGATTACATTGCTACTAGATCGATATCTTATACACAAACTGGACCACATTATCTAAAATATATCATTCAAAGACAAATATAGAGAACTAGAGTATAGACTAGGCAATAACCATATTCAACAAAACTACAGATAGTTTACACTCAATTAGTCGAAATTATAAATCAATAATAGAAAAGGAAATCTCATTTTGAAGTCAATAAGCTAAATGCCTTTTTATCCACACTCAATGGCTAATCACAATTATTTTCACTAATACACAATCTCATAAAGATTCATAAGATTTCTAACTGTCCCATTGAACAACAAAATCATGAAATGATGGACATTAGACCACTATTGAAAACCTGGAACCACTAGACGACCGTTTCGTCCTATTGTGGACCTTCGATCTCGCGCACGAACGCTTAACCTCTAGACCACTCAACCCAAGATCCAACGGTGTCAATGTCTAGCCTCAACTCAATACTGATAAAAAGAGATTAATTCACATAATAATCATAAAAATGATGTATTCATTAAATAATTTTCATTAAGATTACAATGTTAACGGTTTTGTGTGTGTATGTGTGGTAGATGATAAATTGCACCAAATAATGATTAGACTAGTTGAAATGTTACATAATAAAATGATAATTTTTCTAAAAAATACGTAATGAGAATTACATAATTTTCTTATTATTTTCATGGTCATCAAATCCATGATTGATTGTAGTTTATTCATCTGAAATACAGATTAGTGTGAAACTGAACAGTTTAGTTTTTAATGAGATAGAGAGAATATGAAAAAGGTTTCAGTACAAAGTTGTAGAGATCATGAATCGATTGATGACCATCATTGAAAACTTGGAAATACTGAATGGCTGTTTCATTCTAGTCTGGCACTCTTCAGCAGTGTATATTCACGATCCTGCATTGCTGAAGGGTTCCATACCAGGACGAAACGGCCGTCCAGTACTTACAGCTTTCCACTCGTCGTCTTACATTCATCCACCACTCTTGATATAAATTTAAACTCAACAATCCCTACAACCCTATACTGATAATTACCATATGCTCACTAGTGACTAGCTTCGAGTGGTAATTCTCGGAGTTCTAATGAGAAGCTGTGACCAGTGGAGCTAATCCGTGTCTGGTAGAGACAGGTAATCGAAGATGGTCGTGCAATTTTGCGGATTAGTTGACGTTAAGCATAAACACCGTCGGATGCTAGTTCGACAGTATAGACGTCTCATGTGATTGCTCGTGGATGCGCACTTCTGAAAAGTCATGTACTTGGGCTAGGATACTGCCCGGGTGCCCGAACTGAATCAGGTGGTTTTCTTAGAGGGCCACACTCGAAGCCTTTGACCTAAAGGTCTAATGCACAAGGCAGTGGAGCAATGTTAGACGATGTAGTCCCCATGGTAGCGGGTGATCAACAATAGGTTAATACGCCGTTTTTTCCCTCAAGATACTGGAGCCCATGTGCACCATTGGTTTGGAATGAGGGTTTTCCAAGTCGCCTAGGTGGACTCTCCGTATCCACCGAACCAGTTAAAGCGCCAGGTATTCGCTTTTCGTTCTCTCAATTTCGTAAAGAACAGTCATGCTGCGAGAACGCAGTGAATAGGACTTCTGTGGCAGTAGTTGTATGCATGTGACCATGTGAGAGCATTTGGAGAGGGTGAGCTGACTCTCCCCACTCGCAGCTGTACCAGGTCATTTGAGGGCTACTAAACAATCTTTAAAATTTAATGATATTTGTAATGACGGGCAGCAACATGGTACTTGTTTGAGGAACACAAAATCAATTACAATCGTGGATATATCAATCAATAAGGAGGAAATACAAACTTTCATAATCCTTAGCTAGTCCGAGTCATTTGTCATGAAATCTCTATTTGTGGTTTTTCGAAGTTATCTCCGTGAAAACTTAGTTTCAAAACAAAACTGCAACGATTTATTCCTTTTAATACAAAAAAAATGTGTAAGGACTTGAGGGAAAGCTAATTTCTCTTTGTGAAAGTTCCATATACTGTTGCAAAGCATCAAAAAATGTAGATTCCTATTTATCAACACATCACAATTATAATATTTATATCATGAATCAATTACTCATTTGACTCGGTTCATATGTTCGAACCCCGTCATTAGAAATATTTGATGTCACAGTCTGATAGTATCATAATCTCGTCATGCCTGAAATTTAGCTTATAGTAATATACATGCTTCTATGATTATTTATTATTGATTTTGATCGATGAGAATAAATGAACTAATAATATTTAAGTTAAAAGCTCATCACTTTAGATTCAGTTTGGGTATTACTCTAACCCTTCAGTTATCTAATCACCAATCATGAAAGTGCAACAGTTTTTTTTCATATAAATATCACTAAACGTTTCATTGGAGAGCTAGAATGCAGCTGGACGATCTAGACTTCGCAGATGATCCGGCTCTTCTATCGCACACTCAATAACAAATACAGGAGGAGACGACCAGTTTAGCAGCAGCAGTAGGTCTCAACATACATAAAGGGAAAAGTAAGATTCTTCGGTACAACACAACATGCGCCAATCGAATCACACTTGATGGAGAAGCATTGGAAGATGTAAAAACCTTTACATATCTGGGTAGCATGGTTGATGAGCATGGTGGGTCTCACGCAGAAGTGAAGGCGCGGATCGGCAAAGCAAGAGCAGCATATCTACAATTGAAGAATATCTGCGACTCAAACCATCTGTCTGTCAACCAACATCAAAGTTACAATTTTCAATACAAATGTCAAGACAGTTCTACTTTCGACAAATGGAGACAGACATGAGAAGAATGAACAATAATTGGATAGAACTAGAGAGGAAGGCCCAGGACAGAGTGGGTTGGAGAATGCTGATCGGCGTCCTATGATCCATTGGAAGTAACAGGTGTAAGTGAGTAAGTAAGTAAACTTTTCATTGATTCATTTTACTATGTCCATTCTATCACCATGTGGGTTCTCTTTTTAAAACTACTGACTGTATTATTTTGCATTTTCGAATTAATGATAGTAATTTACATTTTAGATATAGATTGTAGTTGTTAACTATATATACAGTTGCCTTTTATGACTATAACCTTGTTAAGACTCTATATACCACAATATATAGAAGTATTCATGAAGTTCATTTATAGGTCAATTAAATTAATATAAATTAACGTATTATCATTATGAAACTTACCATCCATATAAGCACCATCAGCAAGAACTAATTGTAAAATACGATCATAATAAATTCGAGTTTTTTCTTCACCTAAAACATTAGTAACAATTTTTTCACTTTCTGTAATTGTTTCATCTTCATCTTCTTGTAATGCCTAATAGTAGAAAATAATATTTAAGGAAAAAGGTTATATAGAATACTCTGGATAAACGTCATGTTTTTGATTAAGATCATGAACTGACTGATGTTAGACCATCATTCAAAACCTGAAAACACTGGACAACCGTTTCATCCTCTTATATGGACGCCTCAGCAGTACGCATCCACGATCCCGCTCACGGGATTCGAACCCACAGCCTTCGATCTCGCTCGTGAACGCTTAACCTCTAGACCACTACTGAGTCGTCATCCAACAGTGTTAATGTCTAACCTCAATCAATCCGCGAATCCCGCGAGCGGAATCGTGGATGTGCAATGCTGATGAGTTCCACAATAAGATAAATCGGCCGTCCAGTGCTCACAGGTTTTCAACAGTTGTCTAACATCATTTGGCTTATAATCTCATTCAATAACTTAATAATCTCCACAACCCTATACTGATAAACTTCATGTTGTCAGGTTAACTAAGTTTATCGTAGTCAGTGATTATGGCTATGTTTGACAAGACTATGATTTACGGACAAACTAACAGAATTGAAGATAACAAGTCTTGAATTTTGGGGCAGAATCCATTCATCAATATAGTTAAATAGCATTTTGGCATTATAGCCAGTATTATTCCATAATGAAAATCTTAACTCTAATTCTTCACTTGAACATTTTACTCTCAATTCTAAAATAAATTACTCCTACTAATTATAAAACTCTTATAGTCTCAGTAAATAAATGAATTTTCTCACGGTCACTTTAGCGCTACCCAAAGGTCGTCCATAAATTCAAGATTTATATACTTAGTGGTATTTAAATTCATTTGGTATTGTTTGTTTAAATCTTCCCATTGGTGAATAGGACTGAAATTGATCAGTCTCTTATTGGCATATGTGCGCCCTGTGCGGATTGCCTCGATATTGCCTTAATTCATAAGGATTATAAGCAAAGATGGTTAGTGGCTAACAGTGGAATGTAGAACGCGCAGGTACATACAACTGACGAGTCCTAAATGGGACGAAATGCACGTCCTGGATTCCACTGTTAGCCTTCAACCATCTTTGCTTATAATCTTACTGGTATTTTTCTAAAAAAAAATAATTCGTCGAAGTCATATCTCAAGGGTTTTTGTTTTATATTTCTCATCACAATTACATCTAGTGTTTTAGGGTTGCCCTCACTTGGAATCCTCAAGGCCGAAGGAAAAGAGGACGACCAAAGAACACATTACGCCGAGGAATGGAGGCAGATATGAGAAGAATGAACAACAATTGTATAGAACTAGAAAGGAAGGTTCAGGACAGGGTGAGTTAGAGAATGTTGGTTGGCAGCCTATGCTCCATTGGGAGGAACAGGCGTAAGTAAGGAAGTAAGTTTTAGGGCTACCAATCGCAGTTTACATTGACTCATGAAACATTTGTCTAAGTTCTATTGGTTACATCATATCCGTACCTTGACCAGTTGGTACGAATGACGTAATTGAGAGTATCAGGAAAGAATTGATATTTATTAACCATTGAAGAATAATCAATATTATGTTTGTTTAGTCCTTAGTGTTAATCCGATTATTTTGATCAAATTGCAATAGAGCCACTAGCTGAAATGACTTGACATTACATGCTGCAATTTGTGATGTTCATTGTTTGGAGGTAGTCAGTAAGAATCTGTAAACCAAGATTTGGTGCTAGTTACCACACGCCAGCATATGTAATATTGAGGAAACTGATACTGCTTGTGGGAGCAAACGCATTTAATGAACACTAAGAATTAAACAAAGGTGATAGTAATTAGTACTGAATTTCCAGCTAACTGTTAACATCTCAACCATAATGGTAGCTAGTCTTGGAGTGATTCACTAAAAAACTAAGTGTCACTGGGAAAAATCAGTTTCTTTAAGATTACTGGTTCTATGCTTAAAAGTGGCAACTAGCATAAGACATAGGCCCAATGTTACCTTTCAACTACCTTCAACAACTAAATCTATACATCAATCTTCAAAAAGTGGAATAATCACTGAAAATTTTAGGAATAGTTAAGGAAATAATCTTACCTGAATAACATTGTAAGCTTTAATCAATAATTCAAAGCCTAATTCTTCTTCTAAATCAGCTCTCATTTGTTCTAAACGAAGAAATTGTGTATCACCTAATTGATTGTTGTTGATTGTTGGCTTTATGATACTGTTATTGTGTAATCTATCATTATGATAATCATTATCTCCATTCTTTTGGTAGATTTTATTCATTTTTCGTTTATGTGAATTTTTCGATACATTACTTATGAATGAATTATCACTGAAACTATCAGTTTCATTGGAATCATCTAAAACACTGTCAGTATCATTGTCGTCATCACTAAGGCTTCCATCATCATCGTCATCAACATCTTGACTAATTTCAAAATCCGATTCGTTCACTTCTGTAACTCGAGCTAAACGACTACCATGAACTGATTTACATATATTAATAAATGATTCTTGACATTCATTATTCAATGTTTCTTTATGATTTTGTTTTATGTTTACTCCTGTAGTTATATCATGAACACCATGATCATCATCATCATCATCATCATCTAATTCTTCTGTGATTTCATCATCTGTATTCTTTTCATCCATCATACGAATCTCATCTTTTGTTGTATTCGTGGTACATCCAATTGAAACATTATCTAATCGACTAAGAAAATTACGTAATTGACCACTACTTGATGTTATATCTTCAGGATGATTTAAATTATCATTAGTATCATCATATTTATTAGTTACATCATCATGAGTATGATTTTTATGTGATTGTCTGAAAACTGAATTCATTTCAGTATAACTATTATATGAGGTTTCTTCAGTTTGTTGTTCAATTTTACTAATTCGTTGAATAGGGAGGTTGATTGACACTTTAAATACAGTTTGAATAGTGTATAATAATAAAAAAATACATACAGAGTAATAGGATCAGTGATAGTAAACAATAATAAGAATAGAGAAATCTATTTTAGGAATCCAAGTTACAAGACCAACTCAAAACCTCGGCATCCAGTGACTCCAATAATAAGCAGAGATTATGGTAGTTAGTAGTGGAATTCAGGACACACGTTTTGTCCTATTCAGAACTCACCAAGTGGGTGTACCTACATCATTGCTTATAATGCTTGTGAATTAAGGCAATATCTTGGCAATCCTCACAGGATGCACATATGTCAATATGAGACTGATCAAATTACATTTCTAAACACCTTTAGGGAGATTCAAGTGGAGTAACAACAATTTGTCACATAACACTTGGCTATAACATGATCAAAGCAGGTCCGTAGTAAGAAAATAGATCTTCAGCAAATCATATTATAAGAATCTTTTAAGATCTAATTGTTAAGGCGATCCAGAAAACTTTTCGGAAAGGACAAGAAAGACTCACGAAACACTAAGAAACATTTCATCCAATTAGCGTTCACTTGAAGTTTTAGCCAGAAACATCAAGAAAGTGAAATGTGGAGTTTCTGATTAGATGATTACTACACTGCTACTATGTTTACTCGAATTCCAGAATTCTCGAGAAAACCAACGTCATCCAAAATACTATAAAAACATTATATTTTCTGTACTAAAACGAACCTTTGAAGTAAAGTGCTTCTCGCATATTTTGCGCCTTTTCTCTTGTGTTCAGGTCGCTGTGTAGTTCTAGCTTGAGGGTTACGAGAATAGCTTAGGAACCGAATATAGCGTTCAATTAGCATAACTGATCACTAATATCATGTCTATGGGATATGTATTTAATTGTTTAGTGAATAACGGGAGAAATTTGTAAGCTTCGAGTGAACCTATAAACTTCCATTGTTTGTTCTATAATTCCTTAGTTATTCATAACGAATCACGTGCTGTTTGTTCTACCCTGTACTATTTATGATATAGTTGTTTTCAAAGTATGGTTTTCTATTTGGTACGGTATTTAGCCAAGCATCTTAATTATATTACTGTCGACTTTGAGTATTCATCAGATTGAGTACAATAGAGAACTATTCTGCTTCCTATCTGCATCTTCTACAAGGAGGCACCAAATGCATATGCGTCACACAGATCTCATCTGATATGTGTGAGGGCTGTGATACTGCCCAGGTGCCCGAACCGAACCAGGTGGTTTTCTTAGAGGGCCACACTCGAAGCCTTTGACCTAAAGGTCTAATGCACAAGGCAGTGGAGCAATGTTAGACGATGCAGTCCCCATGGTAGCCGGTGATGAACAGTAGGTTAATACGCCATTTTCTTCCCTCAAGATAATGGAGCCCATGTGCACCATTGGTTTGGAATGAGGGTTTTCCAAGTCGCCTAGTTGGACTCTCCGTATCCACCAACCCAGTTAAAGCGCTGGAGTTTCGCTTGTCGTCCTCTTAATTTCGTAGACAACACCTATGATGCGAGAATGCAGTGAATAGGACTTCTGTGGCAGTGGTTGTATGCATGTGACTATGTGAGAGCATTTGGAGGGGGAGAGCGGACTCTCCCCACTCTCAGGCGTACCAGGGCATCTTCTAACTGGTCACTGGATTGGAATAAGCTTTGAGACTATTAAATATCAAGATCTTAGTTTGCAAATTACAAATTCACTGAACCTACTGACACTACAGATGAACTAATTGATAATCCTTATCTTGACACGTAATATCGATTATCGATTATAAACTATGAAACAAACTGACAATCACAAAACACAACATACTGTATTATCTAAATGATAGTAACTATGAAATGAAATAAATTCATTAGTTACTTGGAATTACATCCATTACTCAATTATAATTGATACATACCTGATCGTTTTCTGTGATTATTTAAATGATCATTGAATGATTTTTGTTTATTTAATAGTTTTATATCAATTTCTGATATTGTTGAATGATTTGAATAAATATCATCCATATCATCGGATAATAAAGCAACATCATTAGAATCATTTGTATTTGAAGTTAATATAACTTGTAACATACTTTGACGTACTAATTCAATATCTTGTTCATCATCTTCTATATCTAGTTCTTCTTTCAGTTGTTCATTAATTATTGTTGGACTATTGTTGTTATTGTTGTTGTTGTTGTTGTTATTGTTGTTGCGATGTTTGTTGTTGCGATGTTGTTGTTGTTGTTGTTTTTTATCACTGGTTTTTCATTGACATTCCAACAATTGATTTCATCATCTGTCTGATGATTTTTCTGATAAACATCCATGCTACTAACAAAATGTAAGTAATACAGATGTGTTTTAGTAAAATAATTATGAGTAGTTTCTTTTTTTTTTATCTGATGTCTGGAAAAATAATTACTAACGGGAAACATGTTGAACTTTTATAGCATTGAATGTAGTTGAGTATCAGTAGCGAATCAATAAATGACTATGATGGAGCAAAAAATTAGCCTAATACTTAGTCTGTAACTGATGAAAAACTACGTTCAATAGGTGATAGGCGGTATCATAGCGAAAGATTTATGCTTCTTAGTTGAAATTTTGACAAAAGCTATTGGTCTGTGGTTGTATTCACATCTAATTCAGTTAGTATGTCAATAAATGAATCATGCTTTTCATCGGGACAGTAACTTAAAGTACAACTTTTTATAGGTAAGTATTATATTATATAATATACCGTTATGGGCCAGGGTAATTTTACATTGGTTTTTAGGAGAACCAGACACCATCCATACTTTCACGTGACAACCCAAACAGTACAGCTCAATCTCGTTTAACAGGAGAGCCAGTCACCGCCTAAGCTTTAACGCTACAATCTGAATAGTACAGATCAATCCTATGGTGCAACCACACAGGTACCAAGCATCCTGGTGGATCATTCACACCATTCATATACACATCCACATCACGTGTATAATTATTCCGATCAATGATTGCGTGAATCAAATATGTACAACACGAACAGGTCAAAGTTAACCTATTCCGCTTACGCAACAGTCAAACTCAATAATGCTAGCAATGGCGACATGCCCTACAATGTCCCAACAACAATGGCCCTTGAGAACATTGAAAAGCAAAAACCAGTATGAATGAAATAGGTTAACCAGCAAACCAATTTCGAGCATGAACAGTCAACAAAACTTACCAAAGTAATGCCGAACCACCCACATTATCAATGGCGAACCTCCAGTCTCATCTGAGACCTTCAACTCTACATAGCAATATAGCTTTTACTGTATAGAATACATATGTAGGGTAGTAAACGAAATAGCCCAGCCTGAAGCGTTAGGGCTTAAACAACGCTTAAAACCCATACTATTACAAAACCACCAAGATCATTTTTATCTCATTTGTGAAATTCTAACTGGGAGACCAATGAGTTAGGAGTAGTATCCATATATAACATGGCAAGTAAGAGCAGATGTAAATCGTCAAGCACAAATCTTAATGTGCGTGTACATATTATATATCACTAAATAGTACTCAATTAGATAAGTAACTTAAAGAAAACCCCATTGAAAAAAATAGTAATCCGTTTAAAAGTTATGAAGGAAAATATGACCAGAAAAATTCCCATGGAAAATCCGTGCAGCAAAATCTAATAGAAATGCCCAAGACAAAGAATTTCGTGAACACACTTTTGACCATAACTTTTGAATGGCTCAACCGATTTCGTTCACTCATTTCGTATTCAATTTCTCTTGCAAATATCTATCTGACAACTTATAAAACATTGCTATACAATGATTGGGGAAAATGTTTTGGTCAAAAAACTGAAATTCTCTTGAACTTTCTATAGAAAAATAAGGAATTTGAACATTTCTTTTTATTTTCACAGATTGAAATCATGAGTCAGTTGAAGCTAGACCACCATTGAAAACCTGGAAGCACTGGACGGCCGTTTCGTCCTAGTATGGGACTCCTCAGCAGTGTGTATCCACGACAAAATCTCTTGATTATTTATTTAGTAGAACATGCAACGCTGCACAAAATCAACCATGAATATGGTGATTATCAGTATGTGGCGGTTACGGCCAACAAGTGCCTTCAGGCTTTGCAATGATTGATTCGTGATCTCAGTGAAAATTGATTTGTTTCATAAAATAGATTGAAAACAATTCATCGGACCTATTCAAACTGAAAATTAAAGCTTACTTTGTATCATTGCAATTGTTACCATGATTATTAGTATCTTGTTTATTTTCTTGTAAATTCAATAATGACTTTCCATGTAAACCTTTATTTTGTGTGGATACATCAGTAGGTGATGATGAAGTTGGGCAAAAATTACTGATATTTGGTAATGAACCAGATCTATTCATCTTTATGAAGAAAGAAAAGGACATCGATTAAGAAAAAAAAACAGATATCAGTTTATTGTTAATATTGATAATTAAATTTCCTTTAACTGTTTCATACTAGTCGAAGCGAATCAAATAGAGTTGGCAATTGAAAGTTTCATGTTTATTGCTTACACTATTGACAAAACAGTCCAGGAACTTGTACTATCATTATTATTAGCTCATCGGTTGTGTCTGAGGCTCTGGAATGGAATGATACGGATTCGTACACTACAAAGAGTAAATATCCTCGTAAGATTGGAGATACACTGTACTGACGAGGTTTCTAGGTTTCTCGCTGATTACTTTCGAGTATCTCAATCTAATATTGTAGACATCAGGGAATTTATATGTTACACTAATTAAATAAATAATAGAAGTTCACATTCCATGGTGTTCTCCCACTGTTGAACTTATGAATTAATTGTTTTGTGGACATTTTCAATTATTTCATGACAGTAATATTCAATAATTATTTATATTGAGGAAAGCACCCAACCGCGTCACAACGCAAGCCCCCACATAGGCTTTTCAAGGCCAAAGGAAAAGAGGACGACCAAAGAACACATCACGCCAAGAAATGGAGATAGACATTAGAAGAATAAACAACAACCATATAGAACTAGAAAGGAAGGTCCAGGACAGAATGTGTTGGACAATGCTGGTTGGTGGCCTATGCTCCATTGGGAGCAACAGGCGTAAGTAAATATAATCTAACTAGTAAATACAGGCTGAAGTACTAGCATCATTGACGCATACTAATAAAGTGTTGGATTGGTGGTTATAAAAATTGGCTTTAGAGCAATAGGTTACAAGTTAGAACAATGCTACACGTTTTTTTTTGGGTTGAATCACCTAAATAGTTTCATCAGCCTGCATACAAAGTAACTGTGGCCAGAAATCAACTACATAAACTTCTGCTCTTTTCAAATGAATTGGATTCAGTAAAACAATACAAAGTATTTGTTTTATTTAGATTTTATGTCATAAACGTACTGTAAAAGAAAGATTACCAAGTATTGAATATCCAGCTTTATTAGAGTTTAACACAAGTCTATACAATTCATATCAGTCCAGTTGGAGAGAGGGGGGAATTGACATGATTGATAAAAACAAAAGAATGGTAATAATTGTTATGATTTGAGACGCTAATGGATATCATGTGCTAAATCCATCAATCCGAATTCCGATTATAACGTTTTCTATCCCGCGTTTATTGATCTGTCTAGCTTTCTAGGCTTGATCAATTATACGTTCTGACCTGCACAAATAACCTTGACCCAGTGCAAGCTACACTCCTGTTGACCAGCTATCTTCATTCTTTTACTCTATCCCCGAAGAAAAGCCAGTAGCCAGCTTTCAATATATATTAATATATATTTCAATTATTTAGCCTGGACAACAACTACCTCAAACATCCATTAGATTATGTACATGAAACTTTTGTACAGTACATTAGATAAGAAATCATGCTTTAGACACAATCATACCATCAGTGGTAGGTAGCGAAACAAACAGTATATATTTATTTTTAGCAATAACTAAGGTATAGTAAAACGCATAACGATGGTTGGAAGCTCACAATGAGGAGAGCAAAGAGATACAACAATACGATTGTCTATCATTTACATGATAAAAAACAATAGTAACAATCATAATCCAAAAGATGGTTCTAATATTTCCTATTCTTGTCCCATTTAATAATAATAACAGAGTTAGTAGAAAAAAAATGAACTAGAATAATTAAGTATGTTCTATAAAGATAGAATACATTAGGATTTTTGTAACAGATTTGAAAATTCGGTCACTTAGTCCGATGCCAGTTAGAATTTATAACATTTGTGCTTCAGTTTCAGTTCCTACAGCCAGGTTAACTTATTAGGACAAATCATAGAATAGTAAAAGGAATAAAAGTATCAATAGAGTCGGGAAAGATTATTTGCGAATAAAGGATGAATTCGTGAGACAAAAAGTATAGGATAATTTTAAACCTCGAGATCTTAGATAAGGCTACGAAGAATGGATGAATCTAAGCCAATGTGATCGATTCTGTGTCGTGTCGTTCAATGTCTTTAACCGCCGATCAAATTCATCTTGTGAACTTAAATCAGGTAGTTTGTACATAATAATATTGCTTAATCCACCAGTTAGTGACTTTACGATCCGCTACCATGTTTTTATCTTTCCTAATCCACTTTTTCCGCCTTGGAAGGGTAAGTTCACTACAGATGCCAATTGTCTGAGAGAAACACCTCACTTCCGTTACGCCCCAGTATATTTAGAAGTACGACTTCGTTCATGGAACTTGGGTTGCTGATTTTTACTAAAGCGTTCTCTAGTCAACCTATCTGGGATGGAAAGATGTAGAGGAACAAGTATCCCATCCAATATAATCCAACTAGATTATCATGTTATTTAACTTCCATTAACACAGATTAGAGCTATTTTATAATCTTCGATTATTACACTCTATTTCAACAAACATAAATTTGTAAAATCTGGATGGTTTACAAGTAGATGCATTAATGCGTTGAAATACTCACTTGATCACGTTATAGTCTATTTAACTATTTAAAATTACAGACAAACGTTTAGTAAAAGACATATCGAAAATCACAGAGCATTGGATAATTGTTTCATCTTAAAGTGAGACTTCTCAGGATTACGTAAAGACAGTTACTTCAGGTATCTAGATCAGGTGTCCGAGGAAGTGAGTTATCTTTAGATTACTGAGTTAACATTAAAACCGTTCATATTTCTAAATTCAGTCAAACTATATTAATAATAATCTTTATATAAAGTGGATGGAATGTGACTGGTAATGATGTACAGAATGTGTTTTACGCCTGTTTGAGACTTATCAGTTGGATTTACCTAGATTTTAGAGTTGAATTAGGAGTGAAGCGAAATCTACTATGTTTAGATTCCAGTGCGAACATTAACTCAGATTCTGGTAAATCTATCTGATGAGTTCCAAGTAGGACGAAATGTGCATTTTGGATTCCACTACCAGTTACTTTCTATCTATTCTTTATAAACCTGCAAAATAATGACTGCATCGAGGCAATTCGCATACGATATATATATATCACTATTTGTGCATGTTTACGAATAGTGTTGCTCCAACAGGACGGAAATCCATGAGGTAAGGTAAGGCGTGACATTTTTAGGGCTGACGTTTCTTAACCCCTTCCTTCCTTGTGATAAGGCAGCATCGCTGCAGATGCCGGTTGCCCGAGGGAAACACTTTACTGCTGTCACACTCATCTACATTCGGCAGTACGACTTCGCCCTCAGACCTTGAGTTGCCGATTTTAGTCTTACCGTTCTCCAACTGACCTGCCTGGCATGGTAGAACCTACAGGAACATATGTTCCAGCTAATATAGCTCAGTTGAATCATCACGATAGGCAAGCTCGACCACTACGTCAAGGTAGCAGCTACGGTCGGATGACTGAACAGGATCTATTTTCATAACTGAACATAGTTGATATCTGAATTATACTATAATCATCTCTCATTTGTTTAAAGAATCCAAAAGAAGGAGAAAGTATATACAAACCATTGTAGCAGTATTCGTTGATAAGATTCATAACAGTTTATAAACATGTCAAAAAAGCTCATAAGTACTTGTAGTTAGCATAGTTAATTAAATAAAATAATGAAACTTTATAACAAGGAATGTACATTTGTAAACGTTGTTGCCCAAATATTTGAGTAGGCCACTCTAATCAACCTATTGTTCCAAGATCATTGATTTCTATTAATAATATTCATCTCCTATCTAACAATGAACTAACCTTCAACTTAAAGAATACTCAATCAATCAACCAACCAATAGATCAATCACTTAATACAACTATCTAAATATTAACGTACTTCTCTAAATGTATTCATAGGATAAGAATTTTGTACAAAAAGTTGACCATTTTCTAAATCTTCCAATTCACATGATTGATTTACTTTATTATTGTCTGTTATACTTTGATCTGAAATTGGATCATCTACAAAATCCACCTAATTTTGAAAGAAATAATAAGTAAAATATGAAAAAAGGACAAATTATGGTAAATTGCAAAATATCGATCGTTGTGAAGAAGATAAGTTATTGATTGTAAAGGTATACAATTTACATTATTTACATGTGTCAGTCGGTCAGCTACATCGGTCCAAGTTGTCATACCACATTACCACAAGAAGATGGACACTAAATTCGTAGAAGCAGTTACTTCAGCAGTAGTAATATATGTGTATAAAGATCGTCTATAATAATATGATACAGGGAGAAAGAATTAGTTCGTAGGAAGGAAAGTATAAAGTGATTTTAATCTCATGGTTTAAGGGAAGACAGAGAGTGTATACGCCTACGTCATTGTGATCGATTCTGAGCCATGTCACACACAGTCTCCAACCATTGGTTACGATAGTCATGCGGACCCAAACCAAGTAGTCTGCATCTACCGACATAGCTCAGACAAAACGTTAGTGACTGATGCCACATTTTGATATGGTCGCCCATAACTTTCTTCCATACGTCTCCAACACGTTTATATCTTGTATGAAACTTTGGAGTAATTCACTCAACCAAATGTTTAAGTATTGCAATCCATTTAAATCTAGAAATTTATTTATTTTCGAATGGTATGAAACATAAGGATTATCAAAGATTAAACTAGACTAATTCCTTCTAAATAAATTAAATGCATTTAGGATTTTATCAGATAATTTATAGGGAATGGTTTCATCTCTTCAACGTGAATCACAAGACGAATTGATTGAAGCTGGAAATTTGGAATGACTGTGTGATAAATCAATAGCTGAAAGTTCCAATCCTTGACGCATTTGTAGGCGTACACTGCTGTAGAGTTTCGTATCAGAACTAAGTAGATGTCTAATGATCCCTAGTTTTAGATGTATTACCAAGTGACGTGAATCCGTGACAAATACCATCTAGAAATCCGCTCTTAATAAACAATTATACTGATATATTTCGGAAATGTTCATTCTGATAACATTTCAAACCTTTCACTATTTCTGAAAATTCACTTTGAATTTACAGTCGTAATTAGTTATGTACATTCGCTTCTTCACGACTACTTGTTATATCTAGAGGTTCGATTCTTAATATATGACGTACAACTTGACCACTAGAACGCTAAAACCCTCCAAGTCGCAAATGAGAAGATAAGTGAAAGGAATGCTATTCCAATCAGTGTCAATTATCGTGCAAAACTGTAAGGTATTTATAGTTTTCAGTAAAAAAAGAAATCATCATTATGGCTATCCAATCCGCACACAGGGGGTTATTAGCAAATGTCCAATAGGGAAGCTACACATAGGGATTCTGGGAAATTCTTCCAAAAGATGATTGGAAGGAACATCTTCGGTTCTTTCTGAGCTTCTTACAGTTTCCTCGAGTTCATCTGTGGGCTGTCCTCACACTACTCATTTTCTAATCTAATTTTACCCATATGTCTAACAATACTACTCCTTAAAATTAAGATTAAATCCTATAAAGAATATCAGTCGAATAAGTACAGATAACAAATTTGTAATTAATACGGGTGTTTGGTAGATGCAGACTATTTGGTTGGGGTCCGCGTGACTATCGTAACCAATGGTTGGAGACTCTGTGTGGCATGGCTCAGAATCGATCACAATGGCGTCGGTGTATACACTCTCTGTCCTCCCTTAAAGTAAGAGATTACAATCGCTTCATATCTTGCTTTCTACGAACTAATTCTTTCTTACTGTACTATTTCATTATATACAATCTTTCTCTTAAACATTACCACCATTGAATCAATTACTTCTATGAATCCAGTGTTCATCTTGTTATGCCAAAGAGGTATGGCAACTTGGACCGATGCGTATAGGTGCCTCGTCCTACGTTGTAGCTGACTGACTGACTTATTCTCAGTATTAAGTTATTTATATTGAGAAATTGTAACGATTAGTGAAAAGTTATTTTCACCTTGTCAACAGAAATGAAACCAAAAAAACAAAAAAAGCAAATTAAATTACTTTTTCAAATAATTTTTCATCAGGTTTATTAATTATTCGAGGATGTTTTAGTCGATAAGTTGCCATGCGATTATTAAACGACAATTTCGAGTGATCTGAAATGTTTAAATCATCTGATAATCTGTTTGTTTTTCCTTCATGATTGTGATCATTATTATATTGATTGATTGGATGTAAACAGTCAGCTGTTAAATTGACATTTGGTCCACCCGGTCCACTTGGACCAGGTAGAGAAGGTTTATGAACATTTGACAACAACGATGATGATGGTGAAGACGGGGTATTCGTAGTCGTAGCTATAGGAGTAATGGTTGTTGTTGGCGGTGATACTGATATTTCTCTTACGTTAGTTTCTTTTCCTTGTGGATCGAATTGCCAAGCATCTGTAATTTAAGCACAAAAAGTGATATGTGTAGACTAACTGACTTGCAAGAAATATGATATGTCCTATAACCCGTTAGATATCACGTGAAAGACTTGCTACTCAGAATGCCGACTTCTATGACCTTGTCCCTATGCTAAATCACCAGTGTATCAACTAGCACTAGCAGCCTTGAGTCAACTTATTGGTCCTCCGTATAGTAGTTCCCTACCTAGCTCAATCCGTTCAGTCCAGAATACAAATATCAGCCTGCGCTGTATGAATCGTATATTTCAGACATATGTGGTTTATATACAAGCAGAATAGACCAGATCACATCATAAAATGAAAAATAATAATTATACAAGCACGAGCCAAAAGTGGCTGTCAGTCAGTCAGCAACAACGTAGAATTTCTTAAGTACGGACATCAGTTCTAGTTGCCATACCACATTAACACACCAATACAATTGTCGATTCAAATCCCATAGTGGTACAGGTAGTAAAAGTATAAGCATAAATCAGAAAGATCAGGGTTTGAAAATGTTATTTATGGAGTAAAATACAGTGAAATAAATTTGGAAAGAGGAAGAAAGGGATATGAAGAATCAAAGAGATTAGAATTCGGGAGAACACAAAGAGTGAATGCACCTGCTCACACCATTGCAAACGATTTTGAACCATGTCATTCAAGGTCACCAACCATCGGTTGCCATAGTCTTGCAGATCCAATTGAGGTAGTCTACACCTACCAACATGACTCAGTTCACTTGTCAATGACTTCATGGATTTGTGCTATGTTTCGATTTGGCCGCCCCTAGCTTTCTTCCAACCTACTCCTACACCATAAAACATCGCTCGTCGGGGCATTCGGTGGTTGGGCATAAATAACACATGTCCCAGCCATCTCAACTGATGAAGTTTCATCACTTCATCAATTGATTTGCCATCCTTACCTGATAACCGTTTCCTAACAACTGCATTACTTACTCAGTGGTCTCAGGATATATTATTTAAGGCATAAACTTAATTTTACAAATCTGTCAACTAAAATGATAATAAATACATGATCATAATGAATAAATTGACTTACTTTTTATAGGACTTCCTAAACCATTGAGACGATTTTGAAGATCAAATTTTGTTGTGATTGATGTTTTCAATTGTGAATTATTATTCATTGTTTGACAATCAGAAGGACCTTTTAATAAATTATAATGAAGAAATCTATGTTAACTAGTATAGTACTTTTTTTGTAATGAACTAAAATTATTAATTTAATAATTGAATTCATGAGTCAATTGAAGCTAGACTAACATAGGAAACCTGGAAGCACTGGACGGCTGTTTTGTCCTAGTATGAGACTCCTCAGCAGTGCGCATCTACGATCTCGTTCGCGGGATTCAAACTCAAAACCTTCTGTCTCGAGAACGCAAACGCTGAGTAGTTCTATACTTGGATGAAACGGTCGTCCAGGACTTGCAGGTTTTCCATAGTGGTCTAGCTTCAATTGACTCATGATTTCAACTAATGAAATTTCTAAAATCTCAACAAAACCCCTTCTGATAATAATCATCTGTTCACTAGTGACTGATTTCAAGAGGCATTTCCTGGGGTTCTAGTGAGAAGCCGTGACCAGTGGAGTTCGACCAGGTCTGTTGTGAGATATCAGCTCATTGAAGACGATGGCGTACGGTGGCGCAATTTCTTGGATTGGTTGAAGTTAGACATTAATACCATTGGATACCGGCTCAGTGGTCTAGTTGGTAAGCGATCGCGCGTTATACTGGTAGGGCTTTGGTTCGAATCCCGAGAGGCGGGGTCGTGGATACACACTGCTGATGAGTTACATACTAAGACAAAGTAGCTATCCAGTGCTTTCAAGTTTTCCATGATGGTCTACGTCTAATCAATTCATGAATTCAACTATTGAAATTACTACAATCTCTGCAAAACCCCACTTTCTGATAAATATCAATAATAAATAATAAAGATTGTGTTTAAAAACTGATTTCACTTTAAAATTAACTAAAAATCTCTGTACAGTTTGATCATTTGTTTGTAATGATGAGATTGTTCAACTTTCAATCAAAATTTAACCGAAAACAAATAAACTTTTATATGGACATTAATATTTAACTTCATGTTGTGAAAATGATCCAATTGTTTCTGTAGTGTCTACTATGTAACAATTAGTTCTACAAAATATGTACACATTGAACATTCAATGCACATAAAAGATGTTTGTAGCCTACTTCTGATTGACTCTTTATATTTTAATGTTTGAGTAAGATATTGCCAATCCAAGAGGCTATCGATCTTTTACATATTGGCAAAAAAAAGAAGTTAGTAGTAGTTGTAATAATAATAGTTGTCGTTTTTGTACTAGAGGATTGAATATAGACAAGTGGAGACTGTGTTAGTGACGTGAATGAAACCACGGAAGAGGCAGTAAATAATCCAATTGTAAAGTGTAAAATTATCTGACGAAACATATGAATAATGAAATTTCGAAGAATCATAGACCAATTGTTGATGTTGTCCGTTAAGTTATTTTATATGATGACTGTAATAGGACTGTTATTAACTCAAAGAGTTATGTGACGAAAATCTCAAATGAAAGAAAATGGAGGTCAGTGTAGAGACAATGAAGAAACTAAGAGACTCTTGCAAACAGTTCGTCACTCTTGATTGATATTATTTTCTTAAGTTTCCTTTCGGAGTTACATAATACTTCGCCAAAGCTCCACAGTCTAACTATAAACACACTTGGACCAAGAGAAAAAATTTAAACTGTTTCCAACATTATTGTGAACGATTTGATTGAATGAAGTGACATAGATCCTAAAGCTAGACATAGGCATGGTTTAGAAAAGGTTGGAATACTTACACAGAACATTCTACTGAATAACTCAATGGGATTTCAGTCCAAAAATCTGGTCAGAACAGATACAAGTATGGAAGGAAACGCTGATCTTCTATAATGAAGTCTCTCTAAGGAGATTCTAGGTAGGAGACACAATAACCTGCTTGTTAACCGGTCCTTGGAAGCGAGATAGTATTTATATTCGGATAAGACCTGACACACTACTAGATTATAAAATATGGCAGAAGATGGCTCTAGATTGATTAGTAACCCATCAACAAAATGAGGAAGAAAAGATTCTTTTAGTGTCTTCTCGAATAGTTAGTTCTTGCCAATGCCCCCTGCCAACAGTGGGTTTCGAGCAACGGTGTTTCTTTCATAGATCCTACGTTTGTTGAGAAGACAGTTGTCCTGATACGACTTCAGAACCTCGAAGTATGTAAGTTCAATGATCCTGATAATATTCATTCTGGAATTATGAAAGTTCTAGTGAATATAATTGAAGGACTACCAGCAATATTGTTTAATGTTATCTTTGGAGCAGTCAAAACTCCCAAGAGACTGAATGAGTGCAACAATTGGTCAGGTCTGAAAAACTGGGGGTAAACATTTGATGAATAAAAGTCGCCCAGTTACCACTCTTAGTAATATGGTCAAACTAATGGAGAGTATTTTTCATGTTGCCACTCTGCGTTACTTAAAAGAGAATAATCTTCCAATGGTAGAATAACATAGTTTTAGGACAGGCCTTTCATGTTCGATCCATCTTTTCACTGCAAAGAAAGACAGAGGTATTCCAGTAGATGTAACTTTCACCGAACTAAGTGAACTCTTCGTTAAGGTCTGTGACCCAAGTCTTAGATTTCAACTTTGAAGTTACGGAATCATTTGTAAGGTCATGAATTGACTTTCACAGAGTTAGGTGGAAACGAGTGAGAGTAAATGATGCCTTATCATCATGAGAATCTGAGGACGATCCTATGCCCTCTTCTTATTTTACTTAAAGTAGATGATTAACCAAGTGTCACACAGTCATTTGTTCTACTGTTTGTTGGTGGCATCAAAACATGAAGACTCACATAAAGTGCCTGTGGTAAGATATGATTACAGTTAGACTTAAATGTACTAGTTGAGTGAATGAATCGGTAGTTATTAGAAATAAATTCTACCAAGAGTATAAAAGTGCCGATCAGTTACCAAAACGATTGACATATATACACAATAAATGGAATCCCATTATCCAAGTTTATTGATGTCTTAACCAATTTTCATTATTTTACAGTAGGTTACGATGTGATCTGATACTAGTTAACCGTTTGCCGAATGTCGACTTTGGTATTGATGTGTTTTATCATTATCTTCGATCTGGGACTCCGTTGCTATTTGACTGGTCTCCCCGGTCTCCCACATTGTTCGGCCGTTCCATGTACCTATAAAAATTTTTGCTCTGGTTGTTAGAAAGGGCATCGGCCTCGTGGCTTCCGAAGGAACTCGGCTTTCACCATGAAGCGTCATAATTCTTCTAAATGAAGACCTTCTAACTCTCAGGGCAGAGTTTAGATGGTTTGAATTATTTTTTTCTGGTAAGCGTTTTTTTAGCGAGTTAGTTTTCTACGGGATGGGGCGCTAACCCCTTGCCCAACCCTCCTCCTTTACTCGGGCTTGGGACCGGCAGTAACTCTGGAAGAGCTACAGGCGGAAATTAAGAAAAGACGATAGAACTGGATAGGATATACACTACGCAAATCGTCAAACTGCATCACCAGACAAGCCCTAACTTGGAATCCTGAAGGGAAGCGAAAAAGAGGAAGGCCAAAGAACACATCACGTCGAGAAATAAAAGCAGATATGGAAAGGATGAATAACAACTGGAAGGAGCTGGAAAGGATTGCCCAGGACAGGGTTGGATGGCGAGTGCTGGTGAGCGGCCTATGCTCCTTCACGATGAGTAACAGGCGTAAGTAAATAAATAAGTAAGTCGATCTGGGACTGATCGCCTGAGAATGTTTTCTCTGAAAGTTAAAAAACTGAGATAAAATGATCTAAATCTGGAATTCATTCCTCATGTCTAGTGGCAAATTATTAGTTTTCAGCCAGAACAAGTAGTATCAACACGTGTTGGTACATCCAAAAAGAGATTAGATCTCCACAGTAGTACACTCCGAAGGGATTAACATAAGTCATTTGACCTTCTTTTCTTACATCTGAAGATTGAAGACAGATATGTCTGACAACTTCCTGTTAATTTTGAACTTGACTGTTTGTGGCATATTCCTACTCAATACTCCTTTGCGCAACAATGAACAGCATTTGACTATATACCAGTAGTGTCACACAAAATGCCGCCTAGGTAGTAGTCTGAATTAAGTTTTGACAGCCAATCTCGCTTTACGCGCTCAGCACAGACCATCTCATTCCGACGACACACCTCCCCCTCACGAGAATGACTCCCGATCGCCGGGTGTGTGGTGTGACCGTCAGAGCCTTGTCTGTTGGCCTGCACCCCTGTTAGTGGGGCCTCTCATCACGAGAGTTTGCTGCTGCACGTCTCAGACCTTCCCGCAAGGCTAACACGAGTGACCATGCACCCTCTACATAACCTCACAGTGGCTAACCCCCAGGCGACAACGGTAGACAATTGGTGTCGCTGCTCAAATAAAAACTTCACAAAACCAGTATAAAAGTATAATTTGCATAATGTTTCCAAACATCTAACTGAGGATATCCTAGTGGATCATGGTTAAAGGCACAAGAAATTAAAGCCAACCTTTACGATTATTTCTTTACAATCAACTTTACTTCTTCTGAACTTCTGTATTCTAGATCCTCATCATTTAAGTAGTATATATGGTGTGTACACAGTGAGTTATTTTACTTCGAACCAGATATATCACCAGTTGACATTGCAGTTTAACAATGTATTTTCATAAACGAAATAATACTATAAATATTTTGCTTGAGATGAAGGAAGGAATTCATGAGTAATCGTTACCATGATTGTTAATATGACTATATATACTACTTAAATAGTGTTACTTTGGTTGTGGATGTCTGTTGTTGTCGCCTGGGGGTTAGCCACTGTGAGGTTATGTAGAGGGTGCATGGTCACTCGTGTTAGCCTTGCGGGAAGGTCTGAGACGTGCAGCAGCAAACTCTCGTGATGAGAGGCCCCACTAACAGGGGTGCAGGCCAACAGACAAGGCTCTGACGGTCACACCACACACCCGGCGATCGGGAGTCATTCTCGTGAGGGGGAGGTGTGTCGTCGGAATGAGATGGTCTGTGCTGAGCGCGTAAAGCGAGATTGGCTGTCAAAACTTAATTCAGACTACTACCTAGGCGGCATTTTGTGTGACACGACCGGTATATAGATGGATATTGCTAATATACTTGAACTATTTCATTTTCAATGATAAAAGTCATTCTATCCCATGGATACTATTCAACTGAAATCATCAGAAATTGGGCGCCAAGTATAGAGAAGACATTTTATGTGACATAACTAAGGTCAACATCTAAATATGATTAGTTAAATATAGTAAAGATTTGATTTTATTGCTAAATACCATAAACTCCTTTGATAATTTTGTTTTATCAATTTTGGCGATCCGCGGAGATTATAGTATTTTCAACGTAGCATTCATGAGTCAATCTAAGCTACAATCTCCGCAAATATCAAAAACTGATAATAATCATGTGTTTACTAGTGACTAGCTTGAAGATGGATTTCCTGGAGTTCTAGTGATCATTCATGAACAGCGGAGAACAATTCGTGTTAGGTTTGAGACAATTATCCACTTCACACAATGGATGAACGGTTGCGCAAGATTACGGATCAATTGAAGTTAGACATTAACACTTTTGAATACCAGCTTATTGGTCTAAAGTTTAAGCGTTCGAGCGCAAGACCGAAGGTCCTGGATTTGGATCCTACATGGGGAATCATGGATGCGCACTGCTTTGGAATTCCGTATTAGGATGAAACGGCCGTCCAGTGCTTCAACGTTTTCAATGGTGGTATAGCTCAGATTGACTCGTATACTCGGTTTTGATTATTATCCTGAAGTTCAGACAAGTTTGCTGGACGAAATATTTGAATTATATAAATTCTAATCGCTGAGATTATTTAAATATAATTTTCCCATATAATGTTGTTGTGACGTGCGGTATTCGACATCCGATACTGATACACGGTATGCTAAGCTCTAAGCCCCCAACTGACTACTTCATCAAGAACACTAAAGTGGGCGAGAAAGTGTATTGAACTACCGAATAAAATGCATAAATACTCATTCATATATATACCGGTTTATCTTTAGGAGATTGATCCATTGACCCAATGAAATGCACTTGAACTTTAAGTCACTTCTGACTACCATCGATTGACCTTCTCATTAGGCTACTTCTGATTGGCTCACCATATCAAATGTCTTATTTGATTTACTGGTCATGGTATAAATTCTTGTTGTAACCTGTCTGTTTCCGACTATCAGCTTTTATATATCAAATGCTTTTGTATGGTTGCGTCTTTTTTTTTCATTATTTGCAGTTAATTTTTACTTAAACTTCTTAAGGTTATTTTCGAAGTTATTATTTATAAGATAAAGTTGTGGGGACATTGATATTTTGGGTTAAGCTGAAATGTCTGGTTGTCGTTTTATACATTTCAGCAGATATGAAAAGGATGAATAGCAACCGTAAAGGATTATCAAAGACAGCGGTCGATGAAGAACCGTCGTGGGCGGCCGATATTCCTCCCCGAAGGATAACAGGAATAAGTTAAGCTGAAATGTAAGGACGGTGTAGAATGACTTTTCAAACGACCTTAATAACTTGTTGACTTCATTCAATTAATCATCAGAGGTCAGAAAATTTGAGTAAATGATTTATAATATTAAGACTAGGATTTAAGCTTTAGGATTGAGATTTAGAGTTAAGGATTTGCATAGTGTGATAAAAAGACGAAGATTATCAAAACTATGTGAGGATATATTAGCGCAATAGATTTCGAACAATCTGATTACATATAATATACTTGTTAAGAACATGTATATATAAAAATAAAAGGTCAACTAGACTAGAAATGGAGGGTATCAGGAGACAAGGATAATAAAGAAATAATGTGAAAACAATTTGAAATCTCAACACTCTGGATAATAAGCGAATATTACCAGGGTAGGTTTAATGTGAGAACAAACTGTTTGTGAATACACAGAGGGGTTTTGAATTTTCGTATGGCTAAAGCTCCAATGAATCTTAGTATATGCCCTTTTACACTTTTATACAACACCACAAATGCCGAGTTAAGATCAATCTTATGGCCTTTTTCGATTATATGTTTAGCAAAATAGAGGATGATGGATGTTTATCCTCTACTCTTATTGGGTCATTCAATTCTGTTTGTTTTTGCAATCATTTAGGTACATGCTCACACACCCTAATTTCGAGATCACGATAACTATGTAAGTGTGCCCACATACACATTGAAATTGGTAATCACAATGGGATGTGAAGCAATCGTTTTCATGTCTTTTAGGTTTTCGAGGAAGCATGGACTTTGTTGTTTCCTTCATAATGACCTTTACTGCGTAATACGTCTTGTTAATGACTAATTTAAGCCTTTGTTTCAATAAAAGGCTACTTGAATCACTTGCAAATGGTAAGGTGATGTAGGCAGGTTTTTTTCTTCCAAAGCTATAGTAGGTCTCACTGTACCGTGAACTTTCCATCTATTTATGAATTTAAGACGATGACTGTTTTCCATTAATGTGTTATTTAGAAACCTAACATCATCATTAACGTCATCATTAGTGCAAATACAATCAAGCCTGTTAAACAGGCACCTTATGAAACCCCGTTTGTATTGCACAGGTTATTAAGTAAGGTATTGACCTATCCACGTTGGTTTTCTAAACATGGATCGTTTGATTGAGCCATCTTCTTTTCTACTTATCTAGGAAGGGAAGCTGGTCGTTCTTCTCCTGAAGACCTAATCGAAAACACGTCACTTTATAAAACATATATGGACGATATCTTAGTTCCAGAAGAGGTTTTGTGATAATTGTAATAATTTCAATAGTTGAGATTACGAGTCAATTAAAACCTGACCACCATGGGAAATCTGGAAGCGCTGGACGGCCGTTTCGTCCTATTGTGGGACTTGTCAGAAGTGCACATCCACGACTTCGCTCTGAGGGATTCGAACCCAAGACCTATCAGTCTCACGCGCGATCGCTTAACCACTAGACCACTGAACCAGCAGCCAACAGTGTTAATCTCTAACTTCAACCAATTCACGAAATTGAGCGACACATCCACCATTATCATCAATGAGTTACTCGGTTGAACTTCACTGATCACTGCTTTTCACTAGAACTCTAGGATATACCTCTTGAAGCCAGTCACTAGTAAACATATATTGATATGAGGACATGAACTGTGCGATGGTGGAGAAGATTTGTAGCTCAGTTGGATGCTTTTGGTGGAGTTTTGTTTTCTGAGCTGGATGGTTTGATCGTGAAGCTTTCATCGTTCTTCTGAACGGCATCATCGGCACAAACTTCACCTAAAAGATATGAACTGTTTATTGAATAAACTTAACACTCTGCAAAATCATATCAGAAAGGAGATTTGCTTAAATGAAATCAGCTTCATTAACATTGAATTAATTTTTCTCAAATAAAATAAAAATTTAATCAGACTTCACAACAAAGAGAATACCTGTTACAATTGGAGCTTCATTTAATCTACGTACAAGTGTATGATTTGAATTTGACCAATCACAAGTAAAGGAATCATGAATAGACTTCAATTGATTATTCTCTTCATTATGATTTGGTAAATGAGTTAATTCCATTGATGAATTATTATTCGTTTCTAATGTACGTTGAGCTAATTTATGTAAAATTGTATGATCTATGAATGGATATTTTGTTATTGAATGTTTCAATTGATCTATATGATTTTGATAGAAAAGATAATTTTTAAAATTTATATCATATTTATAATTAGATGAGAATTTAATCCATTTACTACGGGAATCCGTTGATTTTGCATTTAATCGACGTAGAATATTATCTTTTCTTTTACGTATTGCAGTACTGTAATAACAATAATAATAATAATAATAATAATAATAATAATAATAATAATAATAATAATAATAATAATAATAATAAGTTTATGGGTTATGGAGATTGTTAAGTTTTTGGTTGAGATCATGAACCGATTGATGTTAGACCACTGTTGAAAAACTGGAAGCACTGGACGGCCGTTAAACATTGACACCATTGGATACAGGCTCAGTGGTCCAGTAGGTTAGGTGTTCTCGGGAGAGACTGAAGTCCCTGGGTTCAAACCCCGCGAGCGGGATCGTGGGTACGCACTGCAATTGAGGAGTCCCGCAATGGGATGAAACGGCCGTCCAGTGCTTCCAGATTTTCAATGGTGGTCCAACATCAATCGGTTTATAATCTCAACTAAAAATAATAATAATAATAAAGGAAGAAAAAATTCATGTTGAAAATAAGATTCAGATTTATTTTAACAAAAAGAGATTGTTGAATAGATAGGTGTTATGTCCCGACAAGAATAATGAATGGTAACTTTGTGGATTTATTGATGGACCAATACTAAACGTATATTTCTATTGTATAATTATTAAGCAAATAAACTATGCATATTTATATTCCTCTTACTATAAGATCTATTTTGACCCATAAACTATACGTTTTACCATTCTTGAGTTATACCCAGTATATTAATTACAGTCTCCCACATTCACAGCCACTTCTGGCTAATTCTTGTACAAATGTTGTCTCATATTTTATTGGTACGTTGTGGTTTGTTTGATTGGTATATAAACTCAGAATGTTTGAAATATAATGATTCATATCACAGAGGTTGAGACTTGTGTTCTGGACTTAACTGGCTGGGCTAGGCAGAAAGTAGGGCCAATCAGGACTCTAGGCTGCTCGCACGTGTTTTACGCGTCATTGATTCGATCGATGAGTCACTGCACATTAATCGGCGGTCACAAGTTATAACAATGGGATAGGATATGTATTGAGAGAAAGCACCTAATTGTGTCACAAGGTAAGCCTTCACTTGGAATTCTCAAATCCAAAAGAGAAGAGAAAGCTTAAAGAACACATTATGTTGAGAAATGGAGATAGATATGAGAAGAATGAAGAACAATTGGATAGAAGTAGAAAGGAAGGCCCAGAACAGAATAGGTTAGAGAATGCTGGTTGGCGGTTTATGCTCCATTGGGAGTAACAGGCGTAAGTAAGTAAGCAATATCTCTTTTGTTCCTTCTGAAATCGGTGAATAAAACCGTTAACTTTTATGGGAAATGTAAACATTCTTAATAATGTAGAATTTAGTAAAACTGATACATGAACTTAGATTATCAGAAATCAAGTAAGCTAATAATGATAGACTAATCAAAAAGTTCACTTCTATATGAAGAAAGCACTGTTAATGTTCTTCAGAATGGTAATAAAGGTTCGTCCAGATTAAAGTATCCAAAGCTATCAAATCCAGTCACCTTAAAAACACATTTCCATCATTTCTATACCACTACTTAAAACGAGACCACGATGGATGTGATTAAAGTAGGTTGAAAGAAAAGATTGGGGATAGTCAGGAAAACAACCGTTATCAATCTATGAATTTACTGACTCTTAGTTTTGTTAGATGACATGAATGACTTGAAACCGGTTTTCATGATGGAAATAGACTCATTCTTTACTTCTCTCAATATTTTCAGTTTTAGAATCATCCTATACTCTTAATTCCATAACTTCATGACTCCGGCTCAGAGTTATGTTCTATAGTTGTTATAGATATTTTAAAAAATAAATTTCAAGTATAACTGTGATCATAATGTTCGAAACGTATTACGCAAATATATCACAACTCTGATAACTTTCATCTTCTCAAAGATTGATCTCAGATACAATTTGGTTCTCATCACAGATTGAACTGAACTGGAGATAATAAAGGGAAGAAAGACGCACTGAACAGGTATTTCGTCCATGACAGTAACATACCTTCAACCCTATAAGGAATAAAAACTCGTGTTGATTACTTCATCCTAATTCCCTCTTATCCATACGAACCATACTACTCAATAATATTCAATAACTTATGTGATTGTTAATCATTTTTTAAAAACATATGCCCCGAATCACTATCCCATTCTGTGATAATTTTATGTATCTACAGCAATCTGAAACTTTGAACTCATTTGTTGTTGTATTTCTCTGTAGGTGTTTCATACAGAAGTATTTTAGGAAAAGCTCCCTCTTTTATCGTACATTGACACATAGAATAGCCTCAGATGCTTCATAAATTAAGGTTTATATAATGGAATGTATATATTGTTGTTAATAATAGTACCGCTTTGTCGATAAATTCTTTGTTTTCATTTTACGCGTAACTCAATCGTTTGATCTGAATCCTCAAGTGAATTTGACAGAACGTGAGATGTATGGATTTCACTGGGTGCGCATTAGATTTAGATCGTCGAGTTTTAGATTTTATCACTTATTCTACCATTGTTCGGATTTCTTTAGTTTTGAAACAAGCACATCATTGCAAAATAAACACTATCTAGTATATGAATAAGACATATCAATTTTTGTACTCATAAATGATAAATTTATACAAGTGTTGATTCCTACTTTACAGAAAGTTAGCGTACGAGGCTAAAAGTTCTAGGTTCGATTCCCAGGCACGGTATCGTTGATACGCACTGTTGAGTAGTCGCGTACCAGAACAAAACAGAAGTCTAGTACTTCCACGTTTTCACTGGTGGTCTAACTTGTATTGTTTCATAATTGCAATGAAAACGTAATAGTTTAATTGCCTTCTATCATTTATAATACTTTTCAGTTAATGTTACTTTCTACATAATCGGAATCATCAGTTTGAAAGTTAGATTAAATCCAAATATAAGAACTAACCATTTATGATATACATTTGAAGAATGAACAGAACTAGAATTTGAATTTGGATCATCTTCTGTAATTGCTGAACTTTCTTCTTCTTCACCATCTCCATCATCCATATTTTGATTTAATTCCAATGAATTATCATTATTACTATCAACTTTTGTTAAAGTAGGCATTTCATTTAATTTAGCTAATACCATACTTAAACTAGGCGCTTCTAAAGGTTGTGACTCTTTGATAGTAATATCAGATGGTTTTATATCACTAAAATTTAAGAAAAAAATACCAAAGACTTAACCAACTAAGATCTGTATCACTTTATTATTATTATTATTATTATTATTATTATTATTATTATTTGGGTTTGCTATAATTATTAAGTCTGAAAATTACCCGATCAAATCACAGATTTAAACGATCATTCTTTACACTGAATCTGATCTCGACGAGAAAGTCTTTACTTAACTAACAATTATTGATTGGTATAATTTCTTTTTTTTTTATAAATATAGGTACTACTCGTAATTTTATTCTCTACTCCGTCTGTTGTTACTTTTTTGGGGTATTACTTACTTACTTTCTCCTGTTACTCCTGGTGGAAGAGCATAGGCCGTGTTGCAGCACTCTTCATCCAACTCCGCCTGTAGTTCTTTTAGAATTACTATCGGTCCCAATGTCGAGTAAAGGAGGAGGGTTGGGTGTGGTGTTAACGACCTCATCCCGTAGAAAATTACCTCGTTAAAAACCGCTAGCCAGAAAAACTTATTCAAACCATTTTTGGGGTATATATATATATACAATTTTTTTCTTCTAAATGACGTTATTATAGCTTTGTAATAGACTCCGATAAGACTAAAGAGTACATAAAGTGTCCAAATAAGATATTTGTAGGTAAAGTGAAAACTACTTTTTTTGATGATCAACACTAATGGTTTTCATTGTAGTACCGGAGATTTCTAATGAAACCATTGATAATCATTTGAAAATTCTGAATAAATAAATATAAAAGAGGAATAATTATAGTCAATCTATGTAATATCCTGTCACATTAATGAGAATTGGAGTCGATCAGCAGGGAGCGCTCAATCTGAGTCTTAGGCTAGTATATTTATTTATTTTAACACATAGATATTGGTACAAGAGGGCACCAAATATATATGCGCCACACCATATTTGTGTGTGTGGGCTGTGATACTGCTCGGGTGCCCAAACTGAAGCAGGTGGTTTTCTTAGGGGGCTACAGCCCGAGCCTTTGACCTAAAGGTCTGATCCACAACGCAGTGGAGCATCGGGAGGAGATGAAGTTCCATGGTAGCCGGTGACCAACAATTGGTTTATACACCATTTATTCCATCAGGATACTGGAGCCCATGTGCACCATTGATTTGGTTTGGGATCCGGTTAAAGCGCCGGACATTCGCTTTTCGTCCTCTCATTTTCGTAAACAACACCTCCGCCACGAGAAGGCAATGAGTAGGACTTCCCTGGCAGAGGCTGTATCCGCGTGGCCATACCAGGGATAGGTTAGTAGCCTATCATCAACAGGTTATATCAGCCATTTTGAAGATAACTGACTGCCTTCATGGGATTCTAAGCTATGTTATTCATTGTAATTCATTTCATTCAAATCATATTAGATTTTCAAGTCAGCTATATAATTATGTTCGTCTAGGAAACACTGCTTAGAGGGAATTTGTTTAAAATAGAGTTAAACATTTATATTGTACGTAAATCTCTCTGATACACCATTCGAAAAAAGAAAGTTGAACTGATAATTTGTTTTCATTACGTCATTGAAAGCAGGTGAAGATGGAAATGTTCAATATTTCAACAGCTTTTGGCGAGATTATAATTTATGGGCGAACCAATCAAATTTAGAATAACAGATCATTGATTTTGGCATGAAATTCATTCATCCATTTGGCTAACTAACGTTTTGGCATTTTAACTGATGTTAGTCCATGATGAAAACCTTCAGTCTAATTCCTAATCTTAACTATCAACTGTAAATCATAATCCTTATTTTTCACACTGCTTTATAACCCTCATTTTATCCTAGTAAGTAGGTGAACATTCTCAATGTTATTTTAGCGTCGCTCTAAGGTCGTCCATAAATTATAATCTCACCACATTATTTTGTTGAAATTAACCATACTATACAATTATTTCGAAATGAAAGTTTGTGTGTGACAATCGCAGATTTCAGAATTTCCGCTTTACAATATTTGAGACGATATTCAAACGGCACAAATCACTGAGTGGTATTTTGTTAAACGCATTCAACATTTAACCAGTGTAAATGAAACGTATGAAAACCACTGTTTTTTTAGAAACTTCTTGGGGGGAGCAGGCATCTACAATCTGATTCTCAATTTTTTGCATTGATGGATATGGAGGATCCACCTAGGGGAGTTGGAAAACGCTGATTCCAAACCAATGGTGCACATGGGCTTCAGGATGCTGAAGGAACATATGACCTATGAACCTATTGTTGGTCACAAACTACCATGACATTGCATCTCCTTACGTTGTTTTACTGCCCTGTGGATCAAACCTTTAGATGGAAATCTCCGGGTGCGGCCCCCTAAGGAAATCACTTGCTTCGGTTTGAGCACCCGGGCAGTATCATAGCCCACATACAAATCAAGTGACTTGTATGGCCCATTTGCATTCAGTGCTCATTTATACCAATATTTATGTGTTCAAATAACAATAATTTTTGCACTGAATTCAATAAATTCATGGTTTATCTTCCAGAATAGAACAATTCTATCGTGATGAATTACAGGTAGACTTGATTAACATTAAAAAGATGCTTGTTCTTTTTATCTAATAATCACAATTTTAGAAATTTGACAGTTTCATAAGTGTATTTATTTACATAAAGTAAATTCTTTCTATATTTTTTAAACTAACCTTGAATCGACATATTTCTGTTCTACCGATTTCTGAACCAATTTAGATTGTGGTGTACACAATCTTTCGAACTGTTCAAGCTTCAATAGAAATGAAAAGTGATCATACAGTTAGCTTACTTATCAAAATTACTTTCCAGATTATGATATTCATTATTGTCTTCAAAACACTAACTTACGCCTGTTACGCCTCGTAGAGGAGCATAGGCCTCTTACCAACAGTCGCCAACCAAACCTGTCCTGGGCAATCCTTTCCAGATAACTCCAGTTGTTATTCATCCTTTTCATATCTGATTCTATTTACCGACGTAATGTGTTCTTTGACATTCCTCTTTTCCGCTTCCCTTCAGGATTCCAAGTTAGGGCTTGCCTCGTAATGCAGTTTGATGATTTCTGTAATGTATGTCCTATCCATCCCCAACGTCTTTTCCTAATTTCCTTTTCAGTTGGAATCTGGTTTGTTCTCTCCCATAGAAGGGTATTATTGATTGTGTCAGACCGATGGACATTGAGTATCTTGTGTAGACAATTGTTTATAAGTACTTGTACATTTTCGATAATGGTTGTAGTAGTTCTCCAAGTTTCAGCTCCGTACAGTAGAACTGCATTGACTTTGGTATTGACGATTGTGATTTTGATATTGGTTGACAGACAGTAGTTTTGAGTATAATATGTTCTTCGATTGTAGGAATGCGGCTCTTACTTTGCCAATCCTCGCCTTTACGTCCTAAATTAGTGTTAATTCATTAAGGGCCTATCATTCAGTTCTCTTCAACTTGTGAAGCAGTTATGCTCATATTGTAATTTCTTAATTCTGTTGATATATAGTTAGACTTTTTCTTGATATCATTGCATGAGCGTTACACAAATTCGGACTGTATAGTTAGGTTTTGTCTGCTTGTTGAGTTGTTCCGAATATCGGATGGACGAGAGTGGAAAACTTCATTCTGAACCGATAATCATCGAAAGTTATTTCCGGTCGCTATCGTACATTAGCCTTGTCATTTGCTAGCCGAATAACATTGGTATTAGATAAACAGTATATCCTAGCTGATCAGTATTCAAACTAGATCAACCGACTCCTTTTCTGTCATACGGCCTGATCTCACGGGCACAATAATTAACTGAGAAAATCTGTTTATTTTTACCATCATATACCAAAGGTACACATTAGTTACAACCCGTAACTAAATTGGTTATTAATATTTACATAAACGTCCGCCACTCAGACTCGTAATTATTTCCTGCCTCCAATTTCCACTACTGTATGTTCTCTCGTCTTCGACTGACTCTCTTCACTACAGATGTTGTTCTAATTACAGTCATTTACATTCCAGAAGCATATACTGTATTCAAGATTAATTTCTATTTGTCTTAAATGCAGTTATTAAGCCAAGACTCTGTGGTTTGACATTAACACGAAACATGGTTGAAAAGCACATATGAAGACAATAAATCCTACTGTGGTGTGGGTTACTTATATTCATATCACTAGTATATAACGATGGTCAGACACAGAATGTATTTCAGTAGAAGATCGATGAGGAAAGAATGGGAACGGAACGCAATTGGTATGAAAATGCATGAACAATGAAATCTGAAACAATGGATTGATGTTTGCAACAGGAACAATCAAGTTTGAGATGATGGATTGATATTTTGCAAATTAACGATTTATTATATGGTTCTCAGATTTTATTAAAATACTCTGTAATTTCGTGTCAAATACATTCGATTGTCACCACTGGTGTTCTGTTCACTACACTACAATACAGTCACTTTTATTGAATACAGTAGTAGCAGTAAGGGAAAAAAGTTCACTGTTAACCATTATGGTTTCCTTAAAATCATTCAAAATAGATTAGCTATCTGAATAGTATTAAAATATAAGACGTAGCTTTTATAAAGAGTAATGAAATACAAAATTCCTGGAGATTACAAGTAACAAACAGTTAAAAGGAGATCCTCTTTCGCTATGTTAGTATTCAGGACGGCAGTTGATTGATCAGTTTCTGTTGCCTCATGTGTACCATGAGTGAATTGACTCGTTATATTGTTTTGTTAAAAGTTTTAAGTATATTTTCGGTATATGGCTGGCATTGTAATTCAAGACATTCGTTTCATCCTAATTGAGATTCTTTAACCTGATGTACCTGCATTTCAATGTTGATATTGACGTACCAACTAGACCACAAGTACCTTTATCTTAGCCACCAACTGGCTCAGTATGAAAACCAATACTAGAATGCAAGTGCATCCAGCTGATGAGTCCCATGTAGGAAGAAACACAGGCTCGAATTCTACTTCCTATCCACATATTAAATATACCATTATCATATAAATATGTCTAATCTCTTCTGTTTTTTTCTTCACCTTGAAAAGTTGATGTTTTCTTTCTAGTTCAAAAACTTTCTCTTGTTTCTTACGCCGTTCTAAATGTTCTCTTAATAGTTGAGCGCGTTCTTCTGCCTGTTTCTAATATGTAAATACAAAAAGGAAATATTCGAAATTAAAAAGAAACGACTGAACAAATCATGATTGCCAAGACATTTCAATAACAATATTCTTTAAGTATACATTGTAAAGTGACATGTTTGAATCAGATTATTGCTTGAATGAATGTTAATAATAAGAAACCACTTATTTCACTACAGAATCGACAATCTTACTTGAAATTCACGCTTCATTTCACCTGGGACTTATTCACTAAATAGTTCCACTTAAGTTTTGATTATCGTTCGAACTTTATGATATTATTAATCTATAACTAGTCTTTAGTGGTCATTTATTTTAACACTAATGAGATTGGACGATGATGCTACCGACGAGCTCATCATTTTAGTGGCTCAGTGTATCTGACTTCAATTCCATCGTATGAATGATTGCTATCAAAATATACATGCCTACAATACTCGTATATTATTATCAACTTAATTCATGTCAGAGAATAACGGAATAAAATAAGTCAAATACGAGAGTGAAGTTTGAATACGTACATTTCGTACACTCATTGATCTGGACAGACAATCAGGAAAACGATGTGAAGAGAAGAGAACGAAGCAAAATGAAATCATATGGAGTGGCGAAGACGAGTGAGCTAACTCCATTTGATAAGGCGTGACCCAATATTTATATTCGAACAAAAATAAATTGCAGACACTCAATGAATGGAGCAAGCGATTAACACACATACGATCATATCGAAATAGTCAGAACTTATGAGCGAATAAGTGACAAAGTCAAAACGTGGCTTGAGTAGAATGAATAAGCTGGTTTGTCCAGAAGCTAGAATATCCTATGTGTGCTGGACATAGTACCAGACACCATAAGTCATATTATACACATGGAACGTAATAAACACTCACTCAAATTTATTAGGATATCAAAATCGACGTGAAAGATCAACACAAGCCTTTATATGAACCAATACAAGTCAATCGAAAATCCTAAACCAGAATTCAACTCGAAAATAGGAGAAAATGTTAAGATTATAGAATATTAAGAGTTTTAACATCATTAATAAACTCATTAGTGCTAAATACCAATAATTTAGACTGCAGATCATGCTTATATGGTCATGCTATACTCTAATTCCTAATCTAATTAGTTTAGGATCCTAACCCTATCTCCCTATTTTGGGAGAAACTTAGGGTTTTCCTGATATATCCCCCGGAAACTGGGGAAGACTACGGATTTTTATATGACTTTGGGGAAAGACCCTGAAATTTCCCTAGACATCCTCAAATTTTCCCCGAAATCATAAGCCTGGTAACCAGAAATCTCCTAGACTCATGATCCCAACCATTAAACCCCATGAATCGAGCTCTTAACTCTGAAACTTCTCAGCTTCAACTTCTAACCCTGAAACTACTTAAATGTAGATACTAGCCACAAAACTCCTTAGAGCTAACTCTTGACTTTGATAATCCTAACCTTAACACTCCAACCAGTAATATATTGACCTTAATAGTTCATTCCATATGAAAACCACCATCTTTGAATGATTGCAGTTCTTTCAAAATACGAAATATGATGGAAATCATAGGTTTCAGCAACAATCTATCCTCAACAGCGTTTCAAATTAGCGCGTTTGTTAGCTGATAGTTTAAGACCATCGGTTAAGTATACCACTTTACCATATACTTTGAATTATATCATGTCGGCTCAAATACATTTAGATAATGGAACAGGGGACTCCGTCAATTTAGCTGAAGCACCATGTTAAATTCGATGCACTATATCATATCAGTTATCTTCTATTTAAAGCACTGTAAAAAATGAATGTAGGCAATTTTTAAAAATCTATTTACAATAAAATATATGTTATCGTTTGCTGGGTTTTGAAAATCGCGAAAAGGTTTGTCGGAGACTTCTGCAGTCTGTTTGTTGGTCTGAAGGTCATCGCTATGATATCGTCTTGTCTTTACGTTCATAGTGTTCCCATCGGTAGAAACAACTCACGATATTTTGTCAGTAGGTGTAAGGGAAATCGCAGAGCTTAGCCGGCCATCGAAGTTTGGTCGTAGACATCTATGTAATATGTATCATTGTAAATACGATATAACTGTATGAATAACTTTCCACGATTAACACGATTCTCATTGATAAGGATCAGTTAAATGATGAAAATATTTCAAAATATAAAACGCGCCAAGGATGTGACTGTCCCTTCAATCAATGATATGACCATTTGTTTGCAAACTACACTCGTAACAGTCAGAATTGTACATAGGATCATGTGACGAGTAATTATTTGTAACATACCTTCAAACTACATCAATAAAACATGAATTGTAGTCTCATCAATCGAATAACCATAACCATAAACTTCTACCCTTAATTTCAGTATCACTCACTCTATCAGGTACCAACGGTATATCCAAGCATTTTTAATAACGACACATGTGATTATATATTTTTAATGTATGCATTGCATTGGTTTCATAAGCCAAGTTTTAACTGAAGAAAATCTTTAATAGACAGATGGTTGTTTCAGTTGTGCCTTTGTTGCACAAATTAGTCTAATCTATGTTTAGCCACGAAAAAATTTCGACAGTCAACAATCAACTAAGATTGATAGGACTAGCAAAAGTTGGGTAACGTAAAGAGAACTTTTAGGAGGATTCGAAAGTGGAGGGTTTGGTGATCGAGTGCATTAAAAACAGTATTAGATTACTTATTTACTGACAATTTATTTTGATGAAGTTTTCGCTTCATTTTAAATTCTAATATTATAGATTTTAAATTAAGGTAAATATATCTACCTTATTGTAGTTCCAATAAAAAGTACTTACTTTTAATGCTTCGAACTTTTGACGTTTCTCTTCCAAAGCTTTTAACTGGTAGAGAATGTGGAAAAAAACAAACTGTGTAATACATTTATCAAAAGTGATTTTGTGGAGATTTTAGAAATTTCACTGGTTGAAATCATGAGTCAATTGAAGTTAGATAATCATGGAAAACGTGGAGGCACTGGACGGCCGTTTCGTCCTAGTATCTGACTCCCCAGCAGTGTGCATCCACGATCCCACCCCCCGGTGAGATTCAAACTCAGGACCTATCAGCCTTGCGCCAGGCGCCTAACCAACTAGACCATTGAGCCGGCATTTAACGGTGTTAATGTCTAACTTCAACCAATCCACGAAGTAGCGCCACCGTACACCATTGTCTTCAGTGAGTTGGAATCTCACAATCGACCTGATTGAACTCCACGGGTAACGGCTTCTCACTAGAACTCCAGGAGTGACTTCAAGAGATAATACATTTATTCCGAGTTTCTTATGTGTAAATTATTTGGTTCATATGATAATTGTCGTTAATGTATTAGAGAAAAAATGTGATATAGCTCAAAATGTGACGAAATGATTCAGGCTTATTTGTTTTTTTATTTATTTTTCTCTAGAAGCTAAACGATAGCGGTTTGAATACCACATAAAGTATCAGTTAGCAAAACGGTAAGTACGCCTTGTTGACAAGTAGAAATTAGCACGAGGCCTAGGTTTAACGTCTCCTACCGACTACTCGTAGCCGCCTAAAACCAAAACCGATCTAAAGAATCTTTCACTCAGTGAAATTGAGTTATTTTCTAGTTCACCAGCGATTTCTACAAAGAAAAAGGAAGAATTACTCTACTTTACCCCTTCTGTGTATATCTATAAATTCAGCTCATCATTGTGTTGTGTCAAAAATTGATTGAAATGGGAAATGTATAACATTGGTTACCAAATCAGTGTTTCCAATGGTTAAGGGCCTACTAAAATATGAAGGGCCAAGTTTCGATCCTTAGTAAGTTAGTAAGTGCTGACTGTAGAAAAAAACTATGCAAATTACTTTAAAATGAGCATGAAATCTTTAATACGTTATGTTTCATTGCTACTTACCTCTCTTTGATGTTCAAGTATGCGTCCTGTATTATGTATAAATTAACAAAAAAAGTGATAGAACCAATTGTGAAACAACAACGTTAGAAAGAATAGAATAACACTTCAGTAATTAAATTATTAAAAAGAAATTTGATGAATATTCTGACTGAGCGGTTGAATCCTTTCGTTAAGCTTTTCTAATAACTCCAAGCTAAATCTACATGACAACTTGAACACAAAAGAAAAGACGTGAAATATGGAAAGAACGCTTTACACCAAGTTTAGTTTATGTACAGAAAATCGAAAGTATTTGTAGCATTTCAGATGGCTTTGGGCTTCTTGAAAGCTTTGGAACCCTGATAAACATAGTAGTAGGTTAGGTAATCATCCAATCAGAAATCTGACATGTGACTCTTCACTTTTTAGATGTTTAACGAAAAACGTTTCTTGAATTCTGATAGGATAAAATGTTGAGATGGGGGAGAAGATTTGTTGCTCAGGTGGATGATTTTGGTGGAGTTTTGTTCTCTGAGCTGGATGGTTTGGTCGTGGCGCAGTCAAACGCCATGATATCTATTCACTTATATCAATACACGTGGATAACTACGGACACTCATTCGATTGGGAAAATGTAGAAATCTTAGACAGAGGAAACTCCAAAAACACCAGAGAATTTCTAGAAGCCTGGCACTCAGGTCAATCAGCAATCAACAAACATATTGAAATCAATCCAATTTATCAACCAATCAGGAAAATCATGCGTAAATATAGGAACAAAAATCAAACCAATGGGAGACACAACCAAGACAAAGAAGTAAACAATGATAAATTTAAGGTCAACAAGAACCAATCAACATCGAGGTGCACAGAACAAGCTGTGAAACACATATGGAGAAATTCGAACACTTCACTTCTATCTGAAGTTTGTGCTGATGATGTCGTTAGAAGAACGATGAAAGCTCCACGACCAAACCATCCAGCTCAGAGAACAAAACTCCACCAAAAGTATAAAATGTTTCCCAGCGTTTTCATAACCCCTTTGAACTTTTTTCGAGGAATTTTCTGTGTCTCTTCCACAACATTACATAATTTATAGCTTAACATGAAATTAAATATGCGTTGATCTATAGAAATTCGTCTGTACTTTGATGTGATAAACCACTCATAAAACATTCAAGGGATAATTACATAAAATATCCTCGTTTTATTTGCTGTTGACTAACTAGAACAACACATTTGACTGAACAATATTGTTATCAACGAAATCTTCATTGGATATTACTCAGATATCCTGTAATATTTTTGTGTATATACAGAAAACATTCAACTAAATAAGGCAATTTATTAATGAATAATAATCATACAAACGATTGCATAACTAATTATCATAAGACAGAATCAAGAACTGATGGTAAAGTGACAGTTTGGTAGTAAATATAAGAATCATAAACAGTATGATAAAATGAATAAATAGATTGACATATTAAGTGTAAACTCATTACTATTAAGAACTGCATAGTGAAAAATATGTGAATAGTCAGTTTAAGTATGCAGAGAGTGAAGAAGAGAAAAGAAGCTAGCAAATTGTAGGAAAAATTTGTAAAGCCTAGTGATGTTATTTACACACGCGTTATTTTACCTTACGCGTTTTATTACTTACTAATTGTAAGTAGTATAAATTTTAAAATAGGAATGTTCGAGCATTAAACAGGCTGAAGCGCGATTTCGGTTTTCTTAGAGTTATTGTAATTCCAGCGAATATATACATACACTGAAGGTCATCATAAGAATTAGAGTAGCTTCGAATTAAGAGAAGCAAAATTAATATACAATCATGACTTCTCATGGGAATTTCAACAATCCATTTCGGTGCCGGTCATTACTTCAGGAGTCCATACATTTAATTACTTTCAATATAAAGAGTGAACTAATCTTAGTTAGGCCACCGTTGAAAACTTGGAAGCACTGGATGACTGTTTCATTTCTTAGCGGCGAACATCCATGGACCTACATTAGCGAACTGAGACGTTTTATTAGCTAATTCAAAGTCAGAATATTCAATTTAATGCAAAAAATATTAATAAAACTATGCTGAAAACTAATAATGATAATTAGATTACCTCTTTCGTTAAGATTTACAAATGGTGAACCGCCTAATATATCAGCTACACCCATAATATGACCAGCACCACGTGCACGGTTCATTGCAGCTTGTTGTCTAACAGCGATAAAATCTTCGACTAATTTGGTTTGCTTAATTGCTGATTGAATTTGTTCATTTCTACGTAAATTTGATTCGTATGGCTTTGAATAGACTAAAAGAAAGAAAAAAAAACATGAAGACAAAAAAGGTTGCATAATAATTAAGAATAAAATGAAGTCTATTGATAACAAAAAAAGAGTAGATTAATTCTGATAAATCAAAAATACTTCTTATGCTGTTAAACACTTAAATTGAAACAGCCAATCAGAAGGTCATCTATGAAGAATTGATATCATCTGAACAGATTAGTGGTAACATGAATGATCATATTGCACACTGATATACCTATACTGATTCCTAGTTAAGTACGGGCAGGAATTTCGTCCATCACAGAAGAAAAGATTTTTCTGAACTATACATAATTTCGACAAAAGAATCTACTAAAACAAGGGGAATCATTTGGGGAGTTTTACTAAGCTATCATGTAACTATTGATAGACATTTTACCATTTTTGAACTATTGTTATTAATTTATAGAACCTACAGGCAAGTGATCTAATGACATAGATCCCAAAAAAGATTATATTTTCTGAATGGACAATAGAATATAGGAAGAGGGACAAAATAGTGTTATGCAACAAAGATCCGAGAATCATATAGATAATAAAATCCTGAGCTTTTCTAGTATGTGTACGCCAAAAAGTGTCTATTATTTAATGTATTATAATAAAACATGATGTCGATCAGTTACTTTCTAAAAGAGTGATAATGTAAGCGATTCATTATTTTAAGTAAAGATGGATGATGGCTAACAGTGGAATGCAGAATGCGTGTTTCGTCCTATTTTGGACTCGTCAGCTGGATGAATTCGCATTTCAGAGTTGATATTCACTCAATGGAAAGATCCAAACAAACAATACAAAAATGAATTACATTCATCATTTATTTACACTTTGAAAATAATTTGTATAAAAACAATTAAAATCTAGTGTGATTTAATCATGAACTATTTCCCGGTTAGCGTTTTTTAGTGAGTTAATTTTCTACGGAATCGGGTCGCTTTTATATCCCGATAAGAATAATAAATGTTAACTTTTGGGATTCCTTTATGGACCAACGCTATGAGTATATTTTTTATCGTATAAATGTTAAATAACTAAACTATTCATATTCATGTTCCTCTTATTATGAGCTTTATTTTGACCTATGAACTATTATTATACGATTTACCATTCTTGAGTTATGGCCTGTCTAGTAATTACTATCTCCCTCATTCACAGCCACCTTTGGCCAAATATTGTACAAATGTTATTTTCTATTTTATGGTACAATGTGGTCTGTTTGATTGGTATATAAACCCAGTATGTTTGAAATATAATGATTCATATTGCAGAAGCTGAGATTGGTGTTCTGGATTCAGCTGGCTGGGCTAGACAGGGGGCGAGACCAATCAGGACTTTAGGTTGCTCGCACGTGTTTTATGCGTCACTGGTTCGATCGATAATTCGCTGCTCTCTGATTGGCGGTATCGTTGCGTTATCCAATATACAGGGCACACAGATTCACAAGTTATAACAGTCGCTAACCCTATGCCCGACCGTCCTCCATTATTCAGGCTTAGGACCGACATTAGCCCCAGAGAGGCTCCAGGCGGAGTTGTAATTCAATCATACATTCCACAAATTACTCGTTTATTGAATAAGTACTTGGAATAATATCTGAATTTTTACGGTGAAACTATCATGTCATTAAACTCGATCATCATTGGTTCGCTAGTATACAATATCATTTAGACTGTAGGATTTCATTAACTGATAAATCTCTCGGAAGGGGTTTTGTGGAGATTGTAGTAATTTAAACAGTTGAGATCATGAGTTAATTGAAGCTAGACCACCATGGAAAACCTGGAAGCACTGGACGGCCGTTTCGAATCCCGCGAGGCGGGGTCGTGGATGCGCACTGTTGAGGAGTCCCACAATAGGACGAAACGGCCGTCCAGTGCTTCCAGGTTTTCCATGGTGGTCTAGCTTCAATTGACTCATGATTTCAACCAGTGAAATTATTATTTATTTCCACAAAACCCATTCTGATAAATAATAATTGACTAGGAACCACAAAACATTATTAGCCTAATTACTAAAGTATACTTATAAATCATGAAAATCTATTCGATGATTTAGAGATATGAAGTTGTTTTTATAAAGCGACTATGAACTAAAATGTATTTGATCTCAGATTTTTATCAAATATCTATATTTTGAATAGAGAGTTATTTATTACTGAAATGTTTTAATTCAGTAGTCAGAAGAAAATATATTCATTTTCATAAATTTTCAGTGATGCGATAAATAAAAAATTAAATAAGAAAACGGGAAATAGCACCTTGTCAGTGTATATTGCAGTCAGCACTTTTAATCATTTTTCTATTCATTTATCGCATGAGTATCGCATAACAGAATGTGATTTTTTTTGGATCTATCAGTTTAAGCATTTGCGGTTAGTCACAACTGTCTGTTATGAAAATATCAATGCAGAGTATTCGAATATCCAGAGTAGTAAAACATAAATTAAATATGTGACATTTAAGGCTTAAAATGAACTATCTAATAACGATTACACTCTGATACACAATACTTACCTAATAGATGAGCGAGTAAATGACCAAAAGTGTTGGAAATAACATACTTATTGAAAAGTAGAAACTTTATAACTAATCTCAGACACTATACAGAATAAAAAAAGAATAAAAACGTACTTGGTTGATATTTATTGTCTTCATACTTGCCATTCTCACTGAGACATTGATCACTTATATTATCATCAGTACTAGTATTATTATTTTCATTTTTACCATTGTTTATAATATTGATTTTATCATGAATGTTACTGTTATCAATAGTAGTAATATTATTTTCCTTGTTAAATGGATAGAGTAAAGGACACATATCATTCGGTCTCATCGGTAGAACAGCTTGACATGGTTGTAGATAAGACGGTTTTATGTTGATTTGGGGTGTTGATGGTGTTTGTGGTGTTATTGATACTCCTTCGATTGCAAGAGATTGTGAAGGAATCGATACCGAAATTGTATCGATTGACTTGGGGGTTATAACTTCTGAATGTTTAACACCTTACATTAAGGGCAATTAGAATAAAAGAACAATTTAACCAATATGTATCAGATATTGTTTAGAAAAGATTGAATACAACGTATGAGGTAATTATATCAGTAAAAGTGAAAGCAGAAAACTCATGGTCCGATGGTGAAGTCATACAGCTGACTTTACAGCTGTTTGACAACAGTAAGGTGTCTCTTTCAGACAACTAGCATATACAGAAACGTTTTCTTTCCACAATCAAAGGAAAAGGTTAGAAAAGATCAACTTTAAAAAAAGCATACTCCATCTATCATAATTACTCTTTCCCTCACAACTCTTTAAAGCCATTTCTAACCTAGTTTCTTTTTAAGGTCTTTCGGAAAAAAATATCCTGGATGGCAGTGAGGTGTCAAACTTACTCATATATTTAACAGAGGTTGGATATCACCTCTTGTTGTGAACGGGGAATTAAGAAGCCCAGACAATTACGAAAGCTATTTTCTTGGGACGTTATTGCATTTCATTCAAACCCTGTAAAACACTTATATTTATTTTTGTCCCTATCTTATTCTACATAACACGAGCTTTCGTTCTATGTATCATTCACTAGCATACCTTTTTTTTGTTCCGAAAATATTGTAATTTAAACATAATATTTTGCACTTTATTTTCTACCCTAATTTCCCTGGGAGACACAACCAAAACAAAGAAGTAAACAATGATAAATTTAAGGTCAACAAGAACCAATCAACATCGAGGTGCACAGAACAAGCTGTGAAACACATATGGAGAAATTCGAACACTTCACTTCTATCTGAAGTTTGTGCTGATGATGTCGTTCAGAAGAACGATGAAAGCTCCACGACTAAACCATCCAGCTCAGAGAACAAAACACCACCAGAGTTCAGTGTTCCAACTGTCTTGTTTTCTTTCACTTGCGTGCTTGCCAACCAATCAGGTTCTAGAATAGTTGTCTCTCTATCCCATCTCGAACTCACGCGTATTAGACTCAAGGTTAAGCCGCTGAGCCTAACGCGTCAAGGTCATAATTTAGGCTAGACAGATCAAGGTGAAGTCATAACAAGTATCACGGGGTAAAAGCGATTCAAGGTCATAACTCCTCTCTCTTACTGGAGCTCCATTATTTATTTCTTCTGTTTCTAATAACAATCCATTACTTCCACTTTTCGAATATGTACATCCGCCGATTAATCGATGGGCCGTGATGACTGATGTAACAGTATGTTGGAAGAAAGGTAGAAGCAACCCAACTAAGAAATGGCATCAGTTAGTGACTTCACTGAGTCATGTTAATTAGTGTAGATTACCTGGTTGGGATCCACGTAATTATCGTAACCGGTGGTTAGAAACATTGAACAACATAGCTCAAAACATTTGCAATGACACATGTGACAAATTTTAAGTTTCTGAATCCTTCATAATTTTTTATTACTTCACAGGTTTGTATTCGCTTCTCAAATTGTATTTCGAATGCCTAATATTTTTTGTTATCATTAATACTGTTACTACCTAGCCCCTACTCTGGGATTTGTTCTGACAATTTCATCTCATTATTCTAATCGGTTACGGTTGCTTAAAACGGTGTACACATATGTCAGGTTCTGCGTTATGTTCAACTAATCGACTGATTGACTTCTTTCTTAGTTAAATTTAAGACCATATGTTTATGAAGATTTTCTAACTAGACAAAATGTCGACTTAGTAGTTTGAATAGTGAAAGGTATTCCCTTATAGATCGTAAGTTGACAATTGTTGTGACTTTATGTCCGGCTAGTTACCACGTGATTTATCCACCAATCAAAATATGACTTATACAATCTTAGCACTGTGCCAAACCAATGACGTCCGAACAGTATGAGCAGCCTAGCGTCCTTATTGGTCCTTTGTCCACTTAGCCCGTCCACTTGAGTCCAGAACACCAATACCAGCTTCCACTATGCGAATCGAGTCGAATCGAATAATTTATTCCAGACATACTGGGTTTATATATCAACCAAACAGACCGCAACACACCATAAAATAGGAAATAACATTCATACACAATAAAGCCAAAATGTGGCCGTGAACGTGAGAGACTGTAATCAATAGACTGAACATAACTTAAGAACAGTAAATCGTACAATAATAAATTATAAGTCAAAATAAAGCTTATAATAAGAGGAATATAAATATACATAATCTAATTATTGAATAGTTATACCAGAAGAATATATAGATAATATTTGTCAATTAAAATGTCTCAGAAGTTACTCGTGATTTAATCTTCGCTCGGATGTAACAACAATATCAGTGAATGTTGACATGAACTGTGTCACCAGGTGCAGAGTTTATTAACTAGGGGTCCTAGGTGACAGGTTCCAGAAATAGTTGCAGCGTTCCAGATCCATTAGTTCTTTATCCTTCTCTATGTTTTATGTGTTAATATTATTTCGTGCTTTTTAATGATCGAATTCTTTCATCCCAAACTAGATCATCCATCTGATTCTTTCGCATTACTATGTATCCTGACGTTGCTGAAGGTACAGAGATCCTACTCTGCCTCTCGAATTAGTATTGTAAGGCCACATGCTTATAGCCTCTTCCATGAAAGTCCTCCTCACTATCTTCAAATACATTGAGGGTATTTTTGAGGAAAATAAAGGACAAAAGCAGATATCTGGTGTTCAGATTGAGTTACTGACTACATAGAATACTTTCTTTAAGAGTTTAAAAACTCATATTCCAAAAAAATGCGGAACATCTGCTCCAAAATTCCCCAGAAAAATCCCAAAGGCCCAAAAACCATACAAAACATTTGACTATACAATAAATAAAGAAACTTACAAATATAATTATCATAGTCTTTACAGTTTATTTGTTGGATACGATCTCTTTCTTGTTTGTATTTTATAAATGCATCAGCTACAAGTACACTTGGTGATGAAGAGGGATTACAATCATAAGATTGATTAGTCGAACTGATAATCGGTTTGTAATATACATCTTTTAGTTTGGGATTTTCATTGATCACATTTACCTAGAAAAGTGCAAATGAAGATTTTATGTAAATACGTGTATGTGTATTATACGTATAAAAGATTGATAAAATACGGTTTGGTTATGTTCACAATGAAATCGACCCTAATTGGTTGTTGATAATGAAGCTCAATGGATATGACAATACTAACAAAAACAATCCAGTCCTTACAAGTGATTCATTTCGAGGTTGGTTCATAGCATTCTTATTCAAAGCTGTGATTGATGAAGGCTGATTATATCGAAATTGTAGCAGTGATTTATGAATCGTATTGAATAATAACCAAGTTGTATTTTACAAATTGTCTGAATTTGTAAGTTTAAGTCAACGAAGTTTTATTAAATGGTCTAAAGACATTGTACTAACCATAGGAGTCAAGAGTATTGAGCTAGATTCACAAGTAAAGTTATGAGTATGAACTGCTAAGGAATTCGAAAGTTAGAGCGAAACCTTTATACGGTACTCTTTAGTCTTCGCAAGCCCAATATCATAAATTTTAGTTGTTAATGAGGCTATGTGGGAGTAATTGTAAGAAAGCAAAGGGAAACCAAATTAAAACACGGAATCAGTCAGTGGAGTCATTTACTGTTGGATGGAACCGTAAAGGTAGGTAATAACTACCTGGTTGGGGTCTGCTTAAACAATTATTTAATCAGTCACTGGAGATGTTAGTTGATATAGCTTAGAGTCAGGAGCGATGGCGCAGATTTTCATCTTCTATAATCTCTTCTTAACTTTGAATTTCTTAACAATCTTATACTGTTTGCATCCCACGAGTTTTTTTATCCCTTCTTGCATCATGTAAATCATACCTAATCTTTTTTTAGTATCAACGATACCACTAGTGGCTTGATATATGTCTTTATAATCCCATCTTGTTTCTCCAACATGATATGGGGACTTGAACCGATGAAATGTTTATCAGCTCCTCTACGATGATTATGACGCTAAAGATATGTATGGAAAAATATTTATACAATGGACCCATGGTTAAAAAACCTAAAATCTTCATAAGATATAATGAGATAAATTGGATGGTATGTTTTTGAAGATCATTTACAATGAATCAAGTGTATTCAATCTACATATTTCTTAAAAAATCTTGAACTCAATGCTATTTCATATTTTGCAGTATATTGGAAAAGTATGCTTAGATTTCCAGTGTAAGTGATTGTTTCTATCGAAATCACGAACAGATTCAAGTTAAGCAACTATTGAAAACCTGGAAGTAATCTATAGCTTTCTGGTCTTATTACGGTACTTTTCAGGAGTGAATAGCCATGACTACATGATCGGGGATCAGTCATGCATGCGGATTCCTAACCTTATGACCTCCTACCCGGGATATATTGGTGTAAAAGTCTAATTTCAATAAATTCACGATATTATGCGACCATCCTTCATGGTCTTCGGTGAATAACTTCCTCGCGCGGTTAAACACCAATAATCACAGCTTCTCACTGGAACTCCAGTCATTTCCTCTCGAGGCCAGTTACTAGTTAGCACATAATCATTGGTGGTATATGATTATGGAAACTGCTGAATTTTACCGAGATCAATGGGTGTCCAACGTAAATCGGTTCGTGATCTTAAAATAATAAAATAATCCCTACAATTCTATACCGTTAATGTTTATCCACTTTCTCTAAGTTCATCTTTTTGTTAATTTCCTCTCATTTTCATTGTCTCATTATGCGAAAAGCGCACTGAGGTTATCCATTGTTCATTAAGTACATTGTATCTAACAGTTTTCGGTCATTTTTCAATTCAGTCAGTGGATGAGTATTTCATATTTAAATGTAAAATTTATTAGTAATTTCATTTCAAGAGTTTGAAGTTGTCCACAGTTGTTTACTATAAACATATCAGTGTTGTTCAACCTGAAATACTGGACAAAAAGCACAAAGATCGTAAAGGTTATTGTTTAGAATGAAGTACTTAATAAAAATGACACTCCAGTTTTCAACGCTCACTTACTAACTGAACAGAAAATGATTCACAATTCAGGAAACGACATACATATTGAATATTAAGAACTTGGTAACTAACTCCAACCGAATAGTATGATAGTTTAGAACGTTATACACCTTTTTTTACTTAATAGTTGAGATTATGAGTCAATTAAAGCTAGACCATCATGGAAAACTTCGAAGCACTGGATGGCTGTTTCGCCCTATTGTGGAACTTCTCAACAGTCAGTCAGTGAGCATCCACGATCCCGCCCCGCGGGATTCGAACCGTTTTCTTCATTTAATACTAAATTACTAATTTTCAGAAAGAATTAAAAATTAATCCAACAAATTCAATTCAAACATTGAAATCACTTACCATATTTTTCTCATTAACGGCAGGTGTAATGCATACAGGTGAATTATCTAATAAGTGTTTCCAGCCTTGTTCTTTTATTTTATTTCTAGCTTCCAACTAATAATAATAATAATAATAATAATAATAATACAGTGACCATGATACAATTCTAAATCTATCAGTGTATTTAGTGTAATGATCCTGAACAATAATTCACCTTGAAGAATCTAAAGTAGTATGATTAAGTTGTGTAATCGACTGATTCACATAGATACAGACTTATATCCAGATTGAGTTTATCTTCCTATTTTGAACTCGGTGTTTAGATTTACCTGCATTCATATTACTATTATTATTATAGTCCATGAATGGACATAAAAATTAAGCATTGGTCAGACTTTTCTCTATTAGTTTGATGAATTGTAGTAGCTAGTACTTCTTAAACAAGAAAAATTCGTTGTAATTAATTGTAATTAATCAATCTCTGTTGAAAGGTAAGTTTCCTATGGGTAGACGCTTTTATGTTGCTTTATTTCGCACATCAGTTACATTTCTTACGGCAATTGATGATGGAATGGATGAGGCATGACTGTATGTATAATGGTAGTAGTCAGCTGAATTGATCCAGTGTTGATGTTCACATCACCAATACGATGGAACTTGGGCTTAATCATTCAAAAGTGTTATTATGTAGTCGTAATATTATGATAATTGAATAGAGTATTAATGTTTGTAAAAATCAGATAACTGGTAGAGTAATGGTGACTAGAATGCTTAGTGGTGATTTGTGGTGGTATGTCCTTATAGCCTGTTAATTATCACGTGATATGATCACCAAATAGAACACCGACGTATTGACCAGGTAAATGATGCGTAAACCAGTACAAGCAGCCAAGATTCAACTTGGAGTTTTTATTGGACCTGAAATAGTAGCTTCCCGCCTAACCCAGCTAGTTCAGTTCAGAATATCAATATTAGCGTCCACTATACAAACATATGTTCCAGACAGACGCAGTTTATATACAAATAGATCAAACCGCACCATATCATAAAAGAGGAAATAACAATTATACAAGATCGGTCCAAAATGTGGCTGTGCATGTGACAGACTGTAACTAATACATTGTGAATAATTTAATGATAGAAAATGGTATAATGGTAGTCAATAGGTCAAATGGAAGCTTATAATAAAAGGAATATAAATATACATATAATATAGTTATATAATAGTGATACAATAAGGATATGTATGATAATAGTCCATGAATAGATTTTAGCGGTTATCATTCACTTGTTCTTAGTCCGGATATAACAGGTGAATAGAAGAAAAATCGTTCTTACAAAGTTTATTTCCTAGATTTTTACAGACTCTTCATCAACCGCGTCATCTTTAGACTAAGGAGTTAGAATCTAATAGTTTACATTTCCAACTTTAGTCAATTCGTGAGAGGCGTTTTTTGGAGATTGTTGAATCCCATAATCTACATCATGGAGTGACTTTAGATAAATAACAATTAAATACCAAGAAATACCAGACAGCTGTTTCATCCTAGTATGATACTCTCAACAGTACACATCAAAGGCCAAACGGTGGTTTGAACCAAATATCGTCGAGTCTCTCACAGAAAACTTAACTTTCAGACAACTGAGTTGGTATCTAATAGTTTACGCTCCTAACTTTTGAGTTTTTCTGATATGACGCAACAATTGTCCTCTTGTGAATCAACTGAATTTAGAAATGTAAACCAATAAATGGCAAATAGGTGGTCTAAGATTTGAGCATTCTCGAGAAGACTAGACGGTTCTTGGTTCGACTCCCGGTGGGATCTCAAATGTGCACTACCGAGGTTTTATGCTACGACAAAGCAACTGTAAGCATTATTTGTCATTTTCAGTGTTGTTACATATTTCCACACTTCATACTATGCACTTTCAATGGTTTACTTATTGACTGATTGTCATATCAATGGTTTATATACATGAAGAAGATCTATCACACTGCAGTTTTCCAATAATATATAATACAAAATAACTGTTTTATATATTAATGGGAAAATGAACTCACTCGCTGTTTTTCAATCAATTCTCTTTGTTTTCTACGATTCACATCGATCACTGATTCCCGACGTTTGGATTCGCATTCAGAAACTGTTCCATGTGAATTACTATTGTTACTATTATTGCTATTTTCCGTTTTCTTATTTAATTTTTTATTTATCGCATCACTGAAAATTTATGAAAATGAATATATTTTCTTCTGACTACTGAATTAAAACATTTCAGTAATAAATAACTCTCTATTCAAAATATAGATATTTGATAAAAATCTGAGATCAAATACATTTTAGTTCATAGTCGCTTTATAAAAACAACTTCATATCTCTAAATCATCGAATAGATTTTCATGATTTATAAGTATACTTTAGTAATTAGCCTAATAATGTTTTGTGGTTCCTAGTCAAATATTATTTATCAGAATGGGTTTTGTGGAAATAAATAATAATTTCACTGGTTGAAATCATGAGTCAATTGAAGCTAGACCACCATGGAAAACCTGGAAGCACTGGACGGCCGTTTCGTCCTATTGTGAGACTCCTCAGAAGTGCCCATCCACGATCCCGCCCCCCGTGAGATTCGAACCCAGGACCTATCAGTCTCTAGTTGGTTAAGCGCCTGGCGCGAGACTGATAAATCCTGAGTTCGGATCTCACCGGGGGTGGGATCGTGGGTGCGCACTGCTGAGGAGTCCCATACTAGGACGAAACGGCCGTCCAGTGCTTCCATGTTTTCCATGGTGGTCTAGCTTCAATTGACTCATGATTTCAACTAGTGAAATTATTATTTAATACACACAAGCTATACAAAATATCTGGTAGCTTATTCATTAGTATAAATCCGTTTACTTTCAGCCTTTGTACGAAAAATAGGACAAAGTATTCTTTGAATTGGATGACTTCAATTTGATAAGTATGGTACAAATGACGTCATACAGCTTATTATCTAATGCTGAATAAATTATACCGATAAGGGTCACATCATGATTACTTAGCTATGTAACTCAGTAATATAATACACCATAATTATTGTTTAGTGATTTAATTAAGTAAATAGAAAACCCTACAGTTAAGCCATGTTCTCTTTTACACTCATTAAGCTTATGTAACATGACACTCATAATTCATAAAACTAAGAGGCGTTAGACATGGTAGACAGTGGTTTCGTTTTGTTTCAAGGTTCTTTAACTAATAACATTAAAAGATTCAAATAAAATATCATCGTTCTCAGTATGACATAAGTCATCATACTTTCAAGTCTGATTTCATAGTAATGGTACTTTCAAACTTTTTTAGTTATGACAGTACAGCCAAATAAAAATTCCAAGTAATACTGCATACTTCGCCTTAGTTTTACTTCAGTATCTTTGATCTTTTCATAGTTACATAGTTACGGATAAATAATAAAAATGAATTTCAAGTGAATAAGTTGATAAATTCAAACAGAATTTGTTGCTAGACATACAACAAATACTGAATATCACAGTAAATCCCAATAATTCCCATCCTTGATTTATTGATCTACTTTTAACTATAACATAATCATGTAAGATTTTTGTTTATTTCAAACGAATCATCTTTATTCATAGAGACTATGGTTACTGATACAGTATACGTATGAAAAAAAAGAAGAAGAAACAGAAACATACCTTAACTTGGATTTTTTAATCACTGAAAATTGATGTTGTTGTTGGCAGTGACGTTGTGATTGTTTGAAGTGTTTATTTATCAAATTTAGATTGTTAGATAGATTATCATTTTTACGTTTAGAATGTTGATGAAGAACTGTATGACTAAATTCTTCTGCCATTTCCTTTAAATCAGCAAAATATACGGAAATATATATATATATAAGAGATGATATTGAATATTGAATGATGAGGAGTTACTTCATGATATGTTTACGCATTCTGAATTATCCTTCTCATATAAAAGATTGTTTATTAACATACCCATCAGAATGTATCGGTTACTAATGAGTCTGTATCTGACGAAATCTTGGTATGCACACAAAAAGATAATTCAACTTTAGGAAGTATGAACCACTTGCACAGTGTTTTACTATTTCTTAATTGACACTCATGATCCATGTTATATCTAAGTTGCGGTCATGCGTAGATTGATAATACTCTATCGTAAGTATCTCAGAAGCATCTCTAGGATAGGGTGGAGTCAGCAAGTGAGTTATTCTGAGGTTAGATGTGTGATTTAGGGTGAAGAGAGTGAACCATTTGATATTGATTCTGAATTATCATTGACTGAAATAGCAGAAATACGTATTATGTATGCTCAGTCACCACTTAGCTTAATGTACAATGGTAGCTAATATAGCAATACACTTCAAGAAGGCTTTGTATCATGACACAAAGAAATTACATCAAACCATAAAATCAGTGTCTAGTGGAATGACACGCATAATGAGGTGATGACTTCCTAATTTATGGCTGGAGTCTTCAGTAACAGTGGCTTAGATGTACTCGTTCTTTATATTTCACTAGATCCTGAGAAAAACCTTATTCTACTATTAAAACAACACTTTTGATTTTAATTGGTTTTATCCTATTCTCCCGAGAAACTTCTTTGTTTTTCAATTATCAGTGAAATACTGTAGTTCATGGTTGAATGTACTTCCACCCTAGAGATTTCTATCGCACCCCCCTGAAATCTCTTCTCCTGTTGTATCTTTTTTTGTTTCAGTAATATTTTCAACCCCATCCATTGATAAAATGATGTTTTCACTGAAACCACGTATAATGGGGTCTACAGTAACCATTCTATAATAATGCGATCAGATACTTTAGAGATTAACCCTCTGTAATCTTGAAATATGAATCTGAACACTGTTTGGCTTGGTTACGTAGAACAGTTCCATCATCTCATATAACTTAAAGATAATTTACGTCACAAAATGAAGAAGACCGTTGAGAATCAAGGAATAATAGACAGCTGAATATTTCTTCTGATGCTTATTTCTCCCAAGTGGTTAATTTAGAATTAATGTATTCACTTACACTTCTCTAGTTAAGTTACATTTGTCATATGAAAATAAGTTCGTTGATCTATCAAAAATATCTCCTAGATTCTTTATCACATCTCATAGATATCAGTTAACTTTATATTCTAATTAATATGAACTTTGAATCAACGTAGTAGGAGAATTAGTTGAACAGTACTAATTGATATAAGTTTATAACTTACTGTTTCTGTTAAGTAACGATAGATACGTTTTGATAAAAATGGTTTCCTTAAGATTGCATTAATACTTGGTCTATCTCTAAAATCGAAAAAGATAAGAAGAAACATGACTGATAGATTTTTATTTATCACTAGGAAAATCAATATTTCAAATATGTTTCAGTACAATGTTCTATTCTAAATTATGGATGTGAAACATTGCCCATAAAAAGAGGATGTTCATAGGTTGCTAGTATTTGATCATGAATTTTTTTGAAGCATTGCTTATGTATATTGAGATTACCTAGTGAGGAATATTGTTATTTAGAATAGGTTACCAGGTAAAGATGACGGATCAGTTAATAAAGTAGTAGATCTTCATTGACTAAGATGGTTGGGAAGTCCATTGTATTTAATCAACCTCTATCTACATTGATACATGATAAAAGGTGGTGTAGAAGTGCTTACTTACTTACCTGATTACTTACGCCTGTTATGCCTCGTAGAGGAGCATAGGCCAACCATCAGCACTAGCCATCCAACACTGTCCTGGACAATCCTTTCCAGATAACTCCAGTTGTTATCCATCCTTTTCATATCTGATTCTATTTACCGACGTAATGTGTTCTTTGACATTCCTCTTTTCCGCTTCCCTTCAGGATTCCAAGTTAGGGCTTGCCTCGTAATGCAGTTTGATGATTTCTGTAATGTATGTCCTATCCATCCCCAACGTCTTTTCCTAATTTCCTTTTCAGTTGGAATCTGGTTTGTTCTCTCCCATAGAAGGCTATTATTGATTGTGTCAGACCGATGGACATTGAGTATCTTGTGTAGACAATTGTTTATAAATACCTGTACATTTTTGATGATGATTGTAGTAGTTCTCCAAGTTTTAGCTCCATACAGTAGAGCTGTGTTGACGTTCGCATTGAAGATTCGGACTTTGATATTGGTTGACAGACAGTAGTTTTGAGTATAATATGTTCTTCGATTGTGGGAATGCGGCCCTGGCTTTGCCAATCCTCGTCTTTACGTCTGCGTCTGATCTTCCTTTTCCATCGATGGTGCTTCCAAGGTACGTGAAGGATTCTACATTTTCCAGAGTTTCACCATCAAGTGTGATTGGATTGATGTTCTCCGTGTTGTAATTGATGACCTTGGTTTTCCTTTCGTGTATGTGGAGGCCTACTGATGTAGAGACCGCTGCTACACTGGACGTCTTTATCTGCATTTGTTCGTGTGTATTGGATAGGAAGGTCAGGTCATCTGTGAAGTCCAAATCGTCTAATTAGTTCTGAGCCGTTCATTGTATTCCGTGTTTTCCTTCAGATATCGAGGTCTTCATAATCCAGTCGACCACCAGACTTACTTACTTGCGCCTGGTGGAAAAGTTTGCTAGAAGAAAACTGGCAATAATCATACCAAGATCTGCGATTAGTTCGTAAAGTTATTGACTACTGACGAAAGCTGTATCAGTATTTATTATGAAACAGATCACTTACAAATCATACAACAAAAAGTTTATGATTATTATTTTACCTTGGATTTCGACGAAATAGTTGAGAAATTAAACTTCTTATTTCATAACTATATTTTGATGAAACCGGTGGATAGGTTCCACTAAAATAATTAATTAAAATAATTTAATTTATTTATATAACTATCATACCGAATAATTTTCAATACTAAATTCTTCATATTACCGGCTTCAAACTAGAAACAATCATAATAATATCATATAAATAAATAGAAATTACAGCATGTTTTAATGTTGTCATTTCATATAGAACACAACCTAATGCCCATATATCACTTTTATGATCATATGGTTTATTTTCACAAATTTCTGGTGATAAATAATATGGGGTACCAATACATGTACGCGCTAAATCCAATGTATGATTTAATACTTTCGCTATTCCAAAATCACCTAATTTTAAACGACCTTTAGAAGTAAGAAATACATTCTATAATAAATGTAATTAATAATTAAATAAAACTTACTTGTGTTTTAATATCTCTATGTAAAATCATTCTATCATGTATATGTTTTAATGCTAAACAAATTTGTACAAAATAATCTAAAATCTTATTAAAATATTGATTTATATAGAGAGACAAAAATGTAATAAAGAATAACATTACCAATGATTCTGGCATTAGAACACCATTTTGTTTATTGATTTTAGTGTATAAATCTCCTTGATCACAATATTCCATTATAATATATAACCAACCAGATTCTATGTTATTTAATAAATAAAAGAATAAATTACATAGTAGTCAAACAGTACGGATAATTACCTTCAAATGAATCACAATACTGAACTATATTTGGATGATTCATTTTCGACAAGACAGAAACCTAAAAAAAAGGAAAGAACTTAAAGTCATTAAATCCGCCTGTGTACATAATATATCTACATGATGGTTAGTTTCATTATCGTTGTAAAGTTCTTTTCGTGAGTGAAAGGTTTATTTAGACTCAGAAAGTACAAGACAATTGTTTCGTTCTAGTCTGAAATGTTTCATTGCTATGCATATATTTCCATACACTGAATGATATCTAGGACTATTAAGTCTTGTGTCTGGTATGGTAGTGCTAATGGTTCTTTGCATATATCAAGTGATTATAAGAAGATATGCATAACAGAGTCGATCCATTTCATCTGAAGGATATAATATCCCCTAATTCTATCTTATATATGGTGTTTTGATTAGTTAGATAATTTATCCTTCATTCTTTGCTCTATCAGTAGGATATAAACTGTTCGGCAAATATTTATGTTCTAGCTATTAGGATCTCACTTCGAATCAAACTGTATATTTCGAATTATTTTTACAAAGCTTATTCACTATTTTGCTGTTTCTCGTCTATCTTATCAAATTTTAACAATTGAAAATAATTTAGCTATGATTAAAGAGTCAGTTCTAGACCTTTAGCTGGATCTAGTGAGTGTTTCTAGATGTTCAACTTCAATAGTTCAAGTGGTGGGTGACTCAAAGTTTCGCACTTTTGTGTTCGTTTTTGGATTCTTTTTCACCACTGCTTTTTACATTTACGGAAACTAACAGTTATGTTAACAGACAGGAGTTTAGTTAGTCGTTTTGACCAGGAATTGAATTCAGAGGAGAATTAAAAAGTGGATGGAGATGGTTTAATTTTTACCGCAGTGAAAAAGCGCTTACTTGCGGGGAATTCCCCTAGAATGAGACACTATAGTTTCCGTTGGGTACTCAGATATCAGTATGTAATCCACTTACAATAGAATTATCATGATTACCTTCTACTTATCATTTATATATTTTTTATTTGTCTGTGTTGAAGATCGAGGCCTCAGTCAACCCATGCAGCTTATAAACATTTGCTTAACAATTAATTACTAATCAATAGTTATTTACTTCAAAACAAGTCTTTAAGTTGGATAAAGGCGATCATATGAAGTAAATGTTGTTGCGATTTCAGTCCTAGTCCAACGTTAAGGACAGAGGAACGGTTCATGAAATTTAAGTCGTCAGGTCCAATAAAGCGTAAGCTAAAACAGATCAAGATAATTTCCGAATAAAGAGAATGATCAATAGTACTATTGACCAGTCTCTTCATACATACATGTGAAATCTCATATCGATAACATTTTGTGTAAAAACTTCAAGACAAAACTTGCCTCCTTCCGAGCTTCTTCTCGCTCCTTGAGTGTCATCTACATAGAAAATATCAGCTAGTAGTACTGCATAAAAGTACCTTGCGAATATTGATTTCTTTCATCACTCTATGAATGTTTTCCGATTTCGACAAAACAAGTATTGCTTTTCCGAACGCCCCCTCCCCTATATTCCCAACTTTCTCATATTTCGATAAGTCTGACATGAAGATTTGAAAAGTTTATCCAAATATCTAGCTATTTGAAATAGTTTAACAAACAGTATCGGGACCATGGAAACCAACGTTTATATGACGCGCCATGAATTTGGCTGGTTGCAATGCTCAATTGTTAGGCGGTTTATATCCATGTAGAAAGTGCGTCGGACATTAAAAGACTGTGAATGGCTCAGAGTTTCAAAACATTTGGGAGATGCAGAAACAAGAAAAGTTCGGTTCAACATGCTGATAATTGGAAAAAGAGTCAGTACCAAAAAACAATCATACTACCCCTACTTTATGGATTTCGGACGATCAGAACACTTGAAAGATCGACCAAGTGACTGACATCACTTCACATCATCAGAAATTTGGAAATCAGTTGATTATGAATTTCAAAATACAAGAGTGTAGATTGCCATAAAAAGTAATTAATTACATTTACAAAGTTAGGCCCATTCTAGTGCGAATCTCTAACGAGAAGTGAAGAAACTGTGAAGGGTTGTATTGAAGCCTTACAAGCACGACAAAGTTAAGATATCATACGCATTTGCTGAATAGATGAACACGATAAGTCAACAATGGTCTTCAATATTTGAATCGTTCTTTCAGTTAATAAATCTCCATGAAATTTCATGTACATGTAAAGTTAGTGTTGTCCTTATCGGAGTTCACGAACCATCGACGGAAATCAAATTTTAAAATAAGCCGATGAGTGAATTTTTGAAACTTTATGAAACCTCTGTTTTCCTGAAATTAATGCGTGAAAAATTAGACTATGCTACCATATATGGAGGCTTTAGTAATCCCGTATTCTATAGAAGATATCAGGCTCTAATTCTCCCTAACGTAGATCGTAAAACGGAAAACTGCAGATTCACTGTCCTACACTTTAGTGAATGATAAAAAACCATTCGCACACCCGTAGATTTATTTTTGAAAGTAAGGAAAATCTGTTCTTACTTTCTGATAGAAATAATTCAAGAAGCAGCAGCTAAAGACGTTGATATTTCTCCGCCACTTTCATTATTGGAACCTTGTTAAATAAAGTATATAATGTGAAACTAACGATCGCAACCAGATACACAAAGTAAAAGTTTGTAACTGAAAAATCTGTTTCAATTCGTGAATATGTATGCGACATAAACTACATGAAATATGATGCAGAGTCTTGACATCTTAGCGGAAATAAATTGCAAGTCGTAAGTCAGTGATAATGGTTGGATCACTGCTAGACAACAATATTTAATTTTGTGAGAAAATAACCAGAAAATTATAACCGGGACTAATGACAACAGTGCTATAAAAATTGTCAAGGGCCAATCTTTGCTTTGAGTGACATTGAACGAATTGTTTTCAAAGATGGAGAAGGATAGGAAAGTTTTGCTGTAAGATCAATCAGATTGACATGCGGAAAGGACTCCCTAAAAATGTTGTCATAAATTTGGTTTATAATGATAATAGCAGCTGAAAGTATTTTGTAAAAGTGATTGGCACAGCTACAAATTTTCCGAATCTGTTGTAGCCAATAGTGCTGTCCATTGACAAATGACCGGGTCTATTTGGTCCGATCGAAAAACGAGAGCAGATTGTGTTAAGTCGTAAAGTTAAATATAACGTAAACGATTACAACTTTTATGTGTCTTGAGATAAATGTTGTTTGCTTAAAACAGAAAATAGTTTTGGCCCAACTATGGGTTTAATTAAGTGTTATATCTATTACAATACCGAATACTTACATGCTTTTCTCAATAATAAAAACTTTTTTATTTCGCTAAGCTTTTAAAAGAGTTGTTGCCATCCTTCAAGCATGATCGTGTTGATATAACAAAACTCTTATATGTTTGTCCACTCTGTTGTAGACGTCACAATCTTCTGTCTGATTCGTGCAGTACCCACACCTGGTAATTTTCACTTCATTTTAAGGAACCTTTTGCCAATGCAATAGATTCCCACGTAATTTTCTTTGCATGGTTCATCACAAATTTCTGGATCAAATCGCTACTCAGTATCCTTCAAGTGCTGCAAATATCAACCGTCTACGTGAATTTCTATATGTTCCGTATACCAGCTATTGAGCGCTGATTCTCCACTTTCAGCATACGTCAGTCTCATTGGTACGGAAGTGACTCAAAGTAGTTTACTTGTAGTGGCAGTGGGCCCTAACTAGACAATCTTCAAACCTGAACACGAGACAATTGGGGAAATAGATATTCAACATTTTGCGCGGAGAAAAACCTAACGATGGAGAAGGCAGGAACAATGAATTCAATCCATTGGAATTGATCAGATGCCATGACTCGGCCTTGCAGGCGTGGCCACTGTTGAATGTTATCTCGTATCTTTTATTCATATTAGATATATCGTTCTGTCTCTAGCCTAAGTGTGTTCTTCATCATATACTGATGATTGCTGCGATGCGATGAAGTGGTGTAGATATTAATGTGACTTCCATGTAAGATCTTATGGATTAGGCAGTTACATTAGGACAAATCTACAATCTTAGGGTCGGGTCTATTATTAGAGAAGTACTAATATCATTGTAGACCATAATCCAGCAAACTTACTGCAACTCATTACTCGGGATATCATTCTGTTTAGTTGTGTTTGATACATTTGTTTTATCTAAGCTGTTTTCTTAATTTTGATGTCAGACTTCTACTTTGCTTCGGTTGAGCGTTTTGCATTTTTAATCTCAAAGTTTAAAAATAAAGGATTACTGCAAAGGTTGTCAATATAATTATTATTGAGATTATTCACATTGTTCGAGGGTAAATTGGGCTTTTTCAAACTAGGATTTTTGATTCCCTTGTTATTTGGATTATAAGTCAGCCGTCTTTTGAGAACAGACTGGAGTTGATGTAACGAAAATCCCTTCGAAGTTTTTTAACGAACAGTGCTGTTATTTCTTTGTTCTTTTTCCCTCTTCTATGTTTCAGCTGTCACTCAGTTCTCTTATAACAATGTTTTGTGTTTTTCAATCTTCTTTCCCTGGACTCTTGTTATTTGGTTCGGGTTAAGGATTCAACCTTATCACACAACGTTTGTGTTGCATGTTCTGGGGCCATTGACAATGATAAACTTTACACCGTGGACAAACGCCGTAAGAGTAGCACTTCAAAAATAAGAATCTTACCTTTCAACTTATTTAATTTGTCTACACAATGCACTGTTATCTTAGAATACGTGTCCACTGCTACGTCATATACTAGATCTGTGATCAGTTATTAACTTACGGTTCTTCTCGGATAATTTTCTCCCTCATTCACTTTATATTCATGTAACGTAACATTCTAGCTTGCAGTTTCCATGAACGACATTCTTAACTAACCTAGACAGAGCAAAGGGTTGTTAAGAAATGTGAGGTAAAAAACCATTGTGTTCCCTACGTTTGTTACATCAGTAAAAAATTATTTGTTGGAACATTTTCATAACAGCTTAACACAGCAATGTCTTCTTCAAACCGAATTTAAATATTCGCGAATGATCCAAACTGGAGGTAAATTTATCGCCAAGATTACTACGGCAGAAAAATAAATCAAACAAATTTTTAACATCCTTTTATTCCATTGTTTTTCTTTTTATCTCTCAAGCCTGTTCATAACTTCCAGATGTCCAAAAGCTTCTCTGAAACTTACTGGCTTCTAATATACCACAGGAGCACCATTATTCATATTTAACGTCATCACGTTTTCAGTTTATTCGTCAAACGTAAGTTTCCATCTCTTAAGTCTAATGATTGATTTCTGTAGTCATTTATAATGCCCACGCACCTTCATTTTTTTAGATGGTGAATATTCCTTTAGGCGAACGTACGGTGTAACTGATAATTTCAGTCTTTGGTCTAGCTTAAGTTGACTCATGAATTCAATCACTAAAAAAGTACCAATTTCATTGTCACCAACAAGTTTATAATGCAAATTATGTTCCTAATATATAATAATCCATGACTATACCGTCACATACAGTTACTTTGTAATACTTGTGTAGATCGCCAACCACCGCTGAGTTCTCACAATAACCAAAATATAATACTAGGAACAAGAAAAAAAGACTTATTAGACTGAATTTTCATGGATAAAAAACGATGTGAATTTATAACTGTTCCACCTGGTCTATCTATCAGCTACTGTTACTCTTTGTGGTAAAAACCTACTTAATAATAAACCATACTGTTATAAGGCTCACAACATTAGGTTGGATATGTGTAAAAAGTATACAGGCGTTATATTACATGGTATGAAATCCGACAGAATAATACATTACGTACTTGTCTTACAGTCTCACAGAAGTTCAAGGTAAAAGCAGCAAAGGGTATAAATAGGTATGCTTAAGTAATGCATAGAAAATTTATCAACTGTGTTGTTACTACTTGGATACGGATGCACGAAATTCGTAAATTTAAGGGTAAATAGCTGTAATTATTTAGAGACAGTTTGTACAAAAATCAAGTGACGTAGACTTTCAACAATATAAGTAATCAGTTTTAATCTAAATGTGACCTGAGGGAAATGTACTTTGGGCATAGTAACCATACTAAATGACGTAGATGAAAAGTATTTGGTAATTAGAAAAACCTAATAATTAGGACATGTATTTTAGGAGAAAAGTGAAAAGCTTTGTATGGAGGATTATGCACACATTACCAAAGTCATAAAATCTGACTTTGAAGCCCTTCTTAGGTATCTACAATATACATTATTCGAAGACGCACATTCAGTGAATAACCTGTATTTCTGAAATAGGGATGGTCATATGTGCCACCAAATAACTTGATGAAGCTCTGTTTTCTACCCCTTCCTTATAAGTACATTCAATAAAAGTGAGTTCGTCGCACGTTATACCAAAGAGTTCACCGATACCACAATTGTTTCACATGGAAACCTAAGAAGAATCCTAAAGGTATCATGAAGGTCAGAATGACCAACTTCTACTCCCTAAGAGTTGTCAAATGCTGGAATTCGCTGCCGGCCGAGCTAGTCCAAGCGACTTCTCAGGAGTCCTTCAAG